GCATCAACGTAGCATAATAATAGCAGTGAAAAAGAGTAGAGTCAAATACGCGATGAGCGATAGTGTAGAGTCTAATACTAAAGGCAGAAATAGAGTAATGCCATCAAGTGCGAGATAACATGTTAGGAGCATTAACGTGTGATTGTGAAGCTTACTTTAAAGCGGGATGTTGAGTCTACAGTGCACCATGGGCACAGCGAGATCATGTTATGTGTGAATGATATACCGTAAAGTACCGCCAGAGCGCCCCGTCTCGCGAGAGTGCCCCACCTTGATTTTACAGCCAGGGTCCAGGGAAAGGAAAATCGTACGGCAGAATGCAACGAAGTGTGTATGGTGTACTAACGTCAGAGGAAGGTTTTTGTGTGGAGCTCGTGTCCGCTCGAAGGTACGGATTGTCTGCACAACGTGCAATATGTGTACGAAGTTCGTGTCGTATGACCTACAGACGGGAGACCACCTACACAATACGACCACGAAAGGACGAGATAGTGGGGCGCTCTGGCGGTACTTTACGGTACTAGTAATCAAATGGATGCAAAACATATAGATGTCGTGATACACCATGCCTGATTCGTGGCTGGAAGCCGTGAGCTCAGTGCTTGGGGCTAGTGGGATTCCTCTAGCTTTCAGAATCCTGCATGAAAAAAGGTAAAAGAAAGTGAAGGTACAATCATAGTAAGGTGATGTAAGCCTCTTGGTTTCGCGAACGAATTTCATCATTAAATTCATGGCATGGGAACGACGCTACAGAAGTATACAAAAGCTGAGCCATCCTCTAAAGAAAGTCCACTTTAGTGAATCTCATCTTGTCAGCAGCACCATGCTGTTTGTATGGGAGAATTGCATTCGTACAGTGCTGCCCAATGAAATCCTGAAATCAAGTCGCGTCACTCAAGTACCGGGCGTTGCGCAGCCCTAGACCTGCGAACACTGGGCTGCGAAATGGTGCAAGGCGCAAACTTGAGTGACACGACTGGATTTCATTGAGCAGGACTGTACATTCAAGGCACCTGCACTTCCTATTACAGTGTAATGTTCTTATTTTACAGGAACATTCCCAACTGGGCCTAATGTCTTCTGAGGCTGCGTTTACACGACAACGCACGGCCATTTTCCGTTTTCAGTCCCGCATTTCTTTTTTCATTTTCGTGCGTTTACACGATCAAAGCTGATCCGAGGTGGTCTCGGTTTGTATCGTTTTCTCGCGTCTACACGGGAGCAAAGGATCCGCAAAAGTTCGTCATGTGCCGAGTGTTGTCGTGGAAGCACCAATCACACTCAAGGAATAATCGAAAACAGGCCACACACCAGCACTCGTCACATGACGAAAATTGTAAAAAAAAGAGTTTTATTGTCGGATCCGTGTGAACGGCCGAAAACGGAACAAACGTGACGGAAACGAGGCCAGCAGACCGTTTCGACTGTTTACACACCCAAATTTATCCGGCAGAACATTTCCGTTTTCAAATTCTTCCACCTTGGCCAGCGTTTTGGTTCTCTTCCGCTTTGGTGTACAACTATTACGTTTTGCTCCGCGTACCGTGTAAATGAACCATGCATCCGAAAGGAGTTAGTTGCGCTTTCACCCCCAGCGTTGTCGTGTATACGCAGCCTTAGATGGTGCCCAAGGTATTCATTGAGTTCCTGCAACTTCATTTGAAATGAACTGGAAAAGTGCGAAGGGATTCGAGGAGGACATTAAAGCAGTCAGCTCCAAGAAATGAAATTGATTCGTGAATTCAATTATAATGATGTTCACACCTACATGTACATGTATGCAATAACTAGGTATCACACTTCATCTTACAGGCGAGACCTCACTATATATTCTCTGGGGTACGGCAAGTGTTATGCTTTAGAGAGGTCCATGTTATAGCGAGTTGGGCACATAATATAAACCATATATGTCAAAGTTAGGGCTGCGGTTAACCAAAAGGTTATAGGCTAGAACCAAGAGTAGATAAACAAGAGTGTGCAACTCCGGGATGGGTTGGCCCGTGGCGGAATTTTTTGTTGACGTAATCTTTTCTATGACGCATGCGCTGCGGGTCTTTTGGAAAGTTTGCATCGTGCACTTGGCCGGGCTTTACATTACAAGGTCGGTGCCCAGTACGTGCTCTCACACTGTTCTGCGTCAAAATGCGCGTTTTTCTGAAAAAAGGTGACGTCTACAAAAAATGCTGCCACAGGCAGGGGTATGTGCAGATTGTGCAGAAGAGATCCAGAGTTGCACACTCTTGTTTATCTACTCTTGCTACAACCTATAAGAGATAAACTGTACATGTAGCCTGTATTCATGTACCATTGCTGTACATGACTGTAAATCCATGTATCCATGGTACCATGACCTCACGCACTGCCAAAACAAACACTACAATATGTATAATACTCATAAAAGGACACATTTCAGGCTCATTACAAACGTCTTGAAAGTTTTTGTCTTCACAAGTATACTTTATGAGTATTATGAGTATTATCGCATTTTTGTCTCAGACGAAACTGTTTACAATATGTATAGTGGATGCATATTATATTTTGCTCAGTTTTCCAGAGCAGGTTCAACAAAGAGTGAATAACAACTAAATAGAGCGGTTGCCAGTTGACAAACCCCCTTTATATTTACAATGCAGTTGCGTGAATGTCCACTACTTTCTGAACGAAAGGTTCAACATATTTTAATATTTTGTATGCTCCATTGGGCTTCGGATTGCACCATCACCTTGTCATTTAATCAACTCAACCTCATCATGAGCATACGCAAGCATCACTAATATGGGGAGCAACCCCAGAGATGAGGGAGATACACGCCGTACATCCATTGTGCACAGTGCTGACAGGGTACGCACATGCTGTCACGTATATTATGTACAGCGGACATTGAAAGAAAATAACCGATTAACCCATATGCATATGGTTAACTGTTCGTGTATTCTTAACGGTTACATAACCGGTTAACCTATCTAACCATTTCACCCTAGTCAAAATGGCGCTGTTTGCTTACAGACTACAACTGTATTGCCATCGATCCACACTGATCAATCCAGGAAATGTGCGCATGTTGTACATTTTTAGTGTATTTTATAGTAGTGTGTCTACTGCATGTGTTTCAGGACTGTAACAGTCACACTACAACAAAAGTCCGACACTCCAGAACAACCCCACACAAAATCCTGTGGTCGACCAGCCAACAAACACAGCTCTGGGTTGAATGACGAATTAGTGAAAAACTATAAAGAGAAAAGAGAGGTGAAAGAGAAAACCGCCAACACATCTCCAGAACGACAGAGCCTCACTCTCTCCCTCCCTCCCTCCCTCCCTCTCTCTCTGTCTCTCTCTCTCTCTCTGTCTGTCTCTCTCTCTCTCTCTCTCTCTCTCTCTCTCTCTCTCTCTCTCTCTCTCTCTCTCTCTCTCTGTCTGTGTGTCTGTCTTTGTCTTTGTCTCTCTCTCTCTCTCTGTCTCTCTCTCTCTCTGTCTCTCCCTCTCACGGCAACTAAAAAAACAACCATATCTCAAACCACACCTCACTCATTTTACGCTGTAGGATGAAGATGAAGGGGAGGTTGGCGATGAGAAGAAGAACACGGCAGGGTTTAAGCATTTATTGTTCAGTGACCCGTGTCGTTTGGCGTATAATGATTCTCGGTTTACAATTGTAGTATTGTTTGTTTTGCAAAGAATTTCAATCAGTTAAAAGTCATAGATGCTGTTTACATTCACAAGCGTAAGCCAGACCGATGCATTCAGAAAGAACATGTCACGGCATCCACATTCTTTCCTTAGCACCGTAACTGTATTTTGCACATATGTTTGTTTTATTCACCCTCTCTCTTTCTCTTTTCTTACAGTTACACTTGTGTTTTATCACACTATAGAATGACTGCGCATGTATTTTATAGATTGCGATTATTATCACTGTCGGGAAGGAAAACACCAATTTTACAGGGCCCTAAAAGTCTGAACGATACCTATGAAATGCACTGTCAAAGCAAACAAAAAATATGAATATGCAAGCTCATGCCTGAGGGGAAGATGAGAAGTTGAAACGTGGAGATTTTTCGGACAGGACGAGAATCCGAAGAACCTGGGTGATTCCCTTACTTCCACAATGGGCTAGTGGCTGCATCACAAAAATTATACCTTGCAGTGGGTGCAGAGACAGATCAATAAACACTAACCTGAGCATGAGAGCTGCTCGTATTCATTGCGATCGTCAGGAAAATGGCAGGACGAACGGACCAGAAGAATGTTGGCTATGACAAACAACTGCATATCCAGACGACACACGGCTTGACTATTTGCTTATGACGTTCAGCTTCGAGGTCCAGCACGATGGAATTTTCGGAAGGAACTGATTTTTGAATTATTTGGGGAAGAAGATTGCACTCAGAAAAGGTACCGTAACTGGTTTCTTTCATTTGAAAAGCTGTTCACCAAAGTCCTAAACATACACTGTACGACGTTTCGGAGCTGCTCCAAATCGATCGATTTGTTTTGAATGGTTTCGCCACCGCTTTCCGATCGATCGATCCTTGCGCGATCTGTCGATCGACAGATCGCGCAAGAAAATCGATCGATTTTCCAAATCGACAGAACGCGCACAACACATATACATCAAGAGTGCATAAACATTTTTTTTGTTTATGGACTCTTGCCTACATGTATAAAAGAAAAATCTCAGCTGGAAGTTGTGTAATGAACATAGAAATGGAACCTTCCCAAAAAATTCGATTCCAGCAGTACCAAGCAGTCATAATCATCAGGCGACTACTGATACTCTCCTCGGTCATGTGCATTATCATCATCATCAGGAAGTCGTACAACGGTTTGTACAACTTTATCTCTTATTGGCGATGATGCCATCGTGAGAATAAAGAATTCAAAGACTCACAACGGTTTGTACGACTCCCTGATCATCACCACAGATGAAAAGCAGTTTAAGCACGCACAAGCAACATCATCCTGATGTCGCGCCATGGCCAGGCCGGATTCACAGGTCATAGCATCAACAAACGGTATTTTTTTCAATAGAAAGCCAGCCGTGCAAGAACTTATCCGGTAGGGCGCAAATGAAACTGGCAGAAGCAATGGACAATAACGTAGCAGACCACACTGTCAAGCACCTCAGCTGAGCACGATCCTATAAACACTGGCAGCTGTTACAAAGAAGTAGTGATAGAACACAAGGACACAGCGGCACCAATAAACAAAACAAAGCAGACAAAACGAGCAAAATCTGTACAGCAAGACGACAGCAAAACTGAAAATGGAACAGGCGTTGGTATTCCCCAAACTGACCTACAACAATGGCGCAGTAGCATCCACGGGAAACGGGAGAGGTACCACAGCAGGACATACCGGACAGGGTGAAAGCTGAAAGGATGAAAGGATCAAAAGATCTAAACTGTTGACAGTGATGAAAGGAATATAAAGAAGTCTGTGTTATTCTGGGTCGTAGGCGTGCTCAGCAATTAGCGATAGCCACCGCCATAGTGCTGCTGCTGCTGCTGACCGCCATAACCACCAGGTGCCTTGTAAGAGGACTGGCCACCACCGTACGAGGACTGCTGGTGCTGTCCGCCAGCGGAGCCACCGGCATAGCCACGGCTTGCCTGCTGGCCACCATAGGAGGAGGCAGCAGCAGCGCCACTCGACGCACCACCACCACGACCGTAAGAGCCACTGCTGCCGTACCCACTCGAGGAACCGTAGCTGCTGCTGGCGCCGCCGTAGCTTCCACCCGAGGAACTGCCATAACTTGCCCCGCCTGAGCCAGAGGAGGCACCATACGAGGAAGCGGAGGAGCTGCCATAGCTACTGCCAGTAGAGGCACCATAGCCGCTAGCCGAGCCAGCACCGTAGCTAGAACCAGTGGAAGAGCTACCGCCATACCCACCACCTGAGGATCCACCGTATGAAGCAGAGGAGCCACCATAGCCAGTTGAGGAACTGCTGCGGCCACCATAGGTAGCCGAGGAGCCGTAAGTTGAAGCAGCACGAGAACTGCCGCCGCCGCCACCATAACTGCTGCTTGTTGAACTGTAGTCATAGCGCTGCGGTTGGTAGCTTGATCCGGAGCTGCTGCCGCCGCCACCATAGCTAGAAGCACCTCCGCCGGAGTAGCTAGAGCCACCCGAGTAACTGCTTTGACCACTACCGTAACTGGGTCTACTGTTGTAAGCAGAGCCACCACTGCTAGTGCCCGAACTGCCTCCCCGATAACTACTAGCACCACCTCTGTAGCCACTACTACCGCTGCTGCTGCCGCCATAGCTGCTACCACCGCTGCTACTGCCATAGGTATCACGACGACTATAAGACGAGGATTCGTAGCGAGGGGGAGCAGGAGGTGGTGGTCGGCGGTCATAGCTGGGTGGAGCTCGACTGTACCCTGGGGAGGAGTAGCGGTCTGTGTAGCTACTGCTGCCACTAGCACCATAGTAACCACTGCCGCGAGATCGGTCGCCGTAGCGATCACCACCACCATAGCTGCTGCTTCCATAGTCACGGCGACTGCTGGTGTTGCGGAAGTCACGCGAGTCACGGCCAGATCCACGCCGGTCACGGTAATCATTGTCATAGCCTCGGTTGTAGCCGCCTGTGCTGCCACTGCTTCCAGAGTACCTTGGCCGCTTGGCACTTGGACCACTGCGAGACGAACTTTGCGCATCGGACTGCATCTCTTGGAGCAGCTGCTTGGATTTATCAGCATCACACTCAACATATGTCACAGTGGTGAAAGTACGTCCCTTCTGCGGAAGAACAAAGTTGGTGATCATACGGACGATGGCTTCAATAGGGACGATCTTTCCGGTTTCACGCTCGCGTTGTAGCGTGCGCTCGGCCAGCGCCGTGCTGGCAGGGAAGATGACAACAGCCTCACGGTGGCCATACTCGGCGAACGGTTGCATGCGGCGACGCTGCACCGAGTTATACACATTGGTCTGGTCCAGGATGTAGTTTCGGCGACGCTTCTCAGCGAGCTGTACCAACTTGTTCTGGACGTCGAGCGCAGTCTGCGTATGTGTCTGCCAGTGCTTGTGCGGCTGGGCAGCATCCATAGCGATGCGCATACGCTCCATGACGTGATCAATGCCAATCAGGTTGAACCTCTTTTCGGCGTTCTCGACTACGTGTTTCTTGGCCCAGGTAGTCTTGCCAGACGCTGGCAAGCCAATCAGCATCACAGCAGATGCATCTTCTACCTTGTCCAGTGGCTTGATGCCGCCACACTTAGCATCCTCATCCAGACTGCCAATACTAACAAAGCCTTCCGGGGCAGGGAAGCGGGCATTTTCACCATCGAAATCGGCCACAACCTTCAAGTTCTTTACCTCGATGTGCGGGAAGAGCGCGGTGCCGGTCTCAATGCTTTCTGGCAACGTGAACGCTACCCCTTGCGCCTCTCCGTTCACAAGGAATGAGATTGTTCTTTCCTCACTCTCTAGGTCTAGACAACAGGTCACTGAGTCTCCTATACCGTACGAGCAGCCATAGGATCGTACTTCCGAGTCGCTTACTGCATTACCCGCGGATGCAAAGCCAAAAGAGGCAGCCTCGTCACCCAAGCCATAGTGGCAAGTAGCCTGGGAAAAACCGACACGAACGCCCCAGGGCTCGTCCATTTCCTCCTCGAGCGTCGCTCCTTCTTCAATCGTGACATGGAAAAACACTTTGCCACTCTTCGGTGCCCAGTTGGCCCTAGCACCGCCCCAAAGCCTGTACAGACCACCTGCAACTTGCGTACTTCCTGTTAAGCCATCTACCTCCAGTCGGAAATGAAGGTCGGAATTGTAACAATCCAGGACTACAGAATTGGGATCCCGGTCCTCCGGTTGTGTGGGCACTTCCAACATATCACGTTCATCGGCAACAGCCTCATCCAACACTTGCATGGACTCCTCTCCAGCGTCTTTCTCGGCCTCCTCCGAGGCTTTGCCGCTGTCCACCGGAGCGTCTTCTTGCACTTCACTTTCCTGCACTTGCTGTGTCTGCTCAGTGCTTTCATCATCCTGCATAGGCTCATCCACGTTTTCAGCTGACTCACTTGCCACTGGTTCTCCATTTACGGGTGCTACAGTCTCGTCATCGTCTGCTTGAGGAGCAGGCTCGGATTCTTGATCCGCTGATGCGTCCACATCATCTTCTCCTTGAGATTCTCCATCAAGCACACTCTGGTCAGGTTGTTCACCCAGAGCCTCGAGGAGACGATCCAAAAGTTCGCTTTTCTTGCCTTTCGTGTCCAGGGACCTTTTCTGCAGCTCGGCTTTCAGGTCTACGACCTTCAGCTTCTGCGCTTCCGCTGCCGTTAATTCAGACATGCTCTCGGATTCCAATTTCCGACCATATAGATGAACACAACAGGTCCAGCAATATGAAAGATTCGGAAACTTCAACGAAGAAGACAGAGCTAGAGAACAAACAAAATCATGCAGGGCGTGCAACAAAAATCCCGAACTTTTTCAAAGCGATCGCTCTCGACGGATCACGCGTGCAAAAAGCTCAGCAGATCTGCAAAATCAAAGATGGCGAAGGCGCGCGCTCGGCGCCCAGGCCCACACGGTACCGGGGCCGGGGGCCGGGCCGCGGGGTACATCTCTACGCCCGCGCCGGCCGACACATCTCCAAACGCCCCCGCCTGGCCCTGTAGTGTACGGGAGTAGGCTGTACCAAGATCGTGAGTGTAGTATTTCAGTGGCCTACCACTATTACGGCACAGTAATGCCAGTATCCGAAAACATAATGACTATGTCATTGTATTTTTTATTTCCCTGATTGAACTATTACTAGTTGAATACTAATACATGTAGTAATACCGAGTAGTCTAGACTACAGACCGTAATACAGTCTGTAAAAAAATACTTGGACTGTTGGAGGAACAAAAGTATCATCGTAGTGAAGAACTCGAAGCAAACAGTACAAAGTTTTGTACTAGTAGGTAGTGTGCGGCTAGTACTAGCACTCTACACGGTTGTTCTCCAGTCTGAGTGACAAACTAGTTTAGTTTCTCGAAAATGAAGCCATGTGTTTGGTTGTGGATCTGCGCGTGTGCGCAAATGGCACTAGTTTGGAGCGCGCACAGTGGGAATGCTCAATCTCCAGCAGCCTCCATTCCAAGGCCTTCTGAGCGACAGTTGCACTGGCAGCGCAAGGAGCTGATCATGTTCCTTCACTTCGGGGTCAACACCTACACTGGTAGGGAATGGGGCCTGGGAAATGAGAATCCCAACATATTCCAGCCGGTCGACCTGAACACAACTCAGTGGGTTGACGCGGCGAAGCGGGCCGGCTTTAAGGAGATGATTCTGGTGGTGAAGCATCATGACGGGTTCTTTCTGTTCCCTAACCCGTACACCAACCATACCGTGCAGTACAGTTCATGGCGTGACTACAAAGGTGATGTCGCCGCTGACTTTGTGAAGTCGTGCCACGACCTTGGTATGGATCCGGCGTTCTACCTATCCCCCTGGGACAGGAACTACTACAACATGACCTGGAAGCCGTCCTACAACGCATTCTACGAGAAGACCGAACAGTGGTTGGTGACGCACTATGGCCAGTTTTACGAGCTGTGGTGGGACGGTGCCAACGCGGTGGCCAATCGCTCCGTGCTGTACGAGTGGGACAAGTGGCTGGACATACTGCGCAGCAGTCAGCCCAGCGCAGTCGGGGGAGGCTGCGGGGGCACGGGAGGCGTGTTCGACTGCGGACCTGACACGGCATGGATTGGCAACGAGGGCGGAAAGGCGCCCGAGACCGTGTGGAGCTGGCACACCGCTAGCATCGAGTTTCCCACCGCAGACAAAGCACCCGTGTACGGTCCATACTTCTGTGATGTCAGCATCCGTCCTGGCTGGTTCTGGCATGAGAATCAAAACAATCAGCTGAAGACGCTCTCGCAGCTTGTCGACATCTACTTCCAGTCTGTTGGTCACAACTGCAATCTGCAGCTCAACGTTCCACCCAACAAGTCAGGACTTCTTCAAGATGGCGATGTTGCTCGCCTTCTGGAGTTTGGAGAGTATATCAGGTAAGCTGGAGTCGCCGGTGTCATCTGAGCTCAGCCCCTAAACTACATTTTGAACTTGTTGTCCCTGGAGAGGGGGTCAACAGACCTGAAACACTCTGACCCAGTGCGGTACACGCGATATGTGCCCTAAATAGTAAATAGTTAGTACGAAAAAGTCAAAAAATACCCAACACGATTTCCTCATTCTGCTGCTGCACAGGAGTATCATGTTTGAAAAAGGCCTAGCCCTGGCAATGGTGCCATTCAATGAGCCGTTATACTAGGCAGATAGCTGTATATTACTACTCACTGTTTATAGAGGTTAAGCTTTGTGTTGAGTGGTAAACGAGTGTTCGTGACGCTACTCCATACAAAACACCTCGTATGATGTCGTCGTGTTCCCTCTTGAACAGCCCAGCGCAGTGATGGCTGCGAGGGAGCACATTCCCGTTGAAAAGGTGGCGTACGTGCAGCCAACCATGGCTGTGTCCACTGGATGTGAACTCCATTCACTGTTCAGCGGAATGTTTTAGAAGTGATGACGGTATAGGTGGGCGTCCAAGTCAGTGTCTGTATGTGTCTGTTGTCTAAAAATGTAATACAAAAAAGGTGATTGCTGCCATCACTATCGGCAGCATCTCATTTTCAGCTGCCGCTTGAAAGAGTGGGATGGTCTGGTAATGCTTGCTGATCTAGCAGCTTTTGAAATAAACAGGCTGATTGTCGATTTGTGTTTGTGTTACTTCTAACTCATCCAGCGCTATGTACGAAACAGACTTTGCTGCCGGTGGGAATGCCACAACATCGAGTGCGGTTGCAGGCCATCCAGGCAAGGCCGTGGTAGACCCTGATGTGGACACGTACTGGCAAACGGAGGCTGAGGACAAGGACATGACGATCACCTTGGAGCTAACCGGCCAAGCGAACGGCGCAGACAACAGCGCCGCTGCTCCAACAGTGTTCAATGTAGTCATGCTTCAGGAGTACCTGCCAGAAGGCCAGAGAGTTGCCCAGCACATCGTGGATATCTCCAATGATGGCAAGGGCTGGACAACTGTAGGACTCGGCACCACCATCGGTAACAAGCGTCTCTACCGTCTCAACGCCGACACCACGGTTCCAAAGATGCTGCGCTTGCGTGTGATGGCAACATCGGGAAGTGTTGGCTCGCCAGCCATATCTCGGTTTGGACTCTTCAAGGCAGGACCTCTCACGGAGGAGTAAGTAGAGTCACTGTGGTGAGTGTTCAACTGCCGCCTCTTTCTTGGACTCCATCTCCTGGTCTGTGCAATTTTTTTATGTGACCAGCCATGCATTTCCGTTTCCTTTCTATTCAAGCAGCGAACAGCTATATCTGGCATTGAGTATTTACATAGTCATGTAGCTGACAAGGGTCATTGTTTTTCCTTCTCTTTAGTAGCTTGGCAGCCATGCAGGTAATGGTGGTCTTACACTAGAAAATAGTAGAGGCACTAGGGCTTCATTCCAGCTGTGTTAGAAAATTATGATGCATGAATTTCTCTCCCTCTATATCTCCTTTAGGCCATGAGTAGGATTTTCTCAAGCTTAAAAAAAAAGCTTACGATTGTAGTGCTTCCACGCTTCGTGGAATGCTTCATTTCCTGTAAACCTTCAAGTCTACTCATAGATGGTTGTACCACACTGTACACTCTCAATGATTATTATGTAAGTGTGTCCATTCTGTGGTAGGTCATTGGAGTGTAATGGTCGTCTAAAGTAGTAAAGTTTGCACGTCCGCGTTACCACCGGTTATACAATTGCGTTGAGAAACACAACCAGCTTAGGAAGTTTCGCATGTGCCAGGCCACCACCATGCCTGTGCTACCAGGGTGGCAGATGCAGCGCCTAACGGCGAGGGTGAGGTGGTAAGTCTCACAACCAATGCCCGACAAGGGGGCTAACCTCATGGATATGTTACCCTCCCTCCGAGTAGTGAGTACCCAGTTGACCGTGGGTGTCGGCGCAGTTCACTGCATGTAAAGTGGTTCACGCATGCATCACCGCATTTGCTAGCACAGTACACGCTCCCTGCTCCCAGCGCGGGTCTCGAACTCGGGACCTTGTGATTCGCAGGCAAGTCCACAACCACTCGGCCAAAGCGCTGGTTCATGATAATGGTCGTCTACATATTAATAATACTACAACTGTGGGTTGTTTTACTCACGGTCAGGGGACAAAAATAATCTTTTTGTTCTTCTTTTCCTTATGGTGTTGATGTCCACTTTCAATGCTAGCAGCTGGACTCTGCACTGCTGCAAAAAGCCACCTGCTGAGCTCTATGTGACTGTGTGCGTGACACACGTGTGTGCGTGCCCCACTACTCTCTTCTGATTGTGGCTCAATAAAAATACCAGACCTGATATCATTTTTGAAGCTGCTAATTCCGTCACTTTCCGGCCTGAGACGAGGAGTGACACACACGTACACACACCGTGACCACCACCATGGTGTTTTTTTCCGGAGTGTTGGTGTATTTTGTAGATCATGATGACCCAGATCGACCCAAAGTAGGCAGGCAGATTTTTTTGGCATGCATGCCGTCCTATGCGCTAGTGCAGGCCACTTGATCACGTGTCATGATGTGACATTGTCTGCAGTTCTGCCACTGCACTGGTACTAGACTACTACTAGTACTGCCTCTGTGGTTGCATGGACCACAAACTGACTGAACGGATGAGTGATGGTAAAATCATGCCCATGATTATATTCATGGTATTTTAATAGTATGCTGCCATTTACAAAATTATTTACTCCGACGTTGCCAATCGACGCTAGCCCACAACACACAGGTCCGGTGGCTAAATCAAGTAAATGCTTCACCTGCAAGATTTCAGGCTGCGGTAGACCATGGTAGACTCGGCCAGTGCAGGGTACTGGGTAGGCTAGCCCATGGCCATTCCGATTATTCCGAAGGTTCCACACACAGGTCTATGGGAAATGTCGAAATACTTCGAAGTAATAATAATTGTCTTTACCATTCGGAAACTTTGTGCAAGGTGAAACTGATTATTCCTGGACCTACTCAGCACTGGACACTGAGAAAAGCGGACACCGCTATTGCAGCGCAGGAAGAACTAGTCTCAATGCCAACAGCTCTGCAAAGACTGCTGTACAGTGAGCAGTACATGTATGCTGGACATCCGTCATCGCCGGGTAAGGACTAAAGCCAAGGCCAAGGGCAATCTGAACAAGTGCACTGCGCTCTGAGGTTTTCATGAGCTAACCGTTCTGCTAAAGCCAGTAAGTAAAAAGGCTGTGTCGGAGCTGTGCTGTCGTGAAACGTCGGATCCGTTTTGCTGTAGCGGTGATTACTAGTGCTACCCGCTAGCCTGAGTAGCAGTCCCACTAGCCTGTGAGGCTGTGTAGCAGTCCCAGCACAATCACGACGTCAGTGTGCATTTTACAGCTGTTGCATGGCTGTTTGAGGGCTCTTGTGGGTGGTGTTCATGAATGAGACAAAGTCAGCCTGGCCCAGTGGATGTTCATGAGTGAGGCAAAGTCAGTGTGGGAAATGACACGAGCACATACACTGTGCATGTACAGGTAGGTGCCTATCTAACATTACATACGGCACTGGGCACACGTCAGTACGAACGCTGTGCGTAATTGGAGCGGCAGCCAGGATAGAAAATAGCGAGTAGAGTACTGGCCGCCGCGCAGTGTGTTGCATTGGCTCGAGGACGGCCACGTGTACGATGGACGGTCACAGCTTGCTGCATTCGGTCTCACTGGAACCGTCCGAGGGTGACCGTGAGAGTTTGACTGATGGTGTGAGAGTTCAGCGGCGACAGCAGCAACCGATGTCGTACCAGCAGTACCATGATGAAGCACAACAACGAGCGGCAGCACCCACCAGCACCAACACCATGACCAACTCATCATCATCATGGCACTGGAAAGCCAGCGCCGAGCTGCGCCAGAGGCAGGTGTCGACGGTGAGGCGCTCCCAGCTGCCCATTGCGGCCATCGTCGCCAGTCTCGTGTGCACCGCCTTCGTGCTGCTGGCCGGCAATGGCACGACGGAGATGCTGTTTGTGGAGCTGCGGATGCTGCGCGGACTGCTGCTTCTGTTGCTTCTACTCTTCCTGCTCTCTATCAACATAGTCGTGTGGCGTAAGTATAACATTGAATACAGGCGTATACTATGCCTGGACGAGCCATTGCCAAGCTGCTACTGTATAGGGAAACGCCGCCGCGGTGGACAGTTGGAAATGAATGGAGCGGCACGCAGCATGGGTGGCAGGGATGGCGATGGCGATGATGACTGTGATGAAGGCGTTCCGGTGGTTGCCAAAGTAGCCAGTGTTCTATCAATCCTGTGGATTATCACCGTACTGATCGTGATCTACACGTGGGAACTCGACGGTCTGACCACGGTCAGCCAGCATGCACCGTTCACACTGTGGCTGCTGTGTGCAACGCTATTCTGCCTGCCCGTGGACGTGCTCTACATGCAAAGTCGCTTCTGGCTGTGCCGTAAGCTGTGGCGCATCATCACGGCACCCTTCCACCCGATTCGCTTCGTCGACACCTGGGTAGCGGATCAGCTGACCAGTCTGCCGCTAGTCTTCCTCGACTTTGAGTACACGTTCTGTCAGGTTTCCCAAGTGCATTGGCTTGGTGGCTACCTTGACGATCAGAGCGTCTGCTTAAATCCCACCATCGGCGCTAGGCAGGTGCGTACGAGTGTGTTGTCATGTTTACTGAAGTACTTGAAGTACATATTATAACTGTCACTGTGTGGATGTGTGTAACAAACTACTGCCCTGCTATTACCCCCGCACACATACACATGCCCACACACGCCCCCCCCCCCCCCTCCCCCCCCCCCCCCCCACACACACATGCCCTCTCTGTCTATTTCCCGAGGACCGCCGGAGTGAAGTCATAGGCCTGATTCCCAGAATTGTCAAGCCACAGCCAGCCTGTGTTAGGCTGGGTGAATGTATCGAAGTGTACAGGTTTGACAATATTCGATTGAATATTGCATTCTCTTGATCCGACCTTTGGCCAAATCAAACTAGTATCCTTCCTATCCTGAAGTGGCAGAAGGCAGACAAATTCATGTCGACAAAACCCATTGATGAGGTCTATCACTGAAAGTCAGTCTATACCAGTAGCTGTAAACTGCCTGATATTGCGATGTTTCAAAATTTTAATGTTTGCAAATATTCGCAACTTACTTAAGGTGGCAGCCTGGTCGTAAAAAAAAAAATTCACGGTTCGCGTGAGACTCGGCCAAAGGCCCAGTTTTCCGCATCCGCAGGAACGCCACCACCCTCTTGGATCAAGGCGCAGATGCAGCTCCTAAGCGGTGGGAGGTGAGTAGATCAGACCCACCACAAAGTGGTCAAAGACCGAAATCCCATTCACTGCATCCATGTTTCCCTCGTGCCAGGCCACGAGTTCCCAATTAACTGGTCGTAAAATCACTGAAAAATCGAATTAGTAAATTCATACCGAGTGCTACATCAGTTGAAAGAGCATGAACAGCTGCAAAATCTCTGAACATTTGGTCTCGATCGGACCAGCCGTTCAAGAGTTATGGCCGAAAATGTGCCCTTGCAAGGAAAGATTTTTTTGTTGCACGCTGTCATTTGTTGGCAGCACTGTATTTGAATGTGAGCAGACCGTGCGCAACTTGTCGTATCATGGAAACACGCGAAAGTGTGCAGAATTTTGCTCCAAGTCCAAAAAATCACGTTAAAAAACCACGTATCGGGCTGCAGGACTTTTGCCAGCACCCTCGTGACGTTGCAGATATGTGGCTTGATTATTGTAGTTGACGTTGATTGAGTGACTTTGGCAAGTTTGAGTCGTGTCAAGAAGTCAGGTAGGATTCAGCACCAGGCAGTAGTGGAACGTGAGTGGTAGTCTTTGCCGATTTTGGAGGGTATCCTGGATTCGGTTTGAAGCGCTGTGGAAATGGCTTGCTGTGGAGGTCCCAGCCGCTGGATGTTGTATCAAAGGTACGACCTCGTAGCACGCCCTGAACCTAAAAAAAATCAAAAATTGACTTGCGTCTGTGGGAGTCTGTGACAGAACGCCCACTTCTGCCGTTGTGACAGATTCCAGGGCCACGTTGAAGGGCCCGATCCCACCACCCATGGCTGCTTCTGGATGTTTTTTAGGTTTGGATCCTGCGCACGGACAGAATTGGCTAGAAAATGTGAAAAAAATTGTAAATGTATTTGTTTGGCTCCTGGGTGGCTTGCCATCCGTGGCACTATGCCGGAATTTTGAGTTTTTCCGGCCTGCAAAGCCTGTCAGTGAGGCGCAAGAACTTTTAAGTCATGTCAAGAGGGCCAGCATAGTGGCAGGAGTGTGTGGTGCAAATTTCACTCAAATCCATTGAGAGACACCAAAGTTACGGTCAATTGAATGCCATATGAAATTTAGGACCAGGCTGCTACCTTAAAGGGGAAGTATACCCTAAAATCAAATTTTCACCAGTTGTAGTCTTCGGGGTGCTGAGTCGAATGGTCTTGGTCCGAGGAAGCTGAGACGCTCCCTTCCTACTTGAATCCCAATCGAACTCGCGCACTTCCACCGAAACTGGGTGACTGCGCCCTACTAGATGGGGATTTCTATGCAAAATGTCACTAAAAGCGCCATTTCGTTGTTATAAAAGCACGCATGACCGCGATTGGCCCATATGTTGTAGTCTTTTGGACGCTGAGTCGACTGGTTTTGGTCCGAAAAGGCTGCGATGTAGCGTTCCTCCTTTATTCCCAATCGAACATGGTTGAACAAGCGGTCACGTGCTTCTGCGTACACCAGTCACCTGGTCACCATGCCTGCAGGGTACAACTTACTAGCCTGTTTGACCTTTTTTGGGTGCACTCCTGTCACTCGAGTTGAACTCGAGTTGAACCTTGGTGTGAAATTTGTCGCCTGCTGGCGTGGTGACCAGGTGATTTGGGCACCCAGGAGCACGTGACCGCTTGTTCAACCATGTTCGATTGGGAATAAAGGAGTGACGCTGCATCGCAGCCTTTTCGGACCAAAACCAGTCGACTCAGCGTCCAAAAGACTACAGCATATGGGCCAATCACGGTCATCCGTGCTTTTATAAGAACGAAATGGCGCTTTTAGTGACATTTTGCGTACAAATCCCCATCTAGTAGGGCGCAGTCACCCAGTTTCGGTGGAAGTGCGCGAGTTCGATTGGGATTCAAGTAGGAAGGGAGCGTCGCAGCTTCCTCGGACCAAGACCATTCGACTCAGCACCCAGAAGACTACAACTGGTGAAAATTTGATTTTAGGGTATACTTCCCCTTTAAGGTAGCTCAAACCACTTTGGAGGTGAATAAAACTTTTACAGAAGAAATGCTGTTTTCTCTGTTCTAAGTTGTTCTCTAGCATGCATAGACTGCGGAAATGACATTCCTATGGGGGATACTTATGCATTTTGTTGTACTTATGGCCTCTTGAAAGTACGAAAAACGCAATTTTCGTACTTTCAAGAGGCCATAAGTACAACAAAATGAAAATAAAAATACGAAAAACGCAATTTTCGTACTTTCAAGAGGCCATAAGTACAACAAAATGAAAATAAAAATACGAAAAACGCAATTTTCGTACTTTCAAGAGGCCATACGTACAACACAATGCATAAGTACCCCCCCCCATAGGAATATCATTTCCGCAGTCTACGCATGCTAGAGAACAGCTTAGAACAGAGAAAACAGCACTTCTTCTGTAAAAGTTTTTTTCACCTCCAAAGTGGTTTGAGCTACCTTAAAAGTAAGTTGCTCAGTCAATATTAACCAACGTGAAATTCAACTTCAATGGTGTGTGTGTGTGTGTGTGTGTGGTCGCTGTGCTCGACTAGCATGTTTCCTGATAAAATAGCTGGTGGTGAGACATCGTGATTGACATGCGTGATTGACATGCGTGATTGACATGCGTGATTGACATGCGTGATTGACATGCGTGATTGACATGCGTGCATCTGCTACAAAAAAGACACCCTTAGCAAAAAAAACGTTATGTTGTAACGGTATTACCGTAAGGGGGAAAATACCGTGATTTGGGTTCGACCTTTAGCAAGACGCACGCTATTTTTAGTACGCTGTTGCCACGAGAATAGCTTTATTTCGCGCAGTACAACCATTTATGTCACCATATACGCGATACAAGGTGAAATGCGTACGGACAATGCAATATTTGGCCGAAAAACGTACCGTTGGTCACAACGATAAATCAGCCCCCGTAACGTTTGTACGCTGCAGCTTCAACGCTATTTGGGTGATAAAGGTACGAGTACCGTAAAAAAATAGCGTTATCGTTGTTTGCTAAGGGTGTCTAATAATTTGTTGCCGTTACTGTAAGCTGCCAAATACATGTATGTGGCAAATACATGTATGTGGCAAATACATGTATGTGGCAAATACATGTATGTGGCAAATACATGTATGTGGCAAATACATGTATGTGGCAAATACATGTATGTGGCAAATACATGTATGTGGCAAATACATGTATGTGGCAAATACATGTATGTGGCAGTCGTTAGTTACAGTAAACGACATCAAGTTATTTTTGCAGCTGATACCCGCATGTCAGCAGATATAACAATAACGTTACAACATGTTCATGCACCCTTTAGCAATGTACGTATATACATGTGCTGTTGTTCTTCTGCTGGTACTACTTGCTGTGTAGGTAATCAACATTCTGCCATCCTGGTTTCGACTGGCCCAGTGCCTACGTGCGTTCTACGATACTCGCAAGAAGGCGCACCTGCTGAATGCTGGAAAGTACTTCTCCACGTTTCCCGTCATCGTCGCTGCCTCCCTGGTCGCCGAGGCGCGAGAGAGCCGACACGACTACTACACGCTGGCCATATTTGATCTCTGGCTGGCGCTGGCGCTTATCCACGCCGTCTACGTGTTTGCCTGGGACATCGTGATGGACTGGGGCCTGTTTCGCTACCAGGGCACGAGCGTGTCGGTTCTGCGGCCATGCCTGCTGTACCGCCGTCGCTGGCTCTACTACTGTGCCATGGTGCTCGACATCGTGCTCAGGTTTGCGTGGACCATGAAGATGTCGCTCAACGTCTCCATCTGGTTCGGCTCCGACATGCTGCTGCTCTTCCTGGGTGCCAGCGAGCTGGTCCGCCGCTTCGTCTGGAACTTCTTCCGCCTGGAGCACGAGCAGGTGAAGCACTACGAGTCTCTCCGGGACACTCTGGGGGGCGCAGGCAATGAATCATCGCCAGGTGAGAGCTATGTGAACGGTATCAGTCTTGAAACTGATGAGGATGCTGCTGATGCTGAAGTTGACGATAACGATGGTTTGTAGCTAATCCTCAGCAAAGTCCTGCGTAGCTGCAGGTGTTGTTAGTAACCAATAAGTTTGTATCAACTGGAGCAGAACCCACTGGAGCAGTATATTCAATAATTATAAGAATTGATAAACGGCGAGATAATTCTCACACTTGACATGTAACGTCGACATAATAATTATATCAATCAAGTTGTAACTAAATTGAGACCAGTCCACTTGTCTTGAAGCCGCAGAACAAAGTCTGTGTCTGTACAACATAAGTACAGTCATACTAGTAAGTGAATTTTACCCCCCCCCCCCCCCTCCAATTTACTCGGTCCTGACGGCCGCTACCTCCTAAAAACACTTATAAAATGCAGATGCAGGTTGCAGAGATAAAGCTCACTAAGTCTCGTGCATGACCACTCCGACACTGGCACTGTGGCAAGTGTCGATCAGGGAAAGCCCCATTACTGGCATTAGCCACATTCACATGCTCCTGTACAACACAGCGCACTTTAATTTGAAGCAATCTAGCCGAAATCACACTGAGATCAATCTAACTGTTGAAATCAAGCAACATTGTAAATATTGTTGTGATCACCAGTAACCTAGCTCAAGCCATTCAATATATTGCTGACGACATTACTGTGCAGTTATGCTTTCTAGTTGTGAAATGTGACATGACCTTCTGATGACAATACTTATCTGTGATGCTATTCCATATGAATCCTACTGGCTAGGAATTTGATAAACAGTTTCTGTTGATATTACCGCGCATCACATGTACTAGCAAGTAACTCCTAAATGCCATAGCAGCAAGAGATAAAAAAATAATAATTATTAGTAATTCACTGATCATCAACTCCCTCAACTAGAGTGACTATGTTATGCCTTGGAGCTCCCTACGTACGAGTTTGCGCGCGGTGTATTCGTGCGTGTGTGTATACGTGTGGGTGTGGGGTGGGTGGGGGGTACAGTGAGCCGGGGCTGCATCTCACCAGCCCGTGTAAGTTAGTTTCACAGGAAGCGCGCTTGGCATGATTGACAACCTATGTATCTTGCTGGTCATTTACCATGTACAACGCTGTGCGAGCGTGTTAAACTGGGGTGAAGGCTGCAATGAACCTCTTCATTTTTCAGTCACCAAAATGTCCTGCAGAGATGTAGACATGTTTACTGGTGGAAGTGTGCTGCAATCGCATTTTAATTCTTTGTTCGGCTTTCAAAGTGCAAACCCAACTTACTGCTGTCATTGTAAAGACGAGAGCGTAAAGACGTTAATTGCTGCTCAGGGACTGTGCACATAATGGTGGAACTCAGGGTTTTTTTTAGGGGGGGGGAGGAGGAGTACATGACTGTACCCCTTTTACCGCAATGCGCCCTCCCCCAGTCCCCCAGTCCCCCAGTCCCCCAGTCCCCCAGTCCCCCAGTCCCACACTGCAGCGCATGCTTTGATCTATCGGTACCGTGTGAACTAAGGGAGTACAAAATTAATCGTATTTTGCTACTCTCTGGTGGATTCTACATGGTGCGAGCCATGCCTGACCATGCAGGATGCCTTGACGCCGCCAATGACGGTGCCATGCGTTACTGTATTTGCATCCATTCAAATCGTGAATGTGAATGAGGCTGTCCAACCGCCCTGCTTAAATTGAGCAGGCCAGTCTTGCTTTGCGCCGAAACAGGTTGATCGCCATAGCACCCGTCCCAGATTTTCGCCATCACTGCACTGGCATGGCATGCGGAGACCATAGCCACAGGCACAGTACGACTCCAAGGGAGTGAGTCGCATGACTCGTAAAATCCTTTTTTTACGACTCCCTGGCGGAGACTAGACTGTCAAATGAGGACGCCTGCACCAATGACTATGTCAATGAAGAGCCATGCCAGCTAGTACTAGATCTACAGTGTCATCAACAGGCAGCGCGGAATAGTTCCTCTCTATCTTAGTATCTACTCTTCGCAGCGCTAACCATGCGTCTGCCTCGTCGCGATCGCAGGGAAAACTATTGTTACATAATCATTGTACTGTGGGATTGTCGGGTTCAGTTCATGCACCAGCTGAGCAGAGGCAGCAAGGCCTCGCAGCGCCTTGTGGCGCTGTGCCTGCAGCAGGCGATCTAGCATTCTAGGTGCATCTGAATGGACGAATGAGGAAGATAAGCTGCTATCCAGCTTGAAGACGGCATGTTGTGGTTAGAGGAGATCCTGGTAGTCCAGACAAACTGCCAAGCCACCTCCATGTCAGCAATACTTCAAGTACTACTGCCAATAGCGACAGAGGCGGCGCGGCAGCAGTCTCTGACTGAGCCAGGGACGTAGCTGGATCGCTCGAGTCGACGGAGACAAAAGGAGACTCGGACTGAGATCCTAGGTGGCGAACGCTCGGGCTTCCATTCTTTACTCGTACGCAGGGTTTCGGTAGTCCTGTCGTCGAGAAACTCGGAGCGAGCCTGTTGGAGATTATCATCCTCTCGGACAGTCTGCAACTCGCCATCTCTCATCGCCCGGTGAAGGGCTGGCCTTTCTTCCATCGTTTGCGAGAACGTGTCATCAACTGACGAAGACAAAGAACAGGACGGGTTTCTTGCACGAGTGTAGTGGCGGTGTGTGGCAGCAACAATCGCCATGATGGTGTTGTCACTACACGCCAGTGTTCTGCTGTTACTCGTGGGCGCTAGCAGGGTAGTACTGGGTGCCAAATACCAGAACACGGACCTGGATCCCAGCGAGTGTCAGCCACGCTGCGAGAACGGAGGGACGTGCTACCAGAGTCATTTGTACGTGGGCATTGGCTTCTGCAGATGCCCACCTGGGTACGAGGGTACTCTGTGCACGGAGCAAGTGGCCCACCGCCCCACGCCCGCTGCACCTACACAGGTGCCGCCGCAGGAGCCATTGGCGCCGAAGATCGGCAACAGCCGGTGCAGGGGAGATCACGACTGCTTGAACGGCGGCTCCTGCTTCGACGGCTTCTGTTTCTGCACCCAGTTCTACACGGGCGTCAACTGCCAGCTTTCACAGGAGCGCGATCCGGCAACGGAGGCGCCGCCACCGGTGGCAACAACACGTCCAGCTCATCGCCAGTGTCCGGCATACTGTGTGCACGGCCACTGTGACACGACACTGGGCAAGTGTGACTGCCAGCCGGGATACGTGGGGCAGCGGTGCGAAACGCGCTCCGGCGGGTGCAGATACTCTCTGCACACGTTTGCGCTGAGCTGCTCGTGCCTCGTCGGCTACGGCGGTCGCTACTGCCACGAGCGTGTCACCTGTCCCGCCCTGGCCACTGTCATCACGTATGGTAGTGTTACGCTCAGCAACGGTGCCGGTTCCCAAGGTGAAGCTCAGCCGTACGGCACCGTGGCACGTTACTCTTGCGACGCGGGTTACATTCTCAGCGGCGACGCGACACGCACGTGCCAGAACGATGGCAGCTGGAGTGGCGCCGCTATGCCGCGGTGCGTTCCCGCTCCGACCACACAGCCGCCGCGTCCAGCATGCTACGGCCAGTGCGTCAGAGGCAGGTGTGATGACGCCACCGGAAAGTGCCGCTGTCCAGCCGGTTACCACGGCGATCGCTGCAATCAACAGTCGGGCAGTTGCCACTACACGGTGTTTGGTGTCCGCTGCACGTGTTACCCGGGCTACACTGGTCAGTATTGCCAGGACAAGGCCGTAGTGAAGTGTGTCGGCCTGTCCGCAAACCTGCAATACGGACGCGTTACCTTCAGTCAAGCGGCCGCGCAGGGAAGATACCGGCAAGGCACCAGCGTCCGGTACTCCTGTGGCAAGGGCTACGTCCTCAGCGGCAGTTCATCTCGCTTCTGCTCCCGCAATGGACAATGGAACGGTACATCGCCGATGTGCTCGCCGGTCCAGTGCAACTACTTGCCGTCTTCCCTGGTCTATGGCCGCGTCACGTTCACTATGCCAGTAGTCCAGGGCAGATACCCATACAGCACTATGGTCAGCTACTCGTGTGGCAAGGGATACGTTCTGGCGGGAAGCCCTCGGCGACACTGCGGTCATGATGGCCAGTGGAACGGCACGTCCGCCTCGTGTTCGCCGGTGAAGTGCGGGTACTTGCCGACAATGCTGCAGTACGGTCGCGTTGAGTTCAGCCAAGCGCCGCACAATCGTGCGTATCCGTACCAAGCCTGGGCGAAGTACTCCTGCGGCAAAGGCTACGTTCTCCGAGGCAACAGTCACCGTTATTGCTCGCAGGACGGCAGTTGGAACGGCAGCACACCTTCCTGCTTTGCCGCCAGCTGCAAAGCACTTCCGAATGTGCTGCGCTACGGTACGATTGTGTTCAGCAATGCTCCAGTCAAGGGGCTGTACCGGTACATGACCAAGGCCACGCACTCGTGTAGCAACGGCTTTATTCTGCAGGGCAACGCTAAGCGCTACTGCCTGGACAATGGGAACTGGAATGGCACGATGCCCGCCTGTGTACCTCATCGTCCTCAGCCGCAGATGTGCACTGCCCTCAGCGCACCGGCACACGGAAGCGTTCAGTCCAACCAGTATGCCATTACGGTCCTGACGGTGTTCAGCTGTGACGCTGGCTATCGCCTGTCTGGCAGTGTTGCACGCATCTGTCTGCCATCCGGCCAATGGTCAGGTACCGACACCGTGTGCACTGCAGTGCTGTGCCCAGCCCCCGGCAGGATACAGAACGGTCAGATCAGCGGATATCAACGCTCGGTGGGCAGCGTGATCACGTACACGTGCCGGCAGGGTTATTTACTAATGGGTGCTGCGGAAATCCGGTGCCTGATGGACGGCCAGTGGAGCAGCAGAGCTCCGGTGTGCGTGCCACAAACCACCCAGATTCAACAGTGCTGTGCTCTGGACATCGTGCCCAATGCCATTATCAGCAGAGGTCAGGGGCTGAGGTACATTGGAGCACGCGTCCTGTACCGATGCCGTCCCGGCTTCCAGCTTCAGTCCGGCACGCTGGGACGTTTCTGTCAGGCCAGCGGCGTTTGGTCAGGCTCTCCACCGCAGTGCGTTCCTGAGATCAGCTGCCCAGATCCGGGTACGGTGGCCAATGCCCAGCGCAGCGTGTCCGATCCACAGTACACTGTCGGCAGCACAGTCAGCTTCATGTGCAATGCAGGCTACACGCTGACGGGTGCCAATCGTCTGGTCTGTACTCAGTCGGGTCAGTGGTCCAGCCCGCTGCCCGTGTGTGCAAGCAAGGTGACGTGCGACGGGCGCTTCGTAGCCGGGCAGCAGGTCTACATTAGCCCAGGCAGGAACCAGCCAAAGGCGGCCGACTTCATTGTCGTCGTGGAGGAGAGCCATGACCTGGCGCTGGAGTACAGCTCCCTGGAGCAGGCCATTGCAAACATCGAAGCCAACCTAACGAGCATGGGCGTAGGCACTACCAGTGCCCTACGTAATCAATACACGTTAGTGGGCTACGGTCAGTCAGAGGCATCCGGAAGGAGTTGTGTCAACCGACTGCTCCGGGCATCCAACGGCAAGACCACGTTCCCCGCCGAGTTCTTCCCGTCTGCCGCATTCGGCCTGATTCCGGATCGGTGGAGGGCGGCCAGTCGAGACGCCTACTCGGCAATCGCGTATGGCCTGACAATGGCAGATCTGCGCTACGGGCCCAACATTGCCCACAACCTGATCTTGTTGACGTCGTCTGATCGTGGTGTTCCATGTCCACCCGGGATTAGCCGTAATGCCACCGCCCAGGCTCTTCAGGCCAACGGATTCCTGGCCAACTTCATTGTGAACCAGCAGCTGCTAGCCGGGTACGACAAGGAAGAAGACGTCTTTGCCATCCGCCGCAGCCATAGCGATGGCTCCGTTTCCGCTGTTCTCCGCAACAAGAAGTCCAACCTGCGCAAGGTCACGGATGTGTACGTCAACTTCACGCGCAACTCAACGGACAACACAAATGAGGACTACACCCAGCTGGCGCTGGAGAACGGCGGCATCGTCTGGAACCTCAACATGCTCAAGACGGGCAGCATCAACGTTGAGAACTCGTTCAAGTTCGCCTTCCGCACGGTCAAGTCCAGCGAGGTTTACCTCCAGGCCCACTCCTGCAAGACCTGCACGTGTCTGGAGTCAGGTAACATGCAATGTCAGCTGGTAGCGGACCAAGATGAATGCCTGGACAGATGTGTACTGCAGCAGTCTCCCATTGTTCCGGCCAATGACTGCTCCATGATCCCTCACGGCGACCGCATGTGCATTGGCGATTCTATCTGCAACTTCTAGTCATGCTTAAAACGAGACGTTCAATCGAAAGTAGCACCTGGATTTAGCCATACTGGTGATTGTCGGACTCTTTTATCTCGACTTACTCTGGGCATTTGCATGCCTTCTCCTCTGACCACGTACTCATGATTGAGTCAGAATTTCTGCTGATTGATGATATCTTGGCTGATAGTCATTACCACGTTCTTTTCTGCCTTGATAAAGTGAGTTCATAACTTATGTAGCTCAGTGCCAGCTATCCCATGATGATGCATGCAAGTCAGTCTCTTCAAAATCTACTTGTACTCCTGATATCAACTATGATGATTTTCCAGCTCTGTCCAGGGTGTCTGGGAACTTATGTGCGGGCATGATGCGCTTTGTATAATAGTGCTGTTTCCACAACAATGGTTCATTTTAGGTTGTGTGAGAAGAGACATATTTCTCGCATGGATGAGTTGCTTTGCATCCTCTAGCTTCACACGGCATTGGCTCTTCCTCTTTCTGTCCTATAGAAGTTGTAACTTGCTCCGCGGGGGAAATCCCTTCCGTTGCTTCTCTGTGCCAGTGCAAGTCTCGTGTACTGTGGTGACGGTGTGTGCAGCATTTGGATTTGGAACTGTTCTTTTCTTTCCAGAGCCGAGGTCCTTCATGCATGTCCCTGCTGGCTGTATTCCTACAATGCAATTGTAGGATGAATGTGATATCCGCCAGGTTGCCACAGTGACTTGCTGCATGTGCAATGGTTGCATGGGTCGACGTTTAAAAACGCCCATGTCATTGTATCAGCTTCCATTCTGATCAGACTGTTGCATGTGGACACAGTTCAGGTACTCAATTTGCAATGACAAAAGTATGTATGCATGTACCGATATCCTAAAAGTGTACAAAAAACATTGACTGAGTGATCTGCATGCAGGCTCAACATCATTTACTACTCGAAATGTGTACTCATTAAAAACGAAGACATGTTTCAAGAGTACGGGGGGGGGGGGGGGAGCTACTTTAGCAAGGGAAGCGGACATAATAAACATTCTGTCAAATCTCTGCATAAAGACATTGTGAAGGGGAATACATACAATGCTTGAGTGCCTTGCAGACTCTATAAGACCTGCTGCAGAGTCGTATCTCGTGAGCAGAACGTAGCCCGTGATAAACTGGAAACTTTGGAACTGCAGCTTGAGTCAATTTTTCAAAAATCTATTGGTGGTTGCTGGCAGAGTCATTGGTAGGAACACCAGTGTCCAAGTCTTTTGTGTTATTATGTTATCTATAGCACTGACCTGCCTGTAACTCATAGTACTACTGATCATGAATATACTGTACTGCTATCACTGCTACGACTACAGTACCTAGGCAGCCGAATGCTATAAAATTAATGTGAAATCAAAGCTGCAGAACATCACAGTAGGCACCTACACAGGCATGTACATGTACATGCGGCAATCTCCACGAGATCATACGGCAGTGTTTTAATGCGGCCGGCTTTCTTACGCACATCCGCACTGACGTACCTTGAGGTCACGGATAGGTTTGACGACCGTGCGGCCTCTCGAGTCAAGGTAGAGCACTGTCAGCAGCGTGTAGGACAGTGGTACGCACTTGGGCACGGGCAGCTCGGCGTTCTCGACGGCTAGGCGCGCTTGCAAATGTGCATGACGAGTGACCGTGGTCTTGTACTTGTCCTGCAGCCTGCTGATGCCGTTTGCGTCCAGGTAGCGGCGGGCATCCACTCCGCCGTGGACGAGTGGAAACTTGCAATCACCGGCACAGTACCCCATCTCAAACTTCATGGGGGCGATGATGAACTGGCCCCAGCCCATGGTATCCACGTCGAACAACTGACAGTAGGAGTTGCACTGGCGTGCAAGCCTGTTGAAGTTCGTGCCGTCCGGGTGAGGCAGACACTGTTCGTGATTGACCAAGTGCTCGTTGGTTGGCTGGTCGGTGTCGGTGTCGCGGCGCAGACGTGCCTGGTGAAGACTGTGCTCGGACACGCGCTTCGTCTTCTGGTGCGAGTACGTGTACAGCACTGGTGGGGCGGTCCTCTGCTCGCGCGGCACTGAGAAGTTGAGCTGCAGCTCCTTGAGCACGTTCTCCTCATCCACCACGGAAGGGCCTGGAGAGACGCGCAGGTTGAAGCTGTGCAGTCCCGTCTTGTCGCCGCCAAGCCACCGCTGAACAAGGCTTGTAACGTCAATAGCACACCACTCCCTGCCGTGCAGGAAGTAGAAGCGGACGGCGTCCGTAGCAAAGTGCTCATTAGCATCGTGTTTGCTGTTTCCGCCGCTCTCCCTATGATAGGCGTCAGTGACGGTCACCGTCACCAGCGGGGAATCGTAGGGATTCTCCGACATCACGCTGGCCACTAACTGAGGCGACATGAGCAACTCGGCCAGAGCAACGTCTTCTTCCGCCGGCCAGCCTCTCAGGTCCACCGTGAACATGTCATGCTGTTTCTCTCCACTATCCGATCCCTCTGCATGCGGCAGCACAGAGAAAACGCAGGAGGAATGAGTAGAATCAATAGCTTGCCATCATCACATGCACAGTCCTACATCACGTACCCACACATACGTGTACTTGGGCAGAGGCACTCGGACGCATGCCTGAACATGCCGAAATTTCCGCATCCAACATGTACGTGGAATTTGTACACGCCCAACACACATTGCACATGCATACTACATCGTACACGTCATGTAGATCATGCTTGTACATGCAACAGGTGACATTGTTTTCGATGGATGATTTAGGTGCACTAGGCACTGTGCTAGCGTTTCCAAGAAAGTAACAAGCAATGACAACAAAATTCACGGTTCGCATGAGATTCGCTTAGAGACCAAGTTGTCCACATCCCTAGGAACGCCATCACCCTCAAGGATCAAGGCGCAGATGCGCTCCTAAAGCAGTGGGAGGTGAGTGGATCAGATCCACCACCAAAGTGGTCAAAGACCGAAAAAAAAACCCCATTCACTGCACCCATGCTTCCCTCATGCCAGGCCACCAGTTCCCAATTAACTGTGCGTCGCAACAAATTTGTTTGCACTCTCCTCGCCAAAATGTGCCTAGGGTAGTTTCCAGTTTCTCGGCATGCTGATTGGTGGCACGGCACACGTTATACAGTCTTTGCATACATGCCGCGCCGCCGGGTTCAGTAACCCCCCCCCCCCCCCCCCCCGCATAGTCCCAGTCAATAGTTACTCAACACAACTTTTTTTCTTACATTCAACAAAGTCTGTAGTTACACTATACTGCTTTTGAAGTCTGTAGTTACACTGTACTGCTTTTCTTCTTCTTTCTTTTTTACTGTTACTTGCAAGTATAAGAGCTCATTCAGCTGTGTTCCATAAATCCATTCAAGGTACATGTATCCAGTCATGTAGCTGACCATCCCATGCGGCGTAGAAGGATAGACTGTCATCTGATTGGACTTGACCTTCAGGTCACAGGGCCGGCGCCACTGGTACGGCCGGTACAGCCATGGCCGTACCAACTAATACTTCCCAGAAGTCGGTCCACGTGGAACGTCCAAAACCGGGGAGAAAAGGTTTCCATGTATGATTTTGTACAGGGAGTCGCCCAGAGTGCAGGATTAGCCGTCTAAATTCCAAAAACATTCTGGGGGAGGACCCCCAGACCCCCCTTAAAGATGGCCCTTCGGCCGCACCACTCCGCGGAAGCAGCCTCTGGCCCTGGGTCATATCAGACGTCTGCCACCTTGGTACATCGGGCATCGTGGTGGCCTGACACACCCGAATCATCCCAAGCAACTGTTTTTTAAACTGGTTGTGTATACTAGTACTACTGCAGGACGCGAATGCGTGAACTAGTTACTTGACCTAAACTTACTTTCACACCGGACGTGCTAGGATTAGGACGTCCGGTAGTCACCTAATTTTTGGTGTCACCGCTAACAGTAAGATTGTCACTCACCTATTTCCTCGATTATGGAGTCATATCTTCTGAGGATGCTGTTCGCCGAAGTAGTAGCTGACTCTCCGTCGAACGGTGAAAGTTGGCCGAAGGTGGGCTGCCTGTCCGAAGTTGTATCATGTGTCTGGTCAGCATTGTCACTGCCTTGTGATGATGGCCTGTTCTGGGCGGCCGCCGCAGCCGCTCTTCTTTCCAGGCTGTCAGCTTCGTCCACCGTCAAGCCAATGCCTCTCGCCACGTGCTTTCGGACAAGGGCAATATCCGCGTCCTCTTCCGACGAGTGGCGTGTCTTGCTCATATGCACGCGTGCTTGTGAGCACGCGACATAGCAGGCAACGACCACTAATGACAGCCTCACGAATGGAGTACAAGACAACGACATTCCTCCGTTTCGCATGATGGAGCGCGGAAACCTAGCCAATCGCGCACGCGTGGGATCCGGAGCTTCACTATTTTTTAGTTTCGGCTACCCCTAAATCCGTCCCTCCGTCAGTTCGTCGCGGAAAGTCGCTCCAAAACGCACGAACCTTATAGTTTCGACTACGGCAAGCTTTGGTGTGAGACGTGGGCAACGATGTTCGTCTCCTAACTTACCTAAGTCCGATCAGTCTTATCCGTTATATTAGCACTGCAGAATGGTTTGTTGAGTAGCGACAAAAAAATGCCGCTTCTTGAAAAGCAATCACATGTGCACACTGACCACGCATTTCATCGCAGGCCAGTTTTTGACCCAGTGTTTTGACTGGAACACTGCAAACAGAGATAGTCAAAATACACACAATGCGATAATATCCAACCCAGCTTGCTTGACGTTACCCATATCCAGACGAGAAAATCTCAGCCGATTATTTCCGTGACACTTGATGAAAACACTGTGCATATGTGGAGGCGTTCGAGTGGTGGCCCTTGACTTTCCACGAGCTACGAAAAGAGTGTGGTTGATTTGGTTCGGGGAGGGCCCGGGCTTTTACTACACGACTCCGTGATTTTGGTTGTATTGGTGCAGCCCGCGGGATCGAAGATGCTGTCAATCAGGACAGGAGTCGTATCGCCTACTATCGGGCGGCGGGTGCAGTGCTGTCAAAAAAGTGTTTCATGATTCAATCGGTGCAGGGCTACTTAGGCTGCGGCCGGCCCTGCGGGCTAGTGCGGCGCTCGGTACGTACAATAGAATTAATTCGTTGTTTCGGGTCACTTCACTCATCCGTACCAGGGTCGGTCGGTCGGGTTTATTTTATTTTATTTTATTTTGGTTACTGCCATGTACCTGATGTACAGTGCTGTTAGCTGAAATCCGACCCCTCACCGGTGCGGTCACATCGCAAAGAATGTGAACCCACCGCTCAGGGGGTCGGATTTCAGTTGCCAGCACTAGCACTGTATAAAATGTTCATATATTATCGAATAGCTTTTGTCCATCAAGCCAGTCGATTAAATAATTATGACTGTAGTCGACGATCCTGTAATATTGTCCCATCAGACCCAGGTCCCCTCCAGCTCCACTCACCACTGCTCCAGGACCAGACCTTGGCCTCGCTGGCAAACGAGTCCGAGGAGCAGCTCTCACCTTGAAAACGTCTGTCAAAGAGCGACGCGGTGGCGGAGCTGATGCTGTTTCAGGACCGATTGCGGATCGGAAGACAAACATCGTCACCAAGCGCTTCATCCTGTTATTTTATTTAGCTGCTTCTGAGGTCGATGTCTGGACTGCTAGCTATTATTAGGCGCGTGTGGTACATGTACTTTGAAGTAACATTGTTAGTAGTAACAATAGTCGAGTCATGTACATAATCATTTGCATGCACTATAAAAAAACATTGTGCGGTCGGGTGAACCGAAACAACGAAATAATTCTGGGTGGCCTAACCATTTTACCGTCGGTAGATCTACGTAGCCTAGGTCATCCGGTGGCGCTATGGCCGGGCCGGGGATGATCATCCACTTAGACTGCGAGGCCAGATCCTCGGCTCTATATGTATACACGCATCGTAGATCTACGTATACGACGTAGTCTACCAGTACCACCTCGAAGCACCTACAATGTTCAGTGTAGTAGTACTAGTAGATCTACTCTGTCCCCGGGGATAATTGCGGAAAAAAATCGCAAAAAACGCGGCAAAAAAACGCGGCATAATATGGCATAATTTGCGGTAAATATGCGGTGAATATTATTGATAGTCATCTCGCGGCGGCAAGTAAGTAATTAGTTTGCAGTTGATATGAGGCAATTTTCAGTGAGTATGTAGTGAAATCAATCAGTTACAAGTCTCTGGTGTAAGCGCTCGTCATATTTGAGTACAAAGCCGCCACCGGATGAGACGTTGCTGACCGAACAGTGCACTGTGTGTACGTGTAGTGCAACAGAAAAGTTCAAAAAACGCGGGAAAATCGCGGAAAACGCGGTCTTTTAAAAATCGCAAAAAACGCGGCCGCGGAATCGCAATTTTCCCCGGGGACAGTCTACTAGTGCCAGTAGTGGGTAGAGCAGAAGTCGGGTCAAGCAAAGGTGCCAGCCAATACGGAGGATTAGCAAGACGAAATTCGCGTTCGCAAACATTTTTCAGTTCGCGAACTGGATTGCGAACTTTCGCATTTTTCGTTCGGAAAAGTAGTCGGAACACGAATCGTGGATTCGTGTCAGGGCATGCATGCAGTCATAAATTTACCACGCTGTACTGCCTACGTCGTGTCAACATCATGCATGTGCGAATTCTGTTTGCTAATCCTTCTCATATTCATAACGCGAATTCCGTCACTGAGTTCGACTTTCTTTGGAGAGCGAACGCGAACGCGAATTTCGTCTTGCTAATCCTCCGTAGTGACTGAGTCAGACTGATGTCCTGGAAGGATTCTAATGGCCGCCACCACGAGACGGGTGAGAGATACGACACAGGACTGCTGTAATTATTCCAATATTTGACACGGAAAAGCATGCGCACGTGCACACACACACACACACACACACCACACACGCACGCACACCACATACACCCCCCCCCCCCCCCCCCCCCCACACACACACGTACACAAACCCATACACACACCGGTACATGTAATGGTTATGTGCTGGATGTAACATCGATCACACACGCATCTCCGAGCTCCGGATCCTACATACTCATTGTACATGTACATGTACAGTGTCTGTATATTCAGTAGTGCTCAATCTGATAATAATAATAATAATAATAATAATACTAAATAGTAGCTTCATTTGCATCTCTCTATGCCTATGGACAAACCTCCTGTGTCTCATCCACTTGCAGGCTATGAGTGCAAAGCGAAGAAGAGTCGTAGGATCAGGAGTGACCATGGTGACTGGACGGAACAGCACTTTGCATCTTGAAGGCAAGGCCGGGATATGGATATGATTATGAGTTGCGGAGGACACCAGAGGCATCACACGTCATCAACATGAACTGGTGCATGGCGGACGCCGGATCGATTATGTGCACTACTTACTGCTGGGTGCCAACGATGTCTCGACTGGTCACTTGGACCGTGTTCTGGTGTTAGAGGTTTGCCATCACACAAACCCCACGGCAATGGTAAAACATGTGCTGACTGTGTGTATTGCTTTCTTATGCTATTATCCATGTTAAAAAATGCCAGGCTCTGGGTACGTTAATTAACAGATCCGTATCAGGGAGTTGTGAAAATACTCGAGGGAATGCAGCATAATGATTGTGATTGGTTTCATAGACTGAAATTGTGCTTCGTACAGCAGTGACCATCACCAGTAGCTTGTATTTTGGCGACCATACATGTAGTCCCATCACAGCCCGGCTTAGCGTGATGCGAGTCAAATTACAAGTACGTCAAAAATACGACATGAAAAATGAGTTAATTTTTTATCACACGTTCCACACGACAGGAAACATGCCTGGCAAGCATGGCAAGCATGACAGGTGTTACCACAAAGTCAGAATGTACAAGAGTGTAGCTTTCACCAAAACGTCAAACCACCTGTCAAAATAGCACTTCCAGGTCAGCTCCACATCTTGCCAGTATACTACAGTGTATTATGGTATGCAATACAGTGCACTAGTAGTAGACCAGTGTGTGTGTGTGGGGGGGGGGGGGGGGGGGGAGTCATGGGTGTGTACGCACTGCATGATAAGTGGACGCACTTCACAGCATTGTCTAGTCTGGATTCTGTCACTGGTCTTTGCACGCTGGTAAGACTACAGCTACCTGGTCTGTGGTAACATCTCCTAACAGTCTACATGCAGGATAGGTTTCAGGCTAGATCGGGTCTACAACTTAGACTACAAGAGTCTCATTTTTGTATGTTCCACAAGGGGGGGGGGGGGGGTTACACCATCCCTGCTGCACATACATGTACATGTACAACAATGCCCATGGCTGTGAGAGGCACAGGGGGCATGCATGTGGACTCCCCTAAAGTCGTTCAACCTTCCTTCATGTTTGTTCCACTTCCAGATATGGCCTTGGGATCGCACTTCGCCGTCTGCTATGATTCTGGATCTGAAGTTAAAATGGAGTGCCAGTGTGCAAAGTGTCCACTTGTACTTGTAGCTAGCTGTATTCTGTAGCCTGTAGACTGCAAAGTACAAGGCTGCAGTACTGCTCAAGCTACATGTGCTTGAAGAATATTTTGAATGTACACCTCACTCCAGGCCGGTGGCTCAAGTGTGGATCAACTACTGTACCAGTACAAGGTGATGTATACTATGTATACAGGTATAGTACTCTGTTTGTGCTCTGGAGTTGCTAAGCAAGCTCCAGTTGGAGTGAGTGTAACTAGTGGAGAGGAACTAAGAATAAGATGATCGAGGCAGTGGTGGCAGTAGGCACCACGGACCCCACTCCCCACACACACACACACACACACACACACACACACACACACACACACATACACGCACGCCTTAGCAATGATCTTGTGCGAAAGAGGAGTGCAGCCTGGTGATCTGAGGGATTCTCAATCGGTTAGTTTCCGGGACTCCTTGAAAGCGAATAAGTAAATGGATGTTTCTACACCGTCCCATGAGACGACTTTTAAAAGATAACAAACACATCATGATGATGATGATTGTCTTCATGTCTGGAAACTCCATTATAGCCCATTGAACCGGGTCAGTCAGGCACTTCCCTTGTCTTCAACCCACAGTACACAGTGTACAGTACACAGTACACAGTACACAGCACACAGTGTACTAGTAGTTGCATGGTAGTGTTCTACATAACTCTACAAAGTCATACAGTATACAGTAAGTATACAGTATACAGTATACAGTATACAGTATACAGTATACAGTATACAGTATACAGTATACAGTATACAGTATACAGTATCCAAGCACCACACACTTGTGCAGCCGCTGGATTTACCGTTCAGTTTGCATGCATGCAATCCAGGGGTGAAACGAGTATCTATTTTGACCAATCGATCACTCATTCATAATATTCGATCGAGTATCCGATTATTTCGAGTATTTTATCGAAATTCAAAAGCGCTAGATTTGTGAGTTCTCGAGCAATTCGGAAGAAATTATCTGTGAACATAGAACAAAAGTCGCCAACGTCTTGTACAGAGTGTAAAGTAACGATTTTCACCAGTACTTTCATTATCTCAAAACAAAAATAACGTTACTTGCGGTGGTGATCGCATCGTCCAAGTCATAAAATACTGACTAAAAGGCACGAATAATGCATGCATACCAGTCGATGAGCAGTACAACAGAAGTTTTTGAAAAATAAAAGCCCAGTACTAAAAAAAAAAAAAAAAAAAAAAAAAAAACGATCGAGTGCAAAATTTCGAATACTCGCTCGTTTGAGATTTTCGAACGAATACTCGAATATTCGAACTAATCGTTTCACCCCTAATGCAACCCCACCACACCTTGGTGCCATCATCTCAATCCCAGTCTGGTCTACTGGCTGCTGGGGTTGCAACCCCGGCACCATCATCAGTGGCCATGTGACCATGGTGACCCGGGCCAGCCCGGAACTCTGTTTTCCTTGTTCTACATGCAGGTCATGGCTGAATCTGGTATCAATCATCAATAGGACTGGAATGCTTTGATTGAACTGTTGGCATCCAAGACTTCGCAAATGGTGAGCACTTTTCTTTGTAGTTTGGTGAAGACACCCACCCGGATCACTACAGTATACTGGGATGCATCATATTATTGTATGTGTGTGCTTATGAGAATGCCAATCAGGTCATGCAGTCTGAATGCACTAAGTTTAGCTTTACGTCCATGCTGCTCAGAGTCCAGTCCTGTACCGTAGGGTTGCTGAACCCTGTGTTGTTTCAGTGCTGGATGCTGGTCATTGCCACTCTAGTCCTCTGCCAGCAGCTCACTCAGATGTCATGTATTGCTTGGCTCATGATTAAGTTTGCCGATGATGCACCTGCTAAGAAGGGTGGTTCTTTTGTTGACCCAGCTGCGGTTAATAATAATGGATTTGTTGGCAAACACTGGGGGGGGGGGGGGGGGGGGGGGCAGTTCCATGCGTACCACACAAAACTCCTGCCCCCCCCCCCCCCCCCCAGTGTTTGTAAAAATAGGTATTTTACTGCTGAGCCACCTGATTGCACTCCATGTAATTAATGACCATACCATACTGTTGACCACAGGTAACCTGCCGTGTAGGTGCAGTACAGGTAGGTACTGGTGCCAGCCAAGGAGATTAGTATGGCCAGTGAGTGCAGGTCACTTGTAGGGAGCCTACATGTACATGACTGTAGGCGTGACTGCAAGTGTGCACAAGATGCCCTGCAAGTACGCCACTATAATTATGCTTCATTTGCAATACCGTGATGATAAGTGACTTTACTCACCAGTGCAGTTAGATTCTGCAGCATCTAACTGCACCTCAGAGGCTGAGATGGGCAGCACATCCCAGTGCCAGTCTGTTGGTTAACTGCCAGAAATGGGCCGCATTCCAGGAGAAGCCAAGTACCAGTATCATGGTCTGTGGCGTAACCCAGCCCATTCCTGGCACCAGGATCAGAGCTAGTCCCTTGCACAGCCTCAATCACCTCACTGGTAACAATGACTACAGTCGTGTAGAGGGAGACTCAGAGAATCCAGATACTAATAGTAGAGCCTTTAGAGGGAGCTTTAAAAAATTACACAGTCCTGTTCAGTCACCTGGCCTAACGTTAGTCCTAGTGCAGCAATCATACATGATCCACTCAAGCACCAATCGTTAATCCCATGATTTAGACAAAATACTTCACTATTCATGAAGGAATTAGTATTTGAGCTGACAAGCCACAATTCGGGCCATCCTGGCTCTGCCAAACAGTACTGAACACTGGCTTAGTCATGATCATAATAATTATAATCATTCCTGATGGAGTATAGTTACGAGCTGCCATAATCCATCTGCTCTTCCTTCACTAAGATGAGGAACAGGGGGACCACGTGGAGTGCCTGGAGTGTGGAGTGAATGGCTATTTTTGACAGCTCCCAACAGCCTGAGAGTAACCAACCCTTGGCAACAAAGCAGATTGCAGCTCACTCTCATGATGCAGTGATGCCAAGTGGCCAGGAAAGTAGCCTCTGAGTCAGGGGGTTATGTACTCCTGGTCTGACTCAGGTTAGCCACGTCTCAGCCTGTTCAGTGCAACCACTGCAGGTATTATAGGCCTAGGCTGGGCCGGAATTAATTTGCACTGCACCCAGCCTCAATTAATTGTGGTTGGCTACTCTACAAAAATACAGGATTTTGAACAGTTGACGTTGGCTGGGTCACCATTCATACAGGATACACTGACTATGCACATGATTGTACAATGACTATGTACGCGGTATGTAGAGTGTAGATTGCTCATTCATTGATTCTTGAGAGGGTCTAGAGCTACATGTACATGCTGCTACAAACTTAAAAATAATTTAATGGACATTTCTTTCTGACCAGTGACGCCCACGCCTGCCCTGGTATGCTGGTACTTGCATACTATAAATTATTATAGTGCTGTTTCATTATGGTGGGCATTTCAAAAGCACTTCTGTTACAGTACAAGTAATGGCGAGGTCAAGCAATACATACACCAGGGAAACAGCACTTATGTGTATGTATGGATGTATGTATGGATGTATGTGTACCCCCTCCTTATGTGTATGTATGTATGTATGTATGTATGTATGTATGTATGTATGTATGTATGTATGCCTTTTGCAGAGCATGGCCAAGACTACACACACACATAGTCTATATAGTTATACACATCAAGCCACTATATAAACTAGACGAAGTATGAAAACCAACAGACAAGTCTGGAGCGTCCATAATTTTATTATAACACAGCAACAATATTTCGTGATCAACGTTGAAGTGACCATGGCTAGTATTAACTTAATAATAAATAGAGAGGACATGTTACAATAACAAATCGAGACCTTGAGAACAGAAACATTTCTTCACAGTGGCAATGGCGACCAGCACCAGAAACAACAGCAGCACCAACGACACACCTTCACTGACATCACAGTCATGCTGTATACTGCTCACTCACTCGCTCCCTAGAAGCAGCGTTGCTTATGTGGCTCTGCCCAGACAGCACGTGCCACCATCCCACCAGCTGATAAATGAAAAGGTACAGGAAATGATCTTCAAGCAATGAAAAATCATCTCGATGGGAACGAGAGCAAAGCAGAACTGTGACCTGTCGCCAATGGTGGTGTGTAGCATGCTCCACATGGCCGAGACCAGTGAGACAAGTGAGTGCACTGATGGGTTCTGCCTCCACGTCCAGCACACAAGCACTCGGAACTCAACCGACAGGAGGCAGCTGATGCCAGCTTGACTAGAAACCAGGGTGGTCAGGGGTGGTGGTCAGCGATGCTGACTGCTTCACGTGCACACGACACAGCAGCGGCGTATCTCCCATGGTAATAGATAAGTAAGTATCACAGGGAGTCAGCAGTTGTGCCCGGATGATGTGCCACATTCCCACCACATACTCATGTAGCAGTTTGCAAGCCATACACTGCAGCTGCACAGATGTTATCATCTCTCCGGCAGCTGCACCAACTGACACGATCGAATAATGATGGCCAGAAAGAGGACAAGCAGAATCCACGGGACGTGCTGCTGCCAGTGGCGCTTGGACGCTTGGGAGCTTGCCACTGCCTGGGGTGAAACTGGCGCCCCAGACACGGCACCAGCTGCAAATGGTTCCGGCAGGCGCACGGCATTCTCCAGTGACCCGGGAACGAGATCGGCCATTAGGTAATGCTTTCCAGCAGACTTGATGTCTACTTGAACATACTTGCCCATCAGACCTTTCACATCCTCAAGCAGAACCTGGAGGGAGTAGAACAAAGAGAAGGGGGGGGGGGGGGGGATTTGCCTATTCATCAGCCTGAGGGAAATTGTAAAAAGTATTCAGAGGCAAAGCTCACACTCTCAATGGCTGGACACAAAGCTGCAATCGAAACCTGGAGCTTGCAGATATGTATACAGTGCTTGTACACCACAAAATAGAGTGCAGCAATACTTCAGGGTTTTGAGCCTCGAGGTTTGGCAAAAGAAAAAAGAAAAGAGAAAAGAAAGAGAGCAAGCATGTTTTGCAAAGGGATTGGTGGATCATAACATTATACGGCAGCAGTTGTTGATCACATTTTGTAGACATAGTGCTGGAGGGTGTACAACCTTAGAACAGTATCAGATGCCTACATAGCACTACAGTCCCGTTTTTTAAATAATTAAAAAAAGGATCTCATGAACGAGGGAACCGGATAATCGAACACACATACTGTATGTATGCATGACATATGCTGTAAATCGGTAACCAACAATTTTCTTCCGGATGGCGAGGGATCCGGATAAAAGAGGACCGGATAAGCGAGGTTTGACTGTATCACAACTTAGTCAACACGCACAATAATAATCTCACCTGATCGTACGACTTGTTGTGAGCAACCAGATGTTTCTTGTCATGAGCAACCTCTGTCACCAGTACCCACTGACGTTCTCCAATCTGGATCACAGCGACACAGCACAATACAAGACATAGGCAAGCTCAATACAGTACAGTAGTACACCAGAGGATATCTTACGGAGTATATATTATTATTATCTTCTCTACCAATGTCTAGTTGACTGATGACTGGCCAAGTGCATGAAACTGGAGATTACAACGAACCGGAAGCGTGGCAGTATCCTCTGTGAAACCAGGCACTAGAGAGGTTAAGATGCACGTTATTTCCGACGTGACGCGAAAGTTCAGCTCGCGTTATTTGCTCGCACGTCGAAAAATCAACGCGAGCGACCTGCTGCTCACGTCGAAATTTGGAGTTTTACGCCAAATTTGACGTGAAATTGCGCGTCACGTCGGAAATAACGAGCATCTTAACCTCTCTACTAAGTGAGTATATGTGAAAAGGGTGCAGGGGCTCCGGCTGTTTTTAAAGGGGAAGTATACCCTAAAATCAAATTTTCACCAGTTGTAGTCTTCGGGGTGCTGAGTCGAATGGTCTTGGTCCGAGGAAGCTGAGACGCTCCCTTCCTACTTGAATCCCAATCGAACTCGCGCACTTCCACCGAAACTGGGTGACTGCGCCCTACTAGATGGGGATTTGTATGCAAAATGTCACTAAAAGCGCCATTTCGTTCTTATAAAAGCACGGATGACCGCGATTGGCCCATATGTTGTAGTCTTTTGGACGCTGAGTCGACTGGTTTTGGTCCGAAAAGGCTGCGATGCAGCGTTCCTCTTTTATTCCCAATCGAACATGGTTGAACAAGCGGTCACGTGCTCCTGCGTACACCAGTCACCTGGTCACCGTGCCTGCAGGGTACAACTTACTAGCCTGTTTGACCTTTTTTGGGTGCAGTCCTGTCACTCGAGTTGAACTCGAGTTGAACCTTGGTGTGAAAGTTGTCGCCTGCTGGCGCGGTGACCAGGTGATTTGGGCACCCAGGAGCACGTGACCGCTTGTTCAACCATGTTCGATTGGGAATAAAGGAGGAACGCTGCATCGCAGCCTTTTCGGACCAAAACCAGTCGACTCAGCGTCCAAAAGACTACAAGATATGGGCCAACCGCGGTCATCCGTGCTTTTATAAGAACGAAATGGCGCTTTTAGTGACATTTTGCATACAAATCCCCATCTAGTAGGGCGCAGTCACCCAGTTTCGGTGGAAGTGCGCGAGTTCGATTGGGATTCAAGTAGGAAGGGAGCGTCGCAGCTTCCTCGGACCAAGACCATTCGACTCAGCACCCAGAAGACTACAACTGGTGAAAATTTGATTTTAGGGTATACTTCCCCTTTAAATAGACTAACCAACCAGTCTTGGCTACAACGGTGACACGCAATGTTTAATATGTAGGTGATTACTGATTAGGACTTTTGATACATATAGGTTCCAACCATTGAGTTGGTGCCAAATTCGCCACTGCTCGTGCCAACCATCTACCCAACATGCATGTTGAGTACAGGTTCGGCTGCATGTACTAAAATAGGAACTATTAAAGTGTAAATAGACCGGTGGTGCAAAGCTGTACTAGAGAAGTGTCACAGCAAAGCACAACAGCAATGGCCACCATAATCACTATTAAAGACAGTATTTCTCTCACCTGGTGGTCATAGGTACGATAGGACTGAAACACTTGAGACACGGCACGACTTCTGTTCTTTACCTGCGCACACCATGACAAACAAGATTGCATAGCAACATAAGATGATCGTTGCACACCAAGTCGTTTTGGCACACCAATCTGCCACGAGTGTTCATACCGGCTTTAGCGCAAAGGTCACACTGTCACACTGTCACTGCATGACTTACACACACCCACACCCACACATACACACCCACGCACATGTGCACACCATGTACCCAGACACACACACACCAAGGTAGGTGTGGACCATACTACAAGCAGCACACAAATCTCAGGTAAAGTGCTGGATTTGCACCCCCCCCCCCCCCCCCCCCCCCACACACACACCCACACAATGTGACTGGATGCTGGCACTGTAGCTGTATGGTGTAGGATTCTCACGGTAATAACTGCAACAGTGAGGATTTCACACCGGTGCGAGCCGGCCATCACTTACGTCTTGCGTTGGTATTCTCTTCATCCGTGCAGCAGGTGTCCCTGGTCTGGGATAGAACTGGTTGATGAACAAACTAGGGAACTTGTACTTCTCTACAAGCTCAATGGACTGCTTGAAGTCCTATCAGTGCACGCGCAATAAATACAGAAAGACGCCACAGCAAAATTGCATGACATAGGCCTCCTTGAGTGAAGATCATTCCTCATAAGTTACTGTGCTCTTAGATTTCTTCTGTTCTGCACTTGTACAGCGCGGTGCACACAATCCTGTTCTGCACTTGTACAGCGCGGTGCACACAATCCTGTTCTGCACTTGTACAGCGCGGTGCACACAATCCTGTTCTGCACTTGTACAGCGCGGTGCACACAATCCTGGCTAGTGTCCAGCAATCAACGATTTTATTAAAATAATTGTTCTCTCAGAGTTTCTCCTGATACATGACCAAAGCCGTTGCCGCGTGAAAGTTGCAACAGTATGAGCACAGAAGTGCAATGCATTCCTAAATGAATCTTGCCCGCAACACGCACGCACGCACGCACGCACACACACACACACACACAGTAACAACACAGGTCAACACAGTACCGATGTATCGGACACATGCGTTCACTCACTTCTTCCGTTTCCGTTGGGAATCCACAGATGAGGTCAGTGGCTATGGTGACACGAGGTACACTGCACAGGACACAATCAGCATTACGCAAGACTTCATTAAAATAATAGAGAGGTTCTGCTATACGTGAAACGTAGAGAAATCACGTAGAGAGCAGGTGTCTGGGTTAGAGTCTACGGCTTCGCGTGTTTTGGCTCCAGATTTCTACGCGGAGATGAGGTTCTCTACGTTGTGGCACACGCAGAGAAAATTCGTACGGATTTGCTGGGTATCGATCAACTGCATGCAGAAAACTGCCAAATATGGAAGGGGAAATTCCCAGTACACATTCCACGTGACTTCTCTAGGTGAAACGTAGAGCAGAACAGCATTTCTTTACGTTACGGGAACGCGAAGAAAGTTCGCGTGATTCTTTGCGTCGCGTTCCCAACACGTAGAGCAGAACCTCCCTAATGCATTAACAATACCTACAACCTGACACAACAATGACGGCGACGACGACAACAACGACGACGACAACAACAACAGCAGCACCAGCAGTATTGTGAACTGCATGTATTTTGCGACAAGCAGAATGTTAGGCTCATGTTGGCATTCTGCTGGAGAGCACTATTGCATTTGCAAAGCCAGTGCAACACCCAGTTGTTTCTGCTCAAGCCAAATTGAACGTTTTTCGTGCATGACTTATACTAACTTTCTATTCATATTGCCAAATCATTGAAACGTAACAGGTAAAAAAATTGCTACATGCATGTAGTCACAATACTAGTGACCACCATCACCACCACCACCACCACCACCACCACCACCACCACCATCACCATCACCACCATCACCACCACCACCACCACCACCACCACCATCACCACCACCACCACCACCACCACCACCACCACCATCACCACCACCACCACCACCATCACCACCACCATCACGACCACCACCACCACCGCCACCACCACCACCACCACCACCGCCACCATCACCACCACCACCACCACCACCGCCATCGCCATCACCACCACCACCACCGCCACCACCACCGCCGCCACCACCACCACCATCACCGCCACCGCCACCATCCCCACCACCACCGCCACCATCCCCACCGCCGCCGCCACCACCGCCGCCGCCACCACCACCGCCACCACGTACTGTTCTTTGAGGTAGTCGGCAACATGTTCAAAGTCTGCGCGGCTGTATTCGCGTTTCATGGCCTCCAGGACAGCATCAGAACCTGCCTGTACTGGGACGTGCAGGAATGAATATACCCGTGGATGATTGAGAACTTTGCCAATTTCCTGGACATATACGCACACAACACACACACACACACACAGCACACACCATTAGAATTCATACAAGTAGAAAACATGCCTGGAGACGACACTCGAAGTAGAAAAGCTCGACGTATGCCATCTCTGAACAGGAGTTCATGAGTCATGCTTGTTGGAAGAACTACATTTGTAAGACCATAGGACTGGACAGTGCATGAGGAAGCGGATGGAAACGTCACAAGAAGTGACAATGTTCAAAACCACTCAAAGCAATGTGTATTGAGCTGTACCTCTATACTAGTACAAACGTGCATCAGTAGCACATGTCAGTATGATCCGGTCAACAGTACATGTACTGGGAAGGCAGTGATACACTAGTTACACTGTTCACAGGCAACGACGCTGCTCCTAGTAATACTTGTATGACTACTGACTGACCTCTAAGTGCTCAAGAATGTACGGCGGATTGGTCATGCCCAGTCGCATCATGGCCCCTTCGGGGATGACCTCCACCAGCTGCCAGAGCAGGTCCGGTATTCTGATGCCAATGTCATGTCCGTACGCGCCCAGGTCTTCACTGGTCAGCCATATCTCACGCACACCCTCTGTACATCATCGGCAACAAAGCGGGAACCACACAGCATGCAATGATACAAAGCAGTCATGGTCAAAGCGGGGCATGGGACTCAGCATGAAAGCGCATCAAAAAGTAGATGACAATCGCAGCAAGCTGCCTACATAATAGGTGGCAGAACTGTATACATGCTCTCTTAGCACTGAGGAGAGGAATCATTGGCTGAAACAGTTAGCTGCCCCAGTGTCCGCAGTTTGGAATACTAGAACTCAATACCCTTACTCCACATGATGGTCACTGCATTAGGGATAACTGAATTCATGTTGAAAATCAGAAGCGGCAACACAAGCAAAGCACGACAGGCGGAAGTGCACTCGATTGCGACACGGCTACATTCCTGAAACTGGACTTGACTGACTAGCAATGCACACACACACACATCACCACAGCTACAATTACAGGTATAAAATTAGGAAACTACCCCCAGCCCCAAAGAATCACTCCTGTACAACGCACGCATGAATCACGCACACGCACACAAGCATGATAGGATTATCTTACCCGCAAATGCTTGCTTAGCCCTGGCCACGAGCTGCTCTGGTGGGTAGCTACCAAGCTCACCTCGGGCATGTTTAGTCTTGCAGTATGTGCACTGGTTCAAACAACTGTGTCCACGTAAAGAAGAAAAGCACCATCACAAGAAAATGCATACAAAGTCAACACAGCTAAACAGACTTGGTGTTCTGGCTATTGATGTGCATGCGTATATGATGCCACAGGAACCACTTTGCCACAAGTCAGAAAGTTACAGGAACATCCCACCTGGGAGCTTGTTTTGTCTTCATTTTTAATTTTCAAGGAGAAATCATTTGTTTATTCCGGGACTTCCGGTGCCATTTGTGTGGGTGTGTCGCACACGTGCATGAAAACATTACACGGGAGAGTGACTAGTTTCGTAAGTTGGTTGCTCGAGCGTTTTTCCTGACGACTTGACACAACTGAATCATGACTGCCGCGCAGAGGACACGAGAAGTTCACTGAAACTTTCGACTCGCCAACCCTGCAAGAAAGCACTGCTCCTTGCTCAATCAAGCCAAGAAAAAGCGCTAGCTCGAACGCTGCGAGCAACAAACTTCGTCGAGGTTGCCACCACTAATTCGAATAGTTTTGGTGTACCCAAACCTGTAGTTCAAACCTAGTATCTTGCTGTCTACGGTGCATAAAAAGAAGAGGCAATCAGCCAGCGTGGCATCTTTCAGTGACGCCCTTCAAGAAGACGAGCCAAAAGCTCGGCTTCTATCTCCTTTGCAACAGATGCAGGATAAAAGCCGACAGTTTAACGCCAAATCGCATACTGTAAATATACAAAATTTCGGCGCTGCAAAATTTCGGCACTTCACGATTTTTGACATTTCGGCGGCGATTTATTTTCGGCGTGGGGTAGAGGGCATGGTATAGTGCGACAGATGCTGTGAAAAATTTCATCGGCGTTTTAATTTAGGCGTTTTGGGTCGGTGCCGAATATAGCCGAAATTAAATAGCTGCCGAAAATTTGTATATTTACAGTACATGTACATACGACGCACCACAGAACGACGAATGCAAAATCGATCTGTAGCTGCAGAGAAGCTGCACAGGGATTCCCGTGCAGTGTGACATGTACCGGTAGCTGGGGAGTGAGGCCCTCACCTTTCGTTCGAGCCCATAAACATCATTTTTCGTACTGTATACATAGCTGGATTAAATCGTCAAGGATTATTCTGGCATTTCTCTTGATTTCTCAAATTTGAAAGGTAGCTCATCGTCTTAAGCGTCCTATTTCCTTTCAGGATCAGTTGCCCTAGTTTGCCGGACGCTTTGCGCATGGCTGCACAAGAAGAACATTTGGTGCCAGGTGTTATTGGAGGAGCACTGTAGCAGGCGTCCGCTTCTGGCAGCGCCGAGTAGGACAGTATATATACCTCGGTGACTGGACCAAGAGAGTTGATATCAAAACTGCCTGCTTGGAACAAGTCGTCAGCAGCACGTGGATTCCAGCAGCCAAGAAAAGGATTGACGGCAATGTCCGAGAATCCAACCAGTGCACAAATGCACTCGTGCCGGAGTTGCTGAAGGTTCAGTAGTCCCAAACATTCACAGACAATGTTCTGATAAAATGTAAAAGTGTGTCAGTTCCTTCCGCAAGATGGACCAAGCACTTCCGTAACAGGGGATTCACACTCACAGGACAACCTGCGGTCACAGGACAACCTGCGGTCACAGGACAACCTGCGGTCACAGGACAACCCGCGGTCACAGGAGAACCTGCGGTCACAGGACAACCTGCGGTCACAGGACAAGGGCATGTTCAGACCGAGTGTGGCCAACCTTGAATGGTCTGTATGACCCCGGACACGCCACGGGCCTCATGGCCAATTGGGTGAAGGTCTACCCGGGAACTGATGGCTACGTGGGAGTGGTGGACATCTGCAGCCGTGGCAAGAAGTACCAACAGGCTGACAGCTTCACACAAACAAAATGTCCTTCACAATGAAGTTAGCTCTCTAGGAGCAGACGTCATTGATAGCAGTGGTACCCTCCAAATTGAGACGTTGGCTGATGGCAAGTACTTGCCAGCAGTATGTCTGTACTGTCTCGAGCTGCTGTCGGACAATGTTGGTATCTTCAATATAAGAAAGGTGATCAACAGCGTCCTGACAATGGCTGGCGTGGCTTCGGAAAGACTACCATTCCATGGCCATGGCCTTCTTTCCCAGATGCTTGTGGAGTTGAAGGGCCTGCGTACTGGGCAGGCTGCGCACAGCAGAGGAGCTTGAAGAGGAGCAATTTACGACACTCCACAGCACACGGGGCCAGCAAACAGGGCAATAATAATTTTGGCGCATTCCAGATCGGTACGAACCAGCACCATTTTTATAGTCCTGGAATGGTTGATATGGAGTGAGGCACTGCAGCCCACACCCTCGCGGCATTCAGCGGAGGACAATATTCGATAAATGGCCAATGCTGGATTATAGTTATGATGGGATATCCTTGCACGCGTTGTCAGGTTGGCGAGTCCGGTGGGACGATTACGCCACCCTCATTCAATTGGCTGCGTAGAGTGTTCGGGAACAGGTTGTACACCTGCGGCAGGCCTTACTAGGAACAGGGCGCCACAATGAACATGCCATTGGAATCGGTTCGGTTGGGTCTGTCACTGACGTGCTTGATGCTACTCACAACGTTCTCCACGGTCAACACAACGTCACATTGGACAGAATCGCTTTTGCAGTCCCAAGAAGAGGCTGGTGAATCGTTTGACGACTTTGTGGTTACCCTCAAAACCAAGATCCCCCCCCCCCCTCTCTCTCCAGAAATGGTACTTTAAAGTAGGAAGGATAAGCTGATCCCCATTTCACTCACCCAGTGTTTATAGCTAGAATCTCAATGAGAGGGTTCTTCCTGATCTTGGGCAAATCCAGAGCAGCTCCTCCACTCTTCTGACCATCCTCATTCTTCTTTGTGCCAAATAGACGAACCGTGTGACCTTATCATGTGAAAGAAAGAAAGAGATATAGAGAGAAAAGAAAGAGAAAGTGTGTGAGAGATCAACAGACAGCCATCTCTCATCTCATGTCAGCAAGGCAATGCTCACGCCACCTCTCTCAATGGCACAATGCACAGATTGTTGCAATAAGAAAGGTCAAGGTTATCACTTATTTCCTTTATCCAAAGAAGACAGCCCATGATATCGTCACCAGCAAGAAAGGCAGCGATCCTGTGACTGGTAGTGTCTCCCCTCTACATGGACCCGTCTACACAGAGACCCATACCACAACAGCCCTGGTGTCACATTACGCCCTGCCACACCATGCCAGTGCAGCTCACCCTGAGAGCATTGTAAAGGGGCCTCTGTGGTGTTACACTCAATGGCAGGGTGGAGAGTTTGCTTGAGTCGGCACAAACTCATGCCCGGCAGGACAAGAAAGCAAGATTAGTACCCACCTTTCAGAGTCTCTTCCACAACCTCAACTACTCGATCGATTTGTTGTACCTGCAACACATTGGAATTAGATAGGTAAACAAAGATAGCATGTTTTAAATTCTCAAAGCACATTTACAACCTCAACAAATACAGGTGGCCACACAGAGCAAACAAATATTTCATACATACACACACATACACACACACACGTGTGGCAAACTTACACCAACGGCACTGATACGACGCAGGCTGGAGTCATCGCGGTGTCCTTGTGGTACACAACCAGCGATGACCAGGTGCTTGTTGAGCTGCTGCCCAGAGGCTATAGCATTGCGAAATGTGTCCTCTGATGGTCCCTTCACCGTACAGCTGTTCAACAGCCATAGGTCAGCGGACATGGCATCATCTGAAAAGAAAGAACACCACAAATAATATTAATTGGCTGAAATGAACCCAAAGCAGGGGTGGGTAGTACGGCGCACAACCCTGTGTCTATAATGCACGGGGTGTAATGTGTACGGGTGTGTCACATGATGCAACGTTCTTCTGTCGCGGAGTCGCAGACCCCGTAGCTAGCTGGAGTTGCACACTCTTGGGGTTTTGTACTCTTGCCAGTACCAATAACGTGCCTTCTTCTTCTCTTTTTGATACAAAAGAGCATTGCGTGTACATGCACTTTCATCAAGGCTAAGATTCTGGTTTGGTCAAGTCAACGGGAATCATTCAAAGCACTCCGGTATCCATACATTTGGAATTTGCATGCACCAAAACTTGTTTGAGTTTCCCATTGAACGACTCTATCATTCATGTATGCAACACCTACACGCCCTTTGTAGTCTATGTTCTCTTGATGTTGTTGTTGTTTTTATCTTCCATTCTATGATCTATGTAGGCATATGTGCACTTTCATAAAAAAAACAACAACAAAAAAACAACACCTGTTGTCATGGTCTACACTGTATACAGTCATGGAACTGTACCTGTGATGTTATAGCCATACGCAGCCAGTTGTCCAGACATGTACTCTCCATCACTGTTATTATGAGAGCATCCCCATGTCTTGACGTAGATGCACTGAACGCCGGGAATGTTGCTATGCCTATCAGCGGAACGTTCTTTCTGTTCTCCTTTCGATGAACGTGGAGCGATTTTCTTGGGCAAGATGTGTCGTTTCGGTGCACTTCTCACCACGTCTCCGTTGCCGAGCAAATCCTCGATATCATCGACGGACTGCCCTCCACAGCTCGCCATGATCAAAGTACAAGAGAGTCTACGAATCCGAAATAGGAAACGGCAGGCAGCTTAGGGCTCGGGACTGGAGAAGTTTACAGGCCAACGCTCGATGGATAGAACAGCAACACTGTATGGCTGTCTTTATTTCACAAGTAAATCAGAGACACAATTCAAATGCATACTGTACTGCGGATGTGCGATGCAGTATTTTCTTTCCGACGATTTTACTTGAAAGAAATCCAATTACAAATCAATCAAACTGAAATGGGACATGCGCTGACTACATGATGCATGACGTCTTTAATTTTCAACACAAAAAAAGTTCAAGAGAATAAAAAAAATAAAATAAAATATCGCTTTCGAAGTCGCCATAGTAATCTGAAACCTTGGGCAACGAGTTTATCAGGATTTTCTGAGAAGTTTCCGAGTCGTGGTTTCAAGTGATGGAATCAATCTTTCCTGACTGGTTTAACATTTTACAAAGAGTTAGTGTTACTACAATACATGATGACATCAGCTGCTCTCCACTACTAGTACTAGTACTACTACAGTACTATACTAGTCTACAGAATTACTCTTGCTTGGTTTTACTGATCTCGTTTGTACCACTGGAACAGTTCAGTCCTGGCAGTCCACTGTCTGTTGCTTCCTACATTGCAGAACTCAGATTAATTTTTTAGTATACAGTTCTTAGCTACACTCAAAATCCCGGCTGTGGACAGTCACTGAGGAAGACTCCAGCACAACTGAACTGGATCAGGGACAGCTGAATGGAACACAATCATAATCAGTAGCCCCTGTGTGTGCAGATCAAATGAAACTGAACTGCTGAAGTGAGGTAAGTAACTATGGCCAACTGCGAGATACACGGCTGTGCAGTCTGCCGCATAACGTGACTGTGTGTTACCATGTGTATTGCAACTACAACACTTTGTTACCATGTTTATTGCAACCACAACACTCCACTACAACTGAGTGTCGGAACTGGCAAAGCCCGGATGATGACTCGACCCACAAGCTGTGACGCCGAAAATAAATACTGTATAAAACTACAATACACATGAAACAGCTGTGGCACTGAGCTGTGAGCTGGTAACAGCAAGCACAATTGAATTGCCGGGCATCCGATAGTTACCAGTGCATAGCGGAGACAGTTACAAGCATGCATGCTGTTCTTTAACCCTTTTACGGTCTCACATTTGAAAATCGATCACCGGTGATCGATTTTTTCAAACTATCGTAACTCAGTCAATTTTTGAGCAAATTCGAACATCTAAATATCTAGGTTGAAGAGAAAGCTCCAGGCTATCCGTAGGAACAATCGCCGAAGCGATAGAGTGAACGGCTGCGATGCTACGAAGCTCGCGATCTGCGTCACGGCTCATTTGCGATTTGAGTGGGCGAGCTGGGTCTTGAGGACGGGTTTTTCCCTTTGCAGCTAGCTGTCGCCATAGAGACACGGATTCAAATGAGAGTATGGACTCGCAGCACTCCTCACAAAAAATGTGAGCTCGATGTGAGCAAGGAGAGGGAAATGGCTGTTGAATCTTGTTTCTCGTCGTGAATCAAGCACTGGGGCGATGTCGCTGCGCTGCAGCGCTGGATCCACGGCACGCTTGGTGTCGAATTGTAGCTTAGCGTGTTGCTCGTGTCCAGAGCTTTCCAGAGAGCCCAAGATCATGAAAATCAGCGAAGGGAAACTGAAGTTATGGATGAATCAAGGTACGAAATTGTTGAATTCTGTAAATAGCCTCATTTTGACTGGATTCTGAGACCGTGAAAGGGTTAAAAAAAAAAGCGCTTCACAAAAACAAAGTGAGAACAAGAGAGCACAGTTGTCCTGTGATAGCTGAGAGCCGGCGAAACTATTGGCCCGGGACTGGGTCCGGCCACAGCGACTGTCTACCACGGTTCTCTAGCACTGTGTGAATCGCGAAAGACGCAATGGTACAGTACACAGTGTAAAGTACTGTGCGTGACATAAACCCTGACAATCTCTTCAGTCTTCCATGATAACATAGCTATTAATCATGTGATTGTACAATCAGATAAAGTGACTATGCATTGCGGCCCGTTTGGTAAACCCAATGCTACGGTAAAGCACGTATAGAGATAAGAATCAGAAACAGTTTTTGTGAATGAAGAAACACCAGGCTGCTTGTGTGGAGAATAATAAATATCTGTAGTCTTCTGCATAGCATAGTTGTCTCAAGGTTGCCAGCACATTACCATGGTTACGTAGAAAGCCGTCGCCAGTCGTGGTAGTACTACAGGACCGAGATGTGGCTATGGGTTCACCGATTGCCGCTTGATGTTATCGTCACATGATCTGGTATAGCAGCAGAGACTTGGCTTGCTCGGCAAATCGTACCCGGGTACCGAAATGAAGCCGGAGAGGGGGGGGGGGGGGGGGGAGGGGCAGCTGCCCGCCAATTGCAGCACTCTTCCATCATAACGTACAAGTATGAGGCGAATGTGTGGGAGCCTCCACAGTAGCCGACTCCTGTACGACACAATGCTGGTGACATGAGCGGCCAGTTGGCGTTGCACTCCGTGTTTGATGTGGCCCTGACCTGCTAGCAGCCTCAAACATCCTGTACAGTGGCCATAGTTGACATACAGGGTACAGGAAACATGTCAACATAATTACCATGGTGCACAAGAACCAAGATCAGCACAGACAATACAGAATCCAAAGAGCAATTTAAAAAAAATACATCCCTGTTTGTAACACCAGAATGTTTTTTAAATACAGAATACCACTGCAATTTCAAATTTGGACTTCACGGAGAATTTCAAAGTTTTTAGGAAATTAGAGGCCACATGCCACCTACTGCTCTTTTCTCTCCGAAACTCAACACTTGCAAGCCAGATATGAAAGAAAGAAAAAATCATCAGTCACACCACCGGGACTTGAACCGGGGACCTTGCTATTCGCGAGCAATGCAAGTGTTGAGTTTCGGAGAGAAAAGAGCAGTAGGTGGCATGTGGCCTCTAATTTCCTAAAAACTTTGAAATTCTCCGTTAAGTCCAAATTTGAAATTGCAATTTGTATTTGCTCGCAGTGGACATAGTTTGATGCGCTCCCCATGATATCAAGCGAATGCCCGAGGGCCCTCTTGATTGGTGTGAGTTGCCAGCATGATGCAAGCCAGATATGAATTGATCGAAGAAGCATAGATTTACCATCACTGTGGATAAGAGTCATACTGTAGCTCAGTTGGTTAGAGCATTGCTCGCTAATAGCAAGGTCCCTGGTTCGAGTCCCGGTGGTGTGACTGATGATTTTTTCTTTCTTTCATATCTGGCTTGCAAGTGTTGAGTTTCGGAGAGAAAAGAGCAGTAGGTGGCATGTGGCCTCTAATTTCCTAAAAAGAATACCACTGTTCGGTTTAATTCCGCGCTGACAAATGCAGCTGGTCAACAAATCCACGCGCATTCAACTAAACTGCTGAACACCTAAATCCAGCACTGACCCTGGTTATAAAATACCTACCCTTCCTTCCCAGATAACCCGCTCCGTGACTCATCCGCCATATACTGTATTTTCCCTAACTACTGTATAAGCAGAAATATTCGTCTGGAATTTAATTTCGTCTTTTTCGTCCAAGGAGCTTTTGGACTAAATTAAATGTAGGACGAATATCGATTTGTCCAGCGTTTCTATACACTCTTATGATCCATGGACGAAATTTTCAACCGGACGAACTCCTTTTCTTTGGAGTTGGACGAAATTATTGACCGACGAAATTTTCTGCCTCTACAGTATAAGTCGCATGCCCGTTGGTCAGGTTCGAGCCATATTGTTTCAATATGCTCACATAAGTAGGAACTCACACTCGATTGTTAAGTCGCACCCCTTCTTCGCCAAATAATCTGCGAGGAGACAATAATTCTTTGCCCTTGAAGTTGAGCGCAAAAAGGTGCGACTTGTATTCGAGGAAATATGGTACTAAGCGGACCGCACGGTCCATGCCAGTCCATGCCAGTCCATGCCAGTCTACATGTACTCACAATGGATAGTGACGATGATTTCACTTCGTGAAAATCGAGATATTCTACATCTGCCAGTTGATCTTCCACTAGGACTCCGTTGCCAACGCTCTGTTCGTACCACCAACACAGAGGTAAATAAAGACAGAGTCACCACACTGAACACCTATGGAAGACATCAGCGACATTTTTAGATACTCTGTGCATGCCCGGGTCCTGCACGGCAGACTTTCACTGTGTTCTCCTAAGACAGTTTCGGGGCACACATCGAAGAGACCAACAAAGAGCGAAAGACGCACACACACGCACACAAACACACACACAAACACAGTACACACACACACACACACACACACACACACACACACACACAAACACACACACACACACACATGTACCCACACATACACACACGTTCCCCCCCCCCCCCCCCCACACACACACGTACCCCCCCCCCCCCCACACATACACACGCGCGCGTACCGACACATACATACCCACACACACACTCAACGACTAAATTCAACTAAATAGGATGGCGAAGGTAAAGAAGCATCCATAAAATTGCTTTTACAACTGTAACCCTTACAACCCCACCACAAATATCAAAAGAAAATAGAGTGCCTCCATTAGTTAGGAGTGGACAACCATGCACAGTCTGCGGACCCTGCCAGGATCGTCAAATACCGTAGCTTACATTCTGTCTGATTCGCTCAGCGTTGGGCCCAGCTGTACCGCTGGCCATCAGACGTCGCTCATATCTCTTCCTTGCCTTGTCACTGGTCGGCAGAGATGCCGTGCGTGCTGCATAGGAGATGTTGGAGTCGAGTGTGAACAGCGCATCCATGGCCTCAGGTGGCGGCGGCGGCAGCCCACCATCTACCTCCTCAATGATTGGCGGTGGCGCCGCGGTAGTGCAGAACGTGGTGGTGCCCTCCAGCTGGCTGTGCCCGGACATCTCCTGCTCGATGGCAGCCATCAGATGGGCCGGTGGGGCCTCGCTCCACGTGGCATACTTTGTCCGCTTTTTACCGCCAGTGCCGCCAGTGCCACCAGTGCCGGCCTTACCACTGACGGCCTGCTGGCTTGCATCCCACTCGCTCAGAAGCTGGTCGAGGGTCATCGCTGTAGACGTAGGTCGTCCGTTGCCCGCACTGCTGACGCTAGACGTGGAGTGACGGCTGGTCATGTCGCTGCGAGGCCCGCTCGTGTAATGTGCCGTAGCGGCCGCTCTGGTCCACGTTGTCGACGTCGACGCTACCGCATCGCGGGCAGCGGTGTCGGTAATGGTGGGCGCCGGTGCCACTTTGGCGGGCCGTATCGGCGTCGTGGAGCGCAGCGCGGGCGTGTTCCTGCGTCGCTCCAGCGTGCCCATGTCGGAGTTGGTGTCCGAAGATACCACGGGTGGCATCGTGTCACTGGTAGCATGCATCTCTGGCTCTGCGGTCCATCGCGGCTCCTGAATGGAAGTGGACAGCACCTACAAAACAGAAAGACAGAAAAACCTTAGGGTTCAGTCCTGCTATGCAGACGCATGCAGTACCATCTCGATGTGCTCCTCCCACCAGTCTGTACAACCCCTTAAACCGCTCGCTATGCAATTGTGTTGAGACATACAACCGGCTTTGGAAGTTTCGCCTGTGTTTAGTACATGTAATACTCTTACTGGGTCTGATGTGTGAGTGTTACTGTAAGGACCATGGCTGACCACTCATCAAGTCTTGGAATTGCAACCAACCATTGCCACCTGTCTCATGCATGTCACACACAGCTGCAAGGCAGCCGTCAATTTCATGTGCCACTTCTCACATAGTGTACTCCGACTGATGCTGTCACTATTACTACACTATTACTTGGCCAGGGACCCCGAGATGCAGGCTAGCCTTGTTGCATAGGGCAATGTCACGGCTGCGTAGAGCCATGCATATCGCATTTCCAGTACATGTACTCCAGCAGATTAGAGATCTAGCTCTTGACCCTATCTGAATGAATGGGGTTCTTAGAACTAGAGATCTAGCTCTTGACCCTATCTGAATGAGTGGGGTTCTTATAACTAGACAGTGCAGTGAGAGATCTACATGTACATGGCCAAGGGCAATCGGAGTACATACCTCCACAGATCCATCCTGCCCTGTGGCAGCACGCTCCAGCTGGTCGGCATCGGACTCGTAAACCTCGTCGTCGCTACGGCCCGGATCGCCAGCCACTGTCAGTGTCGCCAGACGTTGAATTCTGGTGGCGGAGCGCAGGTGTATACCGTTGGTGGTCTCATCGGGTACCGGGGATGGTGACAACCCGGTCATCCTGTACTTGCCATGCTTGCCCCGAGAGCTGGACATGGTCCAGGAGATGTAGCGTCTAGTGTTCCTCCTGTAAGAACCGTGACAGTAACGCCAATCCTTAGAGCTAATTAGTATCTACACATGTTCTAATGCAGTGGTAAAATAACTACTACCAACTACTTCAGTGCATTTACAAGCTTATCTGAGTAACCAATGATTACTATCAGCCACCAAAGACAGTCTACACCGGAAGCCAGCATTCAGACAATACATTGCGCCCAAGGCTGCGATCACCCAAGGGACTGGCTATTGACCGTACGCATTCTAAGCGCTCCCATACATGTATGTGGTTTACATGTGGGGATGGGATATCCAGGGGACTGCCAAAAGGTGCCATGAAATTCCAGGTGTGCTCTAGGCACGTCAAGAGGGTATGAACAAACTGGGTCTAGAGAAGGTGACCAGAACCGTCTTCTGGTTTTGTTACCCAACTACTGACAAGGCTGCACACTAGCTTTAAACTTCCATCAATCGGCTGTTTCCACACATACTGCATCCACCTACCAATTGATCAGGAGGGCAAACACGAAGAAATAGCAGATTCCAATCACCGCCAAGATCATAGCTATAAAGGCCACTGTGCCGACGTAGTGGTTGCGGTGGCAGTACGCGACCAGCAGGGCGAAGAATGGGATGTCCTGGAAGTCACAAACATGTACATGACATGGCAAACAATTCATTACACTTTGTCAGCACAATTTCTCCACGTCTTGCCTCCCTACGGAGTGGTACTAAAACACATCCCACTGTACTGTTGTCCAAGATTCCAGTAAGTGCTGTTTGATGATCACACGGGGAGCCGGTAAAGCTGGCGTACATGCATACTATGTAGTATGCACTGCCAGGTGGCATACATGCTCACCTGAAGAATCAACTTGCTGAGGTCGCCCAGGAACTGCCAGCCGTGACGGCGATGTATCCAGCCACGCTGCTCACCAAGATCAGTGGAACCTTGAGAAAAGAACCACAATGAAACGAAACAGCCAGGAAAACTGAGCGTCAGTAAACTAAGCGTCAGTCAATTGGTTCACTGCTCTCAATATTCTTTACACAGTAGAATAAATCACCATCCGGGCCTGCAACAAGGTTGTGAAAGTAAACTGCTACCTTCAATAGTGTAAGACCATAATGTTTAAAAAAAAATTAACCAGAAACAAGGCAATGAGCAATGCTGCTGCATACTAACTGCTGTGTGTACGCTGTGTTCTTGAAGTGAGTTGTGGCAGGTCAAGAGAGTGGATCAATCCACCTGGGTGCAGAGCCTTACACACATATACAAACTCGGCAATTGTATGTTGTGCCTAGCAGCAGCACTGAGCAGCAGCAGCAGCAGCAACCGGGAAAGTACAAACATACCGAGCCCTCTGGAGATCAGTACTTGTAGAGTCTTACCTGAAGCCCTGTCCACCAGGACCCAGCAGACAGCACGTACCAGCAGGCCGACAGCACCGGACACAGCCAGCAATACAACTGCAACCAACCTAGAGAGGCGGCAGGACAATAAACAGCGGGAGAAAAAAATTCTCAAGAAAGAGCGTTGCAGTACCGGTACATTGTACCATGGTCTCTGAGTCTGTCCCCAAGACCAAGGTGGCCTATGAGCTGAGCTTTGTCTGTCCCACTGACACACCCACATTGTGTTGCCCATACCACTATTTAGCTTAACTTTTTTCTTGCTTCTTTCCTTTCATTGCTAGGGTTGAGTTGAAGGCTTAACCATTTGCGGACTGATGCCGCATATGTGCGTCACAACGTGATACTCCGATTTCCTGATGCCGCACATATGCGTCAAGTCGTGAATTGCAAGTTGTATTCAGTTCGTGCTGCCTAGAGATGCTCAGGTTAGGCGCAGATCGCTCAAATTGTGTGTGTGTGTGTGTGTGTGTGGGCAGCCCACATACTTCATGATCAATGGACCATTACTCAGTGCTGAAGAAGTCACGGTCACTATGTACAGAGCGCGAACTGCGCACCAAAAGCTTATTATTTTGAGACAATTGCAATGTCGTCGCGTAGAGTGTATCTAAACTCCTTGGAAGATGTCCATGACCATCTCTTCATGGAGAGCACGTGCGAGAATGAACCTGACGGAGAGCTGCGGAGTGGTGAGAGCGCCAAGCACGATGAGAGTGATGGAGAAGTCACGGAAATTGAGCCTCTTGATGCGAGCACCGATAACTCATTTCTAGCCAATAGTGACACATCGCTGGGCACACAGGGGATGCCGCTCAACCTGTAGCTCTTGATGCTGATGACGAGCAGAGCAAACCTGAGAACGAACCTGGAGACCGATTCACATGCACGAGTGCTGCCATGAAATTAATAATTCAGCAGCATCTCTGGCCGACACCTGATGGACAAGACGAAACGATGCCAATCCGCCTTTGTGCTTTCCCTGCACAACCTGGATGTACGGCAGACCTCGGGGGAAGTGACTGTGCATCAGTGTGTACGTTTGCTCATCAATGATGATCTACTTGATTGTTTAGTGTCTCAGACAAATTTGTATGCGCAGCAGTACATTGCCAGCCATGATTATTTGTATGCGCAGCAGTACATTGCCAGCCATGCAGTACATTGCCAGCCATGCAGTACATTGCCAGCCATGCAGTACATTGCCAGCCATGCAGTACATTGCCAGCAGTACATTGCCAGCAGTACATTGCCAGCCATGATTAGCGGCCGAACGCTCTCGCCAGAAACTGGAAGCCTGTTGTGCATGCCGACATGCTAAATTTATTAGCACTTTACATATTGACTGGCATCAACCCAAAGTCCCAGCTGAAAGTATGTTGGAGAACTGATTTTATGGTGCACACTCTTGTGTTTGGTGCCACCATGAGCGGTGACCGATATTGGGCCACCTTGGAATTTCTACACTTAGCCGACAACACGCAGCCGTCCACTAATTGATCTGATGAACAACGTATTCCGAACATCATAGAAGCCGAGGAAAGGAGATCAGTATGGATGAAGAGCTGGTCAAGTTCAGAGGCCAAGTATCGTTTCGTCAGTACATACCTAGTAAGCGTATCCGTTTTGGCGTGAGTATCTTTGCACTGTGTGACAACAAAGACTGAAACTCGTCAGTTTACCTTGGAAAGCCCCTCAACCCGCTGCCATTGACAGCAGAACTCGGTGTGGCTGGTGCAGTGGTGGTCTTTCTCCTAAGTGACTTGATTTGCAAAGGTCACCATCTCTATCTAGACAACTTTCACAACAGCCTTCCATTGTGCGAGTGCTTGACAGATCGGAACACTGGTGTGTGTGGAACGCTGCGCTCAAACCGTGTTGGTATACCTAAAACACTGAAAGACCAAATTGTGCCTAAAGGCAAATTTGTTTTCCTGCGTAAAGGAAGAAAGGAGGTAATCAAGCTGAAGGACAGAAAAGTGGTCTACACAATTCCTAGCATCCATAACGCCAATGACACTACCGCCACCGACAAACGCAACCGACAGCGCCAACGGATCCACCGCCTCACGATCAACCACAACTACAATCACTACACGCGAGGAGTCGACAAGAACGCTTTAATGGTAGCAAGTCACCCTGGCCTTCGAAAAACGGTGAAGTGGTACGAAAAAGTTGGATTCCATTATCTTGAGGAAGGCCTCCAAAATGCCGTTATTATTTACAAACAGCTATCGCACAAAAGCGGAAAGGTGGTTTTTGACCAGGGAGTTGTACGACTCCTTGTTCTTGACCTGCCCGGTACGCAAACCCCGTCGAATTTATTTTATTATTGCACAAAAAGACCAGCCAATCTATATGGCTCCTTGAAAGAAGCAACCCGCAGCTTGCTTTCAGAAGCCGAGCAGCCAGAAATTACAGCTGACACTGGCAACCAGGATCGCCTGTTTGGGAGACACTGGCCTGCTGAAATGCCTCCGACTGAGAAAAAAAGGTTGTCTGGGCCGCAGATGCCGTGTTTGCCTCTGCCATGGCCAGAGGAATGACACAACTGTGATGTGCAAAACATGCCATGACAAGCCACCTCTGTGCATTGACGGGTGCTTCAAGGCCTACCACACAAAGAAGAAATTATTGAAACTGGTCAGACCACAAAGAGCTGGATGCAGCCTCAACTTGTTGGTCACAGACACTGAAAAAGTCTAATTTTGTTGAAATTCCGTAAAAACATTTTTTCGGATTCGATGTGCATAATTATTATGCCAAGAAACACTTTGGCAAAGATTTGGGTGAATATTAAAGTTTTTGAAAAATGGCCATTTTCCATAAAATTGGCCAGGAAACCAAGGTCTTCGGGCCAGTTCTCAAAAGAGCTGATGCCAGATATAAAACAAAAGCCAAGTAAACATATGAATCAGGGTGACAGCACAGAATCAGCTGTGTGAGCTGTTGAGTTGAACAGATGCTTGTACTCCACAAGCAGAAACCGGCCCTCCAACATGATTGCCAAGAACACGCCAAACCAACTTAAAACCCAGGCGCATGGCTAGAGATGCACTTCCTGCTGATACCCCCAGTCAGCCCTGTCCACACCATCACTTACCACATTGACTGAGTTCCCATGCCGCCACTACTACGTTCATGGTAGAACTCTATGGTCACCATGAGGTCCAGGATCCATGCAGCTCCGAAGAGAAGCGAGGCCGTCTGATAACAGGTGTACATACGCATGCACGGGCAAGTCCCCACACACGCGTGACACAGTGCATATGCGCATGAGCATGTATCTGTACTAAGTATAGAAATGCAATCAATAAGACGAGCTGAATCGACATCTGTGTATACTTTATTCGTTTTGTGTAAAAAACGATGGAGACAATGTGCAATAAAACGATGAAAGTAGGAAGAAATATTGATTGCGGTTCTAACATTGTTGTCTCCTCGCCATTTATTTAATTAACTAAGCATAGACATCAGACTCATGTAATGCAAGGGGTGGGCAAGGGGTGGGCAAAATGCATGCATTCTGGAGTTTTTATGAGAGATAGTTTGTACAGAGTTCGGAAAGTCTTGACTTACCAACTGGATTGCCATGGCCTTGGGTGAAGAGAAGTCATGGATCACCGGCTGTGGCTCGATAAAATATTTGCTGTGCAAGACAAGACACACAGCGCGAAAAGTGTTGCACAAGGTCAGCATGTATATGTAGGACGTAGACGATTGCTTCCACACATGCCAGCCACCATCACGTAGCTCAAATCATTGTAGAATCATACTGCATTCATACCTAGTGAAGTCAACGACACATGTACGTGCACACATTACTCATGGCCATCACGGTCCAATGGAATGCAGACCCATGAATAGATATACTTTGCAGCAGTGCTGGGTGCCGACCCGAAACCTTGTTACATACCAGTACTGGCCGAGTGCGGATAATACGCAAAGCATGATGATCATACCCTGTACTTTACCGGTCATAGGCCAATCATTTAAGACCGAAAACTAAACTAAGAACTAGAGGAGGACGGGTGTGCCCGGCATCTTACCGGCTTATCCAGGCCACAACCAGAAGATTGATCCACAGCACCACGCCGCTCCAGAAGCAATAGAACCAGAAGACATCAACGGCTGATAGGTAATCACCGCACATCGCACGTGTTGTTGACTGATACAGGCACGGCAGGTTCTATGTTTGTGCAGGAGACAGAGAAGAATGGAGATAAGCTGTTGAATGCCACTGCGTGCAAGCACTATCTTCTCAGAGTGATCTTTTTCCTATTATGGCCTTATCCATACTTCGAAGTACATACAAAAGCAAATGAGATTTTCGGTCTTTGACCAGTTTGTTGGTGGGTCTGAACTACTCACCTCCCACCGCTTTAGGAACTGCATTTGCACATTGATCCTTGAGGGTGGTGGCATTCCTATGGATGCGGAAAACTAGGTCTAACCGAGTCTCACAAGAACCGTGATTTTTGTAGTTTGTGTATGATAGTATGAAACAAGTAGAGTCTGATTTATTCAATCCCGTGATCCGACTTTTGCAATCAACCATTCATAGTTCACAATCATAGCCCACTAGAGACAGGGCGGTGGCACAGTAACTTAGTTGCAAATGCGTGGAAAGTATTGCTGTGGCGGACAGCCAGTGAAAAAATTCATCATCCTGTGCCCCAATTGTTTTCAAGCCAGATGCGTTCTTCCTACCTGACACTGCCCTGGCTGAGTGATCATATCCGATGTGCAACGGGCGAATCTTTCAATATGTTGGTCAGCAGCTTGTTGCGTGCCTGTGGGAAGACGGGTAAGAAGTTCGATCGAGATAACAGGGTAGGTGTAATCGCAACTAGTACTTCACGTTAGCTAGGTGGTAGGATATGGGTTTTGCCTGATAGCAGTGATTCGTCGATGTGTAGCAGTCCGGGATTCTTACAATATTGAACTGATGCGCTGTCCGCTGGTGAATTCCCGGCTGTTTGCAGTCCACTTCGACCAGCACCTGATCATCAGAACCTAACCGTTGCCACTATTCTTGAATAGCAGATACATGTTTATACCGTGCTGGATTTGCGTAGTCCATAACACTGAGATTCCATTCTGCATAAGCGAAGCTGTGGACGCAGCATACTTCTGCTACACTTCAACGCGGGAATGCGTATAATAATAATAACACTCAGATAACAACACTGCCACCAACATGGCTACAACATATTGCAACACAGATACAGCCGTCCAAGGAAGCAACGCACACAGAATACTATATCGCAATGTTGGAAGAAGCTGGCATTGCAATAGTCCCGAGTCTGACCAGCCTTACCTCGGTGTAAAGTGCCACTGGAGATGACCTGAGCAGTATGGTTGATCAGTATGTGAACACTATGGCGTTGGTTGTGCAGCAGAGCCGCTGCAGTCTCAATTGATTCACCCTACACATGCACACATAGAGAAGAAAAAAACACAGCATGCAACCATAAGGTCCAGGATTATGTGCTGGTCACAAGTTATTCTCGTGGATATGACAACAAACTGCAGTGGTTGGATAACACAGGAAGCACGCAACCAGTTCCGGCAAAGACGCAGTGTTGTATCAAGTTATAGCAGTTTCCTGGCAACACCTTCTTACAGCATTGAGCAAATCGCCAAGTTGTGATGAAAGCCGATCCCGGCTGCCATTCACTGCTCCCAACTCCGTTAGAATGTCCTGGCCCATCGCTTGCAAGGATTTCAGCTTGCTGCCGTTGAGGCATCGATGATGGTGGTGCCTCAGGTGTTGGCGAATGTCCTCCAAAGCATCTGCACTTTCCTGTGACTGCGAGCCAAAGTTCTGCAGGACGGCGTTGGTCATACAGAAAGTACACAGTGCATGTACTCAGTAGGTTTACTAGGTGATACATACTAGGCACTGCTCATATTATACAAGTGCATCTAGCTGCAATGCCCAAGCCATGCTGACCAGCCTGCTCTGAAAATCAAGTTAAGTGCAGGTTCACTCAGTCTCCTTACAGAACACCAACGCAAGTATTCAACGACTTCCGCCAGCCAAGGTGACGTGGTCGTACATGAATCGTAATGCCATAGTGCGAGTTCTTTAAAAAAAAACACCGATCGCATGTAGTGCATCATAATCTCGTGCAGCTTACAGCACTGGATCCGGTGAGCTTGTCAAGTGGCTGCCGATACTCGAGATGCAGGGCACGCCACACGGACGATTCCCCTGCCGACCGGCAGTCTGCCAACACGCCGCTTGCAGTTAGCGGGTATTCAGAGCTGGCATTGCGCAACACTTGTCTTGCTAGTGGCAGGTCCCCATGCCAAATGTTGGGATTATCCACTACATTAGCTGCATGTGCAAGTACAGAAGGATATTGAACTATTAGTATCAAGACAAAAGAGGATGTTCAAAAGAGAACTACATTGTTATTACGGATGCAGCATAGCTTAGCCGCCTGATGCTCACAGCATTATTTCTCCACTAATATCATAGAGTAGTGCTTAGATCACACAGTTGTTCTTCAGAGGTTATCCAGGGAAAGTATGGGTGCGTAGCCCCTGGCAACGTGGCCCAACTCTTACCAAGCACTGCTGTCATGTTCCGGTTCTCTCCGCACGTTGATCCCAGCAGTGATGCACCAATGAAGAACCAGCCAGCAGTCCAGAAGATGATGACCAGCAGGATGTAGCCACATGTCACTAACCTGCAAGAAAGAAAGCACGGATGTTGCAATTACCCAATGCCGGTAAGACGGTAAGGAAGAATACTAACGGCGCAAACAAATGCCACGCGCAACAGGTCATGTCTAACAGTGAAATACCTGTGACACTGCTGATATAGCTATGGTATACTGCTAAGCCATCTAACTGGAATATTGTGATCGACTACTAGTATCTAGCAAAGGAAATCTCACTAAAATACTATAACAGTCAGTGATATGTAACTCCAATTGTAACTCCTCTGCGGGCACAGGTCTTCTTTTCAGCACATCACCATCACAGGTCTTCTTTTCAGCACATCACCATCACAGGTCTTCTTTTCAGCACATCACCATGTCCACTGAAGTTTAATCAGATCCATGATTGATCATGACGACGCAGATCACATCCATCAGAGAAGATCAAATCGGAAATGCTTCACATGCAGGAAGCCTTGCTTTCATCACCTGCTTTCACCCTCCAATGAGAAGACAGCATTGCCTGTGCCCGTAGCGCCGGAAGTGAAATAAAACAATACAACAGCAGCCTCCCAGCCACCATGCATTACCTTTCCAGGAGACGGCCGATCAGGGTGAGGCGCTCACTGAGCTCCACACTTGCCCTGCCATGGTCCTGGCAGCGCAGCAGGACAAAGCCGTACAGCGCCAGAACAAGCATGGACAGCACGGCCGCCATGGTGCAGATGAGCAACATCACGGAGAGGACGTGTCGATAGTCCTCATAGCGACCAATGTGTCTGCACAGTGTACACAACAAACCATGCAAGCGGCCACTCAACTAAAACATGACGGCAAAACAAATATCCAGCTACAAACGTTATAGAGTGATCCCCAACCTTTTAATAAGTCAATCATGTTCAGCAGATCAAAATCACCTGTCTGTAACATGGTTTCATGCCAATACCTGTACCAGTATTCACCTGGCCCCCTTGAAATGTTAGCTGTCGACCTAGCCCAGCATGGTGATTGGTACTTCAAATAAATTGGTAATACGAGGACATGGTTCAGTTGGAATGATCCTCAGGACTAGACATTCTGTGAATTTTAGCCGGCGGCACGCGTCACCACCCCTGCAGTTCAGTTTAGTCGTTTAGAGTGTTAGTGACTACCGGATGGCCGGGGACACTCGCACGGCCATGCACAGTCGACTACGGCCACAGTAAGTGACGCTCCCAAGAAACAACCCGTGCTCACTCACTTGCTCATCATGTCGTCAATCTTCGAGTATGTGCCGGGCAGGCCGAGCGTGCTGTTGAGGAACTCCTGTCCTTCATCCATAGCCTGCTGCATCGAAGACTTCACTGATCGGAGCCAGTCAGCGCCAGGCGAAGAGTCGCCATTTGTAGAGTCCAAAGTGTCATTTACAAACACACCAGTTAGTGATGCACTAGCATTGTGCATTGCACTCAGGGTCTGTATCTGGAAGAGACAACAAAAGGATCCGGTTGCCGGGAAACACACATCTCATTCAATTGTTTTGCCAGAGATAAAGAGCAATAAAACTCAAGAAAAGAACAAGTTTCAGGATCCTCAAACTCAACATCCTCAAAGCTCTTCCACAGGTCCTTTCACTGCCTCCCCATCAGAAGGAATACGGCAAAAAGAAACGACCAAGCAAAATGACTTTTATGCAGTAGCGATGTGATAGAAACAGTGCGAAGAAGAGTAGCCAAAAGCAACACAGTAGAATGCATCACCTCATACACACAAAGGAAGGACAAAAGCGTCTACAGTCACACCAGGAAACCGTACTAACCCTTGCAAGCAAAACAAATCAAAATTTCACCCAACAACTCGTTACTTGTGTTCCTTGGCTGTCTATTGTTGTCACAGTACATCCCACTCTTGTTTAGTTTCTTCCCGATTGCACTAAAAATACTACGAGAAGAACTTTTAGGACATTGTCGTTGATTGTGAGGAGCCTGAAAGCTTGTTCTTTTCTGAAGTTTCATTCAACTGCGTAGCCTATCCACCAGAAGGGTTATAGCTTATAACAGAAATATTCAGTTCAAGTGCAGGCAGGCATAGTGGGATGGTCTAAGACCATGATTGAGAAACAGAGGGTACCAGGTTCAAGTCCTGCTTGGAAGCGGAAGGAATTTTTCCAGCCGTGCTGCGACCCACAGTTAATTGGGAAGTCGTGGCCTGGCACGAGGGTAACATGGATGCAGCTAATGGGATTTCGGTCTTTGACCACTTGGTGGTGGGTCTGATCTACTCACCTCCCACCGTTTAGGCGCTGCATCTGCGCCTTGATCCTAGAGGGTGGTGGTGTTCCCACGGCGGATGCGGAAAATGTGGCTTCCCGCCGAGTCTCATGCGAACCGTGAAATTTAATTTCTTCAGTTCAAAAAGTCTCCAGCACACTGGTGAGGTTCAAATGTGCGTACGCCATGTAGATGCTTAAACACCAACTGCATCAGGCGCACTCGGGGTGCAGAAGGTGGGAGCTTGCAGCCTCGGACACAGGCACACTGCGGTTCACCCACTCAACAGCAAACTCCATACTGTGTCCCTTTTCGTGCTAGGATCTGAGGGTATTATTCATTACTATTATTTCTGCCTATCAGCGTCGGCATCAGGAGAATGAATATGTCAGGCTCCCTGGCTTTCGCTCAGGCTCTGAAGGTATTGCCATACAACAGGTATGATGGTCGGCTTACTTGGGCGTTCCAGTGCTGGCCGGTGACGTTGCTTGCATTCATACAAGACAGCAGCTCACAGACCATCTCTGACGACAAGGTCAGTCCCTCCAGCAGATTCTCATAGTACTCTGACAAGTTCTTGGACTGCGCATAGTCCTCGCACAAGCCAGTGATGTCCGTGTTGTTCGTGTCGGTGGCATTCTCAGGTGACAAGTCGACATTACGCATACTAGACTCGTCCAAGCAAAGCTGCATCAGACAGATCAAGCATGACACACACAAATCTGTATTAGACAGATCAAGCATGACACACACAAATCTGTATTAGACAGATCAAGCATGACACACACAAATCTGTATTAGACAGACTAGGTATCATCACAAAGCTGCGGGGTCAGACACACCAAGCATTACCAGAATCGGGTTAGATGCTCCCTCATAATATTATCATAACACGTGATAGAAGGCATCATTATTACTATTGCCGTACTTCACCGGGCATGCAGTTGTAGCCGTAACTAACCTCTGTGATATTCGTATCGGATGAGAACATCTCATTCGCCTCCTGCATGTGCTGATCCAGCACGGCTCTGAGTGCATCGGCAGCATGCGTCAGCCGTGCCGCCAGGGCGCTGAGGTTTGCAATGGCAGGGCTTGCTGACGGAGCAAACTCGGACAGATTTCCGAGCAGGCGCTCCTCTTGCTGTACTTGATGTTCGAGCAGCGCAGCATCAACTCTATAGGCAGTAGACAATAAGTGAAGAAGTCAGCATAGAGGATTCATTCAAAACTTGCCAATCAGGATAACTGTTTAGCAGTGCGTGGATCCCCAGTGCACCTAGGAAACACAGCCAGTACATCTTCGCTATCTGCATGGTGTTAATACCTGGTACAGTCAGACCTCTTTTATCCGGTCCTCTTTCATCCGGATCCCTCGCCATCCGGAAGGAAATCGTTGGTCACCGATTTACAGCACGTGTCATGCATACGTACAGTACGTGTGTTCGACTATCCGGTTCCCTCGCCTATCTGGATATTTTGTGGAAAACGGATGTGTGCGAGGTCTGACCGTACCGCATCTACACTCCTGATGCCTTCTTACAAGGACACTGACACTGATGGTGCTGATATACTGTATGACTGTGTTGGTTGGTACAGCGAACACTTCTTAACGAATTCACCCCCCCCCCCCTCCCCCAGACATACAATACTCAGTTTATATGAATGCCAACTGTACGTAACTGCACGCTAAACGGTGCAGATTTGTTCAAAACAGAGGTGTACAATATTTACATGTACTCCAGAAAATGTGGTTTAAAGAACTGGTCTTACTGTTTTCCTTTGTCAACATAGTCGGCCAAACATTTGCCTCTTCCGACCAAAGTCCTGTTCATACTGCGCACTGTTGATGACACGTAGTGATCAAGCTGGACACACATTCAAGAAGTGCAGACATGCAAGTTACCTATGCATGTAGAACTAGAGACGAAGATCATCTTGATGTTCTCAATGTGAGCTGAGTGCTTCAGGCTAGCAAGCAGTAGATCAGTACAATCATGCAGATGAACTTAACATTGGGCACCCCCACACCGCTACACTGTTCGCGTACTACCAAGATTACCAAACTCCCCAGAATGCACCTGTCGCTACTCACTTTCGGAATTACGCCACTTTCAAAAATGCGACATTACCAGCTCTGTCCGTCCTTCTGAAAACACGTTACAATTATACACATTGTACCCTGGTAAGTCTTTCCTGATTCCTATAGTACAGGCTGGGCTTCAGGAAGTGATAATACATACCTGCTTGAGGTCTGCGGTGACAACTGGGCCCACATCGTTCAGCGCACTCCGAGAGTTGAAGCTCGCCAGCATGGCCACGACGACGAGCGTCAGTGCTCCCGCGGCAAGGAAGAGCATGGTGGCGGCCGTGAGTACGGTGTCGCGTGACCAGCCGGTGCGCGTCCGCTGCTCGTCCGCTTTCCGCCGTGCGTACGCCTGCCACACGGCGCCGAGCATGGGGAGGATCAGCGCCAGGGCGAATACAACAGCTGAGCAACAGTAAAAGCACGCACATGCATAGAGTTAATGATAGCTTGGGTACGGGATACGTGCTACTCTTTTGTTGTTGTTGAGAACTTTGAAACTCCACTGTAGCCTTGTTATCTGTCTAGGGCTGCAACAGGTAGGAGTTTGATCGGGTAACGAGTTCGGGTCTTTCTATCCGGGTAGCATGGGTACCGTATCAGGTATGTTTTTGACATAGCACAAGTACACTGGTACACGGCATTGCATGAGAGGGATCACCAGAATGATGCGTTCGTTCAGTGGGTGTGCACTTGCGCCACTTAGACAATTGCATAGCAAACACATAGCCAGGGCCGCACTTCTTACATGCACCGTTGCGAAAGCACTGTACTCAAACTACCCGATCGAGTTCTCAGGCGCAAACTGATAACCGAATACTCGCTCTAAATACGGGTAGCGCGAGTACCCTACTACCCGACGGCACCCCTAACTCTTTCCACTAAACCTCCAACCCGTAACCCACGAATAGACCTCGGCTAGACCACGTACAATGATTGTTTCCAAGGCGGTTCGCATTTTTTCAAGGGTTGGAGGTTATGTGATACGTACTACTCAAGAACCAAGTACCAAGTACATAGCGTATATAGTTGACAGCATTGCCGTTTTCAGACCAGCTGTTCGGCAGCACATCGAAAAGGAGAGGGAAGAATGCAGTCAAGCATGATACTAAAAAAAACTCTTCTAGGAGAGCATATGACTATAATGGCAGCACAACCAGGCCAGGCTGGGCAGACTCCATTCAGGATCTCTGCCATTTTCACAAACCGTGAAATTTCATTGTGTATTTACATGGGAAACGAGCTCACTTCTAGCCAGGATCCCAACTGAATCAGTTTGAACCCCGGCTGGCTGCACTGGTCAGTTTGGTATGACTTTACGTATATGCACAAGTGTTCTGTTTGTTCGTGTACATGTGCATGCCTTAGATTCCGAAAGTTGCCTGTTATGAGCCCCCCCCCCCCCCCCCCCGCGCACATATACATGTGTAGTGTAACTGATGTGTGCGTGTGTGTGTGCACGCGTGCCCATGAGTCCACGCAAATCACCGCAACGTACACGCAATGATAAAGGTTGATGTGGCATAACCGGCAGCGGCGGATGCCACTGCACCGCTGGTCAAGTTGCCATGGTAGTACCTGCATGTATATACATATATACATACACATACACATATATGGCATACACACATTATATGCACATACGCATAAACACATGCACAGATGCATACCCACCCACAGAGAGGCACATGCACAGACACAAAAACACGCACACACAGACATACCACGCACACGGACACATAGGAGAGCACACATGTGTGATTACTATCAGTCAACTGCTTGTATGGCAAATGGGGGGGGGGGGGGGGGGGGGTAAATTAAGCCTAAAACCCCTCTCAAAATTAGTTTTACTGGACCAAAGGATGTGCAGAAAACCAACCTACTTACTTGAATCATAGAAGGATACAACATTCTTACTCTCAGGACTCAACAATACATGACTAGCCAACACTGTCCATGACTGTACTATGAGTCTGACTATGACCCATATGACTCTGAGGCATTAATACTAAAGTAATAGATTGTCCTACATTGTACATACATTCCTCTGCTTTGAGTCCTTGTCAAGTACCACTCATTGTGCATTGCTTGGGGTCTTTACCTCACTGGTCAGGCACCAAGGAGTCAAGGACATTACCAGGTATCTGATAGTGCAACCTCCTGTGGATATGCTTTTCAGCTGGAGCTCCGGAGGTAAGCACATAGTTGAACATTCCGGCAGTGACACGCAGAAAGCAAGGACTCTACATGTACTTGAGATTGGGATTCTGGGTCTGCCGGGTGCCACACATTACTATTCTGTACTATACTATTCAGTGCTAATCTAACGTTATTGCAACACACTCACATTGTCAAGTGCGAACACATGGGGGGGGGGGGGGCAACATGGATACAACTATGATAAATGGGCGTGGTGAGTGTACCAGAGCCATCGTCGTGTGGGAACTATTGTACCCCCCCCCCCCCCCATAACTGTGGCATCTCACTCGGCATGGTTTTACATTCTGGGCTGATGCCTGTGATGGCTATTAATATTATAAACCAGCTTTAGGTGGTGGGGTGGAGCATTTCAGCATTTTGTCCTCAGCAGGAGTCCATGCTGTGGCACTTGGCAGTTTCTTGGTAACTGTCAACAACCTGCCCAGCTGAGCTCAGTGCATAGCTCACTTCATGGTTTTCATCTCCTGCTACTGAGTCTTTTCAACTTCTGAGAGCATAGCGTCTCTATCATGAGGACCTGACACCTGCTTGTGCTGCAACAATGTCACTATGTGCAGCAGCGTCGATGCAAGTACCACCACTAATAGTCTAATACTAATAGTACAGACATCACCTATTATCCATGTTGATTGAATGGAAACTGGAGAACTGGGACGGGATCTAGTACTAGCACTCTGTACAAGTCACTGGTAGTAGTACTATTACTAGTAGTAGTAGTAGTAGTAACTGTTGATATAAATGTCCATGCCGCTATTAAATACCAATGCAAGATATAATAATTTTTTATAAGCCCTTGAAGGCGCTGGCTAAGGTGACACGTGGGAGGTCGCTCAGACGCTCACGCCCTCGCAAGGCTACCACATGCATGATGCACAGTCAGTCAATCAAGAAACGGTACAGACGTGGATGGGTCAGTAAATCCTGACTTTGGGTCTGACAAAAACATCCATACATGTACACTAGGCCATAGGCATAGGATAGATAGGTACAGGCTACAGACTGAAATTAATTAATCATGCTTCATCCCGGTCGATCCAATCGGTAAACCATTAGGACAAACGAATCTCATCAACTCAGCCATAACAAACACGAGTGATCGTAATGCCATTGCAAGCCAGCCAAGGTTTTCGCCGGTTGATACGAAGTGTCTAAAGTAATGTTACTCCTCGATGAACCTCTGTCCATCGACAAACGATCGACAGTACATTTCGCTCGCATAAAATGCCCCGCTCGCCGCGCTCGTTCATAAAACAACATCACTGCCGCATGAACAGCCTCTCACGCCTCAGCTGTCGACAAGTGTCAAATGCAAACAATCAAGCAGAAATGAAAGAAATCCGAACTCTCTTTGCGTTGGGCAAATAATTGCCAGGTTGTTATCATGGTCATCGTGCTACTCAGTACATCTACTCACCAGTCTTGAAGCAGCCTTCGTACACTTCCATTGAAAGGAAGGTTGTCGTCGTTCAGCACTGCCGAGCGGAAAAACGCTCCGGGTCGACTGGCGGACGGCACGCTGTAAGCGCTGTCCACATCGCAAGTCGACTGCACACTCAATGATGAGAGCGGCACGGCCATGGCACCCGCGCCTCCGCCTGCAGTACCTTGCGACGAGGATACGAAGCAGTTTCCATTCCTATTTCCTTCGCAGGAAATTCCTTCCGACGTTGCCATTGCAGCAGCACAGCGGAGCAGCAAGGCAATAGAAATCCACGCCAGTCCCATTGTCGTGTGACGTGAGAAAGGCCAACTGCTGTATTGTGCCCGACCTAGATCATTAATTTTTTGGCTGCGAGAGAGGAGAATTGAAGCTTTTGAACTAAGGGACAGCAATGATATTTTCAGCAATAGCGGCGGCAAGAATAAATCAATCGCCGATTGATATCCCGCGCTAGCTCCGCGTCGTGCGTTCACTGGCGCTCACTGGTGTCATCAACACGAGAAGCCTGCAAAAAGGCTCGATATGACACGGATTGAATGAACGGAGTGATCGAAACTGCGCGCAAAGACGTCGTTGTGCAGATCACACGGCCGTGCACAGCCGAGCCACGATGTAATGACGACACAGCGCCTGTCTAGGCACTACTCTACAGTAGGTAGAGATCTAAACACTGACAGTCTGCAACACGGGATCTTGGGCCGTAGATCCTCCGGGACCGGGAGACTCCCAAGCACAGATAAGAATAAGACAGTAACGCCTAGCGGGAATAATCCAACTACATGCACCACTTACTCCAGGTGAAGATGTTTGAAGGAGAATGAGATCTACACATTCTAGCTTTCCAACTACACTAGTATAGTACAGCTAGCCTACGACTGAACGATGTCGATTTAAATATGAATTATTTTCTTGACGAGATAGCCGTGCAAGCATCGAGATGGATAAGTACGGGAAATGATTATCCCGACGTCCGATGGCCGCGATGCATGATGTCTGTTTGTGCGGTCACCACGCTGTCGAATGCCCGGTATCCAAAGCGGGTCGCGCAACTCCTTACTGTAGTTTGTAAGTTTAGGCCAAAGCCAACTACAGTAGTACTAGTAGTAAGTTACTTGTACTTGTGACAGCGAAATCCCAAAGACAGAATGAGATAAGTATACCTGGCCTACGTGAAGGCTATACAGAACTACTGTTGACTAGCACTCAGTAGCAGCGGGGCAGAATCCTCTGGAGACACTATGACAATGACTGTCAATGACATGTCGACAGCCTGCTTCACTGATCAAGGCTAGCTCACGGATCACGAGGAGCCTTGGCCCTGGCCTGGGCTGTGAGTGTGACAACTCTTCTGTCCACGCCTGCATATAATGATGTACACCTGGACCTGTCACTTCTTTGCCAGATTCAGATGACTCCATGGACTGCATGCTACTGCTAGCTACATGATGTAGTACAAGTAGTAGCTAGCCTTGACGGCTTGAGAGTTCAGTGTCTGTATGATCATGACACCCCATACCACGCATACTGGTGTCGTCTCGCGTAGGCTTGGGAGTTTGGATCCTATGCGGAGTATGACTACAATGATAGTATGTGCACCTAGTAGTAGTAATGCGGTCTGGCCCTCTGCGGCGGCTGCACCCCTGGCCTCAGTCCCTCCCCTCACTCCGGTCTCAGCATGATCAAAAAGCACGCTGAATGAATACAGAATAGCCAATCCCAATACTAATAGTCAATACCACTAGTACAGGTAGTTTGGGCCCATGAGAATCAAAATAGGGAAAACCCCAGTCACATGAGTGATGAGAGCGAATCCTCTCCGGACTCCGGATCAGGCTTTTTGTCGACCATACATACATACCATCAAATCATCATGGGCCAGAGGCTAACAACGATACCCCCTTCGGCCTTGGCTTTGGCTCGAGCAGTGGAGCTCTCGGTTACTGGTACTACTACTTACTAGTGAGTCTGTGACTAGTAGTAGTAGCTCACCTCGCGCATATAATTATTTTGTTACACCGGCGGATTCGTCCATGAACAAGTAGCACTTCACGCCTAGCGCCTGTGGATCCCATGGAGTGTAGAGGCTATTCGTTTGGTGACCCACTTGTGTCAAACCGTTGGTCTCCCAGGATCTCCCCTCCAACGAATGTGATTTAGCTAGGCCATCCTCGACCTCCCCGGGCCTCGGTCACCAAGTCTATAATCAGTTCTCTGACTCTGTTATGTGCATGACTTGTACATGTATGTAGAGAGAGTTGAAGACTTGTGGGGCCCGGTCAAAACCCATTTCGCCGCATTTGGGCGGCGGCATGACGCACGTCCGCTGCCAATGCCATGTCCTGATGGCTCCTGTAATGTCATGTACATGTACATTGTACATACACGTGCTCCGATCCTGGTGAATGTCTGCACCATGTGGTCAATCTGCTTCACCTCAACTTAGGCTCAAGCCATACATGATGCATTGTGAGCAAGGTCCTGCAGTCTGCACCCATTTTCTTCATCACAACAGTCAACACTAGGCTAGGGCCCAAGGGGCTGAAATTCAATTTCGACAAGTTAGTTTAACAGATCGAATTCACCTCTTTGTTCGGAAGCCCGAACCACTGATGTCTGTCGAGTGTCGGTCAGGCTTCTGTGCAAGTTGTACTACTAGTAAAGTTATTATTATGTTTGCTTGTTCGCGTTGGCATCAACCTGCATAAAGCAGGTATATTATAGCCTTCGCTTAATGCCATAAAAAAGAAAGCTCATCCTAAGCGAGAGGGCTAGAGGAAAAGATAATACAAAGAAGTAGTGGTTTATTTACATGCATGTACATGTACATGTAGATCTATCGGTAGTGATTATGTACCATTGGTATTACATGTACATGTACATGTACATGATCGCACAAACACACACTGTACTATCAAGAGTAAAATAAGTTTATTTTACTCTTGCATTGGTACAATCAAGTCAAGAGTAACGCTATTAAGTATTATACCTCCTCCCTCCCTCCCTGGCCCAACACCATGTACCCCCCCCCCCCCCCGCACACACACACGCACACACACACACTCTTGCATGGTCATAACCATGGGCGTGCCTCTTTGTGAGTCGTTGCGACAAGTCTTTGTGGCAGCCGCGCGCGGGGCTGGCCCATTTTTTATCGTCTTAAAGGGGAAGTGCATCGATTTTTCAAGTAGGGCTCAGATGAAAGACAATTGGATATCGGTTCCGATGGTATATCTCTCGCTTGCGTACGGCAAGGGAAACTTGCCATATCGCCGATTTCCCGATCCCGTTTCCATGGCGACTACAGGTGATGACGCACATTCTGCTTAGCTCCGTGAGAGAGAAGGTCGATCACTGCAGAATTGTGTCATTTTCAGTTGTCTTCCGTAAGTTGTATTCACGAAGTGAAAGAAGTACTGTGTTCAATGCTGTTAGTGCCGTGAACTGTTTATTAGTAGTCCTCTCCGTTGTGTACTGGGACGTGACACCGACAGGGAAAAGCTGGAGTGCGGAGACGTTAGCTGGCAAGCGAAAATCGTGACGAACCAAGTGCTGAAATCTTGGTTGGGACAAATCAAACGTTCAGCATTTACCTCAACCAAGGACCATGCCGTTTGCTCTTTCCACTTCCTGAAGATGGATGCGCTGCCTGCTGGAGACTCTCCTATCTCTCGTAACATCTTCTGAAGCCAGGTGAGACGACGAGTACTAGCGGAGATTAGCGAACGAAATAATGTCGTATGTTTTGAAATTTTTGCTGAACATATCTCAGGAGAGATGGCATGTATAGTCCATGTGAACTCAATCAGCGCATGAACTAACCCATGAACAAATGCTTTCCTTGCAGACGTGCATGTGTCTATCCAATCTACACGTAGAGATCATTCCATGCCCTCAGTGAATGGCCTATTTATATATTATTTGTCCATACACTTCATCTGCATGTTGTCTCTATGGAGAAGGGTATTGTTCATTTCATATGAAGAAGTTCGGGCAATAGATGCTTTCCTCTGGTACGATTCTGTTGACCTGATGTTCTTTCTAGCTTCATGGGTAGCTTAGGTGAGGTACCACCGCCATCATGTTTACATGAGGGTCAAACACTGCACCGTTCTTTGTTGCGACATGACGTAAGTTATTGTAAGTGCTCGCAGACTCCATACGTTCCAGCAACACCTAGCATGGTTTCCCGTGAACGTTGTGGGTGAACAAATTCCTGTCCAACATATTTATACAGACATGCCAGCACACACCATGCACCATACACCATACACACACTTGCCCTGCCCTGTCGAGTCACTGCCACGTGGGCCCGGAGGGGCAGTGGAGAGAGAATGGGAGAACGCCGCCCCATGGCACCCGGGACACAAGAACAAGAGCTTGTCTATGTAGGGAGCAACACACATACATACATACATACATACATACACACACATACACACACACACACACACACAAAATGAAAGTTCGGGTCATCTGCCACGAGACTGATGTACGGCCGCGGAGAGCTTCAGCAGCGGTGTCTATTCCTGCCCTGGACCGAACGGAAGCAGCGGTCGCAGGACACACAGTATTCACCACAACACGGCTCCACTGTCGTTGGGGGCTGAGCCACACACTTGTGACGGGCAACAACGCCATAGCTAAGAAAGCAACGGCCACAGCGATCACACTGGCATGTTCCACGCTGCTCCTGCACACACTCTCTCTCGCTCACACACACACACACACACACACACACACACACGTGCGCACATACTGCAAGAAAGAAAGAGAGCATGAGTGTCAGATTCTTGCATAGGAAGTGTTTATTAGCACACACTTATACATGCACATGCAGGCACTCAACGACCAACTAATACTATGCACCATGCCGTATGTTCGTCAAACATAAGATTGCAATACCAAAGAACAACATAAACAAGATCATTTACTTCGTTCTCCTCCAAGTGTGTCCTCCCCAGCCAGGCCGTCTCCTGCATTTCCCTAGGCGGAATGTAGCCTACGAAATGGTTTCTCTAGACTAGGAGAAGATGCTTGGTATTCGCCATCTCTCCTGAGAAATGTTAAGCAAAAATTTCAAAACATACGACATTATTTCGTTCGCTAATCTCCGCTACTCGTCGTCTCACCTGGCTTCAGAAGATGTTACGAGAGATAGGAGAGTCTCCAGCAGGCAGCGCATCCATCTTCAGGAAGTGGAAAGAGCAAACGGCATGGTCCTTGGTTGAGGTAAATGCTGAACGTTTGATTTGTCCCAACCAAGATTTCAGCACTTGGTTCGTCACGATTTTCGCTTGCCAGCTAACGTCTCCGCACTCCAGCTTTCCCCTGTCGGTGTCACGTCCCAGTACACAACGGAGAGGACTACTAATAAACAGTTCACGGCACTAACAGCATTGAACACAGTACTTCTTTCACTTCGTGAATACAAGAAGACAACTGAAAATGACACAATTCTGCAGTGATCGACCTTCTCTCTCACGGAGCTAAGCAGAATGTGCGTCATCACCTGTAGTCGCCATGGAAACGGGATCGGGAAATCGGCGATATGGCAAGTTTCCCTTGCCGTACGCAAGCGAGAGATATACCATCGGAACCGATATCCAATTGTCTTTCATCTGAGCCCTACTTGAAAAATCGATGCACTTCCCCTTTAATAGCTAACAGTTATTAATAATGCGGCCGCATGATTCTCTCCTTGCAGGCTAGATGTCTATGCCCCTTGCCTCCTCCCGGAGCTGAGCACTCTTTCCGGTTTGCAAAGCTCACTGTTAGTGTTATGAACTTATGTGTTTCCCCTCTGATGAGTCGTGGAGCACTCTGACATTTCTAGTCGATAAACAAGGAAGCCTTGTTGTCAGTCCTCCCGCTCGCTGCGATCGGATCTGCCACGCAGTGACTCTGAGTTCCACTGATGTCCCGAGACCTATTGTAAGAAGGTAAAACAGCAAGCTGCCCAGAGATTGAGACGCCGGAATGAATGGTGACTATAATGTACATGTATGTGTATTATGTGATCGACTGATCGTACGTATTTCCTTCCGCCACGAACGAACGCACGCTCACACATACACACACGCACGCACCTACCCACAGGACATTCGTCACAACTTCCGACGTGAGAAGTACTAGTACTAGACAGTCAAGTATTTGAAGCAGGGAGTAGTAAAATACAGGGAGGTGACACGAGCATGTACGGCGAGTTTGACGATTGCCTCAGCACCGTTTTCACCCGGCGGGTGAGATTGGGGTACTATGGGTACCGAAGTGTGTAGACACGCGCGCGGATCAGGATTCTCTCGATCAGGGAGTAGTAAAATACCTACCGCCAAAGAGACTCCTACTGCAGCCCGTAGAAACTCAGCGCTGAGAATTTCCAACAATTGTCTGCCTTCACAAAGTTTGGTAGTCGACCAAACTACCACTATGTCAGGATAGAAGTCCAGCAAGAGTGGTATCACTTTGCGAGATATCCCTGCGTGCCGTAGATTTTTCCTGTGTCGATACAAGCTGTTTACGACGACGTAGCCCGCATTTCAATCCTTGACAAACTTAGGAACATTTCATTCCGAAAAGTGAACTCCCGAATCTCTAGCATACCATAATATGAAATGCTCATCATCACAAAGAAGGTAGAGAAGTACTGGTTGATCACAACTGAGGAGAAATTAGGGGCGATCGTGTGGTGTCCTAGAGATTTTTTCGACTTCAAAATCTGTGCACTCGCTTTTCATCTCCAATCGTACACGTATTGTTCTCAAGGAAATCACCTTCCTTCTATTGCTCCATGCCGTCGATCGGGACGATTTTCGGAAGGGTGGTACCTTTCCATATGACGATGACACAGATGTATCACAAGAGCAAAACAAATGCTGTTCCATGAGATGGATAGACCTTTTCACGGAATTAGTTCTTCGACAAATACTCAAGATTGATTCAGCAGATCATCTTTTTTTGCGAAAGAAAAAAAAACAAGCGCGAGGCACCCATCAAAAATCACGATTAGTGGCGTGTCACCTCCCTGTATTTTACTACTCCCTGATTTGAAGTAATAGTTACCATGCTAATTATTTGACGAATACCAACTAGTATCAGGCCGGCAATGGCAATGGAACTCCAAGTAATTAGTTGACATGCTCACATACAAAATCATTGCCAGAAAATATGTCAACGCCATGGTTCTTGCCTCCAGGCTATACAGCAGCGTGCTGGCTAAGACAGATGACAGGACCATGCAATTTTAGGTTCAGAGAATGACATTTTGACAACAGACAAACTCGCGTCCCTGGCCTAGGTGTTTATCATAATAATGTCTAATTATGATGCCACGATTATCAAGCTAGCAGTACTGGGGTTAGTCCGGGTGCAAACTCAGGTCCCCAGGTGTTTACATTGTATGTCAAAATAATTTAATTATGATGCATAACGGTAGGCCTTGACGGATTATGCTAGCATAATTTTTCGCATAATTTGTACCAAAATCGGATAATCGCATAATTCGAGGCTAATTGCATACGAATCGCAAAAAATTGGAATAATCCGCCTTTTCGCATCAAATTCCATACAGTTGTATATGTTCTACAAGTACAAGTACAAGTAGATGCATCAGGAAGTCGGAGGTTTACGACTCCCTTGAGAACATGTCCAATCAACTACAATCAGTGACGTTCGTAGCTAGGTCGGACGGTGCGTTGACCCCGTTGAACTTTTGCTACTGCAGTACAACGCCCTCAACCAAAAATTACCCTGTTATTTTGCACAGAACCATCATATACATTAGCAGCATATGTGAGCATAATGCGGCATAATATGATAACTTTTAGCATAAAAATAGCATAATTCGGGAATTTTTTCAGCAATGCGAAAAGCGTAATTTCACGAAAATATTAGCATAATCCGTCAACGCCTACATAACGGGGACTGCCTAAATGTAGCATGCACTTGCAAGCAGTGCTGTCACTAGCTGTAGTAGTTCATGTGTCGCAGTTGTGGATGTATAATGTAGGCAGAACAGAAGTAAAAATTATAATACTCGCAATCACAATTTTTGTAGCCTACGTAAATCTACGTGTGAGCCGTGCAGCAGTTTGGGGGAGGTAGAGGTCAGCACTCAGCACAGCACTGAGATCATGAGAGGAGACTCCGGACGTATGGTCACTGTTATATAGGCAGGGAGTCGTAAAATATTTTACGACTCCCTGCCTATAATTATAACAACAGGTAACACACTAGCACACAGTATAGGCAGGGGTACGATTACAGAATGTCCGCCAAGAGCATCAGGTTCTGCGGATATTCGGGTTAAAAACTTGCTATGCTACTTACATTTTACATACACTGTACATGTACGTTGAAGTAAAAAATATCCGGATAGGCGAGGGAACCGGATAATCGAACACACATACTGTATGTACAATGTATGTATGACATATGCTGTAAATAGGTAACCAACAACCTTCTTCCGGATGGCGAGGGATCCAGATAGAAGAGGACCGGATATGGTCTGACTGTACTGAAAACGCACATGTCAACCTGTCCGAGGCATTTTTGACATTTTGACGGAAGCTGGGTCAGCCAGGGTTCCCTGAGCTACAAACTCAAAGCGCATCCAGCAACTAATGCTGACAATACACTATCCGTTAGCCCAGTTGAACCTCGCTCAGTATCCAGATCCGGCTATCTGGAATCTCGATCCGGCTACTAGTACCTGGAACCTCGATCAACCGGACTAGTATTACTCTTGGCAAGAGGGCCACACGGCCGGCACATTACTAGTATACCGGTACATTGCCACTGGCTAGTACTACAGTAGTAGTAGTACATGTAGTACCTTCTTTGAAGTACATACTAGTTGTTTTTACCTCTCGTCTTGATTCACCATTCCACAAACGGAACGTCGTTACTTTATTATTAGAAGACTGTATTATTACTCTTTCATTCTCATGCCAAACAGCTAACTCCTACTAAAACAAGAATGACCAAAAACTAGTGACCTGCACCACCGAGGCAGGAACCTAAAACTCTAAACACACCAAGGAAAACAAGCCCCTCTACGCCTACGGATCACGGACTACAATCCCGATCCTAGCGTAGCGGCAAATGATACAGTCATACTAGTACAAGTAGATGACAAAAGCGGTGCAGGTGTTAGGTGACAGCTGCATACGAATGCATGAAAGGGGTCAGACAGTTCATGTATCATGTGTACCGGCAGTTGTAACTGGAGCCGACTGAAAGTCAATACATCAATAGCAGTGTTAGTCATACATGAAGCCCAGACTACAGAAAGTGTAGCAGTGGATGCAAAGTAAGTTGCATACGACGGGTGTTGCTTGTCGCCAACGTCGCCTACGGGGGCAACATCCTCTCCCCAGTGACGATTTATCCGTCACTAACACAACGGACATCTAGCACGCAGAGCTTGGCTACTGGCCGGCGGAACACACCAGTCTGCGTCTTGACATCTGCTACCCGCACCAGGCCGTCTCTGCCGGGAAAGGTCGCCGTCACTATCCCCTTCGGCCATGTGTTCCTCACTGCGTTGTCGTCGGCGATGACCACCACATCACCTACTCAGTCCACCTTCTTCTCTGTTCTTCCGTGCCATTTGGTTCGCCGGGCTAGCGTTGGCAAGTATTCCTTAATCCAGCGACGCCAGAAATGGTCTGCTAGCACTTGCACGATGCGCCACTGCCGGCGCAGATGTAGGTCATCACCACTGAATACTCCGGGCACTGGTGCTGCTGATGGCGTCCCTAGGAGGAAGTGGTTCGGCGTCAGGCTGTTGTCGTCAGTTGGGTCAGAGGACACATGTGTGAGCGGGCGGCTGTTGATTATCGCCTCAACCTCTGTAAGTAGCGTGATGAGTGTATCCTCACGCGGAGCACGTTCCTTGAGCACGGCTCTCAAGGCGGTTTTCCCTGACCTCACTAGTCGCTCCCACGCTCCCCCCATGTGCGGGGCTGCCGGAGGATTGAACTCCCACTTGATTCCTCTCGGTGTGAGCTCAGCTGCGAGGCGTGTCTGGTCCAGCTGGTCCAACGATTCCTTGAGTTCTCTTGCTGCACCTCGTAGGTTGGTGCCGTTGTCCGAGTAGATAACTCCAGGGCACCCTCTGCGACTGATCAACCGGCAAATTGCCATGATGGTACAGTCTGTTGTCAAGTCGTGTGACAGCTCCAGGTGTACAGCTCGGGTCGTAAGGCAGGTGAATATCACGCCGTACCGCTTCTCGTGACGTCGTCCGATAGTGACTGTCAGTGGCCCGAAATAGTCCATGCCACAATGTGTGAACGGGCGGATGAACGTGGCAACGCGTGCGTCGGGAATCTGTCCCATCTGAGCTCATGAGGTGGTGTTGGCTGCGCGCGTTCATTTTTACACTGCTGGCATACGGTCCAGGTACGGCGGACGGCTGTGCGTAGTTTCAAGACCCAATACGTCTGGCGGACGTCGTTTGCCACACTGTCCTGACCATGGTGTCCATGCCAGACATGGTACTGCTGAAGGAGCATCTGTGTGAATGGGTGCGACGGGTCCAGGATGACAGGCTCGGGCGTCAGTGGACTTCCGGGTGGTGCACTTCGAATTCGGCCATGCATTCTCACCACACCGTCGCTATCTAGCACAGGTGAGAGGTCTCGAAGTTTGCTGCTGCTGCTCACATTGCTGTGCTTCTGCAGGTCGCCAATTTCCTCCCGGAAGCTGTCTTGCTGTGCTTTCTTCCACCACAGCTTCTGGGCCTGCTGGTACTCCGATGGCAGCAACTCAGAGCAAGTGACTGTGGGCTTGCTTGACGCTTTCGCACGCAGGTTGTTGACGTATCTGACGATCCATGCTGTCGTTCTCATCAGCCGAATCCAGGATGAGAAGCGGCTGATATCTGGCAGGGCTAACTGCGCTTCTTTGGTGACTACCGCAGTAAACTCTGTCTTCATCTCGGCTTGGTCGTCGCTGGTGGTAGTGTCTCGCCCAGGATTCTCTACTGGCCACTCAGACTCTGGCTGGGTCAGAAACTCAGGACCATGCGTCCAGATGTGCTGCGCTGCTGATATCTCGGATGGGGCTCTGGTTGCTGCATCTGCTGGGTTGCTGTGTGTTGGGACCCACCGCCATTGCGATACGTCAGTGAGCTCCTCAATCTCTCCGATACGATGTGCTACGAATGGCTTGAATCGCCGGGCGTCTGCTCGGATCCATCGTAGGACAGTCATAGAGTCACTCCAGAGCACGATGCGGTCGATAGGTAGATCATGCTCTTTCCGGACGGTGTCGGCCATTCTGCTGGCCATCAGTGCAGCTTCAGCCGCGGTATGGATACGGGTTATAGTGGTGCAACTCGGGACTTGCCAAACACGAATGCGACTCTGGTGCTGTCGTCAGGTAGCGATAGCCTGAAGTAGGCTGCTGCGGCGAATGCTGACTCACTGGCGTCTCCGAACACGTGAAGCTCCAGGCCCTTTCTGTCCGCAATAGCCGTGCAGTAGCAACGCGGAATTGACCTGCTCCCGAGGTTGTGCACTCCCGTCCACCAGTCCGTCCATCTTTGGACGAGAGATCCTGGCAGTGGCTCGTCCCATCCGACGCCTGTGCGCCAAATGTCTTGTAGCAGAATGCGAGCCGACGTGGTGTAGTAGGTGAAGAAACCAAGGGGGTCGAACACAGACATCAGCTTGCGTAGGACTTCACGTTTTGTCACTTCTGTTGTGTTGCTTTGCTCCAGTCTACGGCTCAGACTAAAGCCGAACGCGTCTTCCCGTGGCAACCACTTCAGACCGAGTGTCTTCTCCACTACAGTCTCGTTGTCGCTGCTAATAGTGACTACCGGCGGTGAGCATATATCTGGTGGTACGACAGCAAGAGCATCAGGTGAGTTGCTGACCCAGCCTCTGATGGAGAAGCCTCCGGCTTCCTGGATTTGACTCACTTCCTTGATCCGTTGGGCTGCTTCTTCTGCCGTCGGCGTCGAGTCGAAGTAGTCGTCCATGTAGTGCTTGTCATGGATTGCAGTAACCGCATCTGGCGCGCTGTGCCGGAATTTGTCTGCATTTCTTCGCATTACATACTGGGCTGATGCTGGCGAACATACAGCGCCGAATGTCATGGCTCTCATCTGGTAGACATCAGGTTCACGGTCTCTGTCACTGCCTCGCCAAAGGAACCGCTGTGCAGGCTGATCGTCAGGTCGGATGTGCACTTGGTGAAACATCTGTCGGATATCCCCTCCGAACCCCACGCGGTGTTGTCTGAACTTGAACAGCACACTGGTGAGAGGGTTGAGATAGTCGGGGCCTGGCAGCAGGGCATCGTTGAGGCTGACCCCGTGGCTTGGCGCAGCTGCATCGAACACTAGGCGCAGCTTGCCTGGCTTGTTGGGGTTTGTCACTCCAAAATGTGGCAGGTACCACGCTCTCTGAGAAGGCATCTGGAGCTGGGAGTGTGTGAGCTTGGTGGCGTATCCGTCGTCAATATACTGTGCAATCTTGGCGCAGTACGCTTCAGAGAATGCAGGGTTCCTGTCCATCTTGCGTTCAATGGACAGGAGGCGGCGCGTTGCTGACGTTTTACTCTCCGGTAGGCTTACGTCAGCGTCTCGCCACAGCAAGCCGGTCTCCCATCGTTCCCCGATACGTCTCGTGGTGGATTCCAGGATCCTTTCCGCCTTCGCTTCCTGTCGCGAGCGTATTTTCTCGCTGCGGACTTGTACACCGAACGATTCTGTGGTGAAGTAGTGCTTCACCTGTTGGTGGAGACCGATATCCGTGTCCTCGGCACTGCCTTCTTCCGCTGTGTCAAGTCGGGCATGCAGTACCTGATCAGCGCCACCGAGTTGGCCGTGTATCGACCACCCCAGCTTGCACCGGCTCAGTGTGGGTGCGTTGGGTGGGCCCTCGATCGTCTCCCTGGGCAAGATAACATGGCAGTTGTCCTGGCCAATCAGCAAGCGCGGCTTCTTTGTCGCGCTGAGAGGGATGTCTGCGCTGCTCACGTGTTGCCAACGCTGTCGCTGATGGTTGATGTCGACATGCTGGGCTGGTAGGTGCAGCTCACGCACAGTCCGGGCCGACAGCTGGAGGTCTCCGTCCTGACCGCTCACGGTGATTGTGACCTCCCTGGAGTCAGGATCTTGCTGGCACATATCGTTCGTCCATGCTAGCGTCAATGGCCTACATGGCCCTTCTGCGCCCACCTGCTTTGCGATGTCTGAATCCAGCAGGGTGACCGTTGATGCTTCATCCAGTAGTGCGGCCGTGTTCACCACACCTTTCGGTCCGCGGATTGCTACCGGCACTGTCCTCAGAACGACTCTGCTTTGCTGCTGGGCGCTAGCTAGGTTCGTGCGTTCGACATCGTCCTTCCTCTTTGGTGGGTGCAGCATCGGATGGTGAAGCCGGTCACAGCCATCCTTCTTACAGGGCGTACTGTCAGGGCACTCTCTAGTGCGGTGGCCCTGGCCAAGGCAGGTGAAGCATCGTCGTTCTGTCTTGACCCATCTCCAGCGCTCGTTGCTCGTCTTGCGTGCGAATTCTCGGCACTCAGCCACCTTGTGGCCTGCCCGTCTGCAGAAGTCGCACTTTCTCTCGCTGGCCACGAAGGCAGTCTGCCGCTGGCCGCTCTGTCGAGCAGTCGGTGGCGGCTTCATATTGCTGCCTGTTGACACACACTTTGCTGCCGTCGTGTCGAGTCTCCGAACACAACAGAGCGCATCTGCTCTCTTTGCGAGCCACTCTGCCAGTGTTTTCATTGTCACTGGATCTTTGCACTCTGCTACGTGCTCTCCCCATTGACGGGTCAAGCTGCTCGGTAGTTTCTGCACGATCTCCTGGCGGAGCTGCGGGTTAGCTAAGTGGCCTGTGCTCTTGAGGAGCTCCATGGTCGACACCAAGTTGCTAACCGAGTTCGCCAAGTCAATAAGCTGCTCAAAGTCGTCGTCTCGCAACTTAGGCATGGTCTTGACCTGGGCAATCATGGACTGGACCACATGGTCCGGCTGGCCGAACCGCATCTGGAGAGTGTGCATCACTCGATCAATGTTGTCCGGTACGACGAGCATTGACTTCACACTGTCCAAAGCCTTTCCCTTCAAGGCTCTCTGCAGACGGGTCATGTTCTCCTGGTTGGAGAAACCACACTCTGCAGTGGAGGCCGTAAACGTCCGGTTGAACATCGGCCATGCTGTCGGATCACCGTTGAAGGCCGGCAGGTCTTTTGTGGCTGATTGTCTAGCCATCATTCTCCGCAGGTCCTTGTCCGAGGTGTTCTGGTGGTCTGGAGTGGTCGCCCTTGGTGGCGTCAGCTTATCCGACAATACCTGGGCCAGCTGTGACACTGCTGATGCAACAGCTGTCTGTATGCTGTCACCTGATGTGGCCTGCGTCTGCAGGCTAGCAGGACCATCAGTACTTGCTGGTCGTTTCGGGGTCCATCGTCACGGCACAATGCTACTGCGCTCTTGGACGAAGGTAGATCGCATGTGGGGGTGTCGGCACCGGCCGCACCACGTGGCTCACTTTGCGCTTTGGTCTGCAGCTCGCGCCTTTCCCGGTTGGAAGGTGCCATGTCCACCTGCATGACTGCTAGTTGAGCTCTGGTCTCCTCCAGCTCGTACTCTAGATTCTGCACTTGGTCCTCCAGGTCGCATGACGTGCTGGTGAGCTGGCTGATGCGATGGTCTCTAGCTACCAAGTCACTTTGGAGACGGTCGTTACTTGCTTCGGCCTTGGCAAGATCTCCCTCCAGGGACTTGATCACCTGCACCTGGTCAGCATGCCTCGCGTCTTCCTGGAAGATCCGCTGCTTCAGGGTTGCAATCGTCTGTTGCTGTAGCTGGAGTTCGTCTTTCAGTCGTCTTTTTTCTTCAAGCTCCACAGTGAGCTTGTCGTCATAGGCTCGCTCAATGGAGCCAGTGTTCTGTCGGCATAACTTCAGCTGCCCCTCCAACTCCTGGATCCTTATCTCCGCAGCACACAGAGGCTGCACAAGTCTGGTGGCTGGAATTACTGCTGGAGTAGCCGCGTCATGTGGGTCACTGTCCGTGTACCCCTGGGCTGGCATGACACTTTGAGTCACTTCCTCCTCCTCGTGCTGTGGGTGCTGTTCTGCATCTTGAGCAGATACTGGTTCTTCACCGTCCCTCACGAAGTAGTGTGACTCCTGCATGTCCATTGCCCTCTCGCTGTGGCCGTAGTCGAGCACGGGTGCTGCTGTGCCTCCGTTGCCGACCTCCTCGTCGGCCTGAATCGCCGCCAGGTCCGCGGCGAGCTGGAGATTGGAGAGTCTCTTCTCGCTTTCCAGCCTATGGCTTCTCGCCTCCTCTTCAAGTGCAGCCACACGCTGCGCTGCCACCAGCTCCGCTTTCCGCTTCCTGGCTTCAGCAGCACTGCTCGAAGAGCGTCGAGAAACACTCGAGAATCGGCTCAGTGTCGAGGAGGAGATACTTTCGGTTTCCTCCGCGACGCTGCCTGCGACAACGTTACTGATATTGTCGCTCCTGCTGCAACAAGTCGGCTTCACTTTCCGGCCTTTGGTCTCACGTTGAGATCGCCTGACCTGTTCACTGTGCCGCTTGTCGACGTCCATTATCTTTCCGTCCGGCTGGTTCGAATCCGGCTCTCGAAGGACCAATGTTTTTACCTCTCGTCTTGATTCACCATTCCACAAACGGAACGTCGTTACTTTATTATTAGAAGACTGTATTATTACTCTTTCATTCTCATGCCAAACAGCTAACTCCTACTAAAACAAGAATGACCAAAAACTAGTGACCTGCACCACCGAGGCAGGAACCTAAAACTCTAAACACACCAAGGAAAACAAGCCCCTCTACGCCTACGGATCACGGACTACAATCCCGATCCTAGCGTAGCGGCAAATGATACAGTCATACTAGTACAAGTAGATGACAAAAGCGGTGCAGGTGTTAGGTGACAGCTGCATACGAATGCATGAAAGGGGTCAGACAGTTCATGTATCATGTGTACCGGCAGTTGTAACTGGAGCCGACTGAAAGTCAATACATCAATAGCAGTGTTAGTCATACATGAAGCCCAGACTACAGAAAGTGTAGCAGTGGATGCAAAGTAAGTTGCATACGACGGGTGTTGCTTGTCGCCAACGTCGCCTACGGGGGCAACACTAGTAGTCGGTAGTCAGAGCAACATGGCTAGTAGTACTAGTCTTATAAACATACAGCTGCAGTTACACCTCTGTGTGCTGCCGACATGAAATGGTATAGCTTTGCTCAATGGATGAACTCCATACATGATGAACTACCAGTAAGTTCCTTACACACGAGCTATTTCCGAAATTTTCTGCAGGAAGGAGTACAAGCATGTACTGATGTAGATACGGTGCCGCGGTTATGCAAGAAAGAGACACAAAACTACAAATGCAATCATTATCTAGGTCACCGTAGCCACTGTCTTGACCACAATCAGTAGACACTCCATTCGAATACACTCCATTCGAATACACTCCATTCGAATACACTCCATTCGAATACACTCCATTCGAATACACTCCATTCGAATATACTCCATTCGAATACACTCCATTCGAATACACTCCATTCGAATACATGTACAATAATGTACATTATTATATCCACTGGCACGAGTGCATACCGACACCGGTCACACATGCGTATTCACTCATCTGCACCACAGCTTCATGCGTAGCGGCACAGCCACGAAAACCACCGCCGTACTACATTGTACATAACTGGCTTCATACGCACACAAGCGAGCTGCAGCAAAGAGCACCATTGCCGATTCTATGCCGCCCGGCACTGAAGGCCGAGCATCATCACCGTGCGAACTACCAAGACAAGTCACAGTGAACTACAGTGCCACCAAGCTTTCAAGACAAGCTAAGGATTGATTATAGAGCCTGATTAGGGTGAGCCCTGAAAATATAGAACAGAAGCTTTGACTTTACTACTCAAGCCGATATGCGTCATAAATTAATTGTATCTTGACTTGGAGTATCATATCTGACAATTTTTCACACTGGAGGACGGAGATAATGAGAATCAATATTGTAAAGCTTGAAAGTATGCTATGAATCGTGGATTGCTCATGACAGACTTTTCGATGCTCTGGCAACCCTCGCTAAGTTGTCTTCTGTATTTCAAATGTTTTGTAACGACGTGTGTGAATGGTACGCTCACTCTTGAAACTGCACCGGTCAACTCTCGACCTGGGGCTTCCTTTCGTACGCAGCCACTGCTTCATGGTGTGGATGTTCTGCTGGGGACCCTCGATGGTACCTACGACTGTGTTGTAGATCGTGTTCCTTACCCATCCGGTCAGGCCGTGCTTCTCGGCGTTCTGCTTGGTGTGCTTTCTGAAGAAGACGCCCTGCACCTTGCCATGCACCTCGAACTCCACTGACAACAATTTGCCCTGCGCAGGACGAGCACCGCCGCTGACACCACCAGCAACAGCTCCAGCGCCAGCAGCAGCAGTAGCTGCTGCTGGTCTGCTCACACCGCCAGTCGCCAGGTTGCTGAAAAGCAGTTCGAACGAATGAAGAATTACCGACAGACAGAAGAATCCACACGCCAAGGCAACTACACTCTGCAGCAACGCCCAGGGAACGGAAGTCGTCTGGGTTCGCATCCTAAGTAAAGCATCTGAACTGAGTGAGGTGCTCGAACTGCACTGACGGTCGAAGAAGTAGAGATAAAGATGGGAAAAATTAGAATGCCAGTAACAAAAATGAAAAGGAGGAAATACTGTACTTGTGCGTGAATCACGTCTGTACTCATCAGAATACTGACAGTCTGTATCGATCACTGCACTAGTAATAATTATAATAGCGATCGCGCGCACGTGTCACAAACATGATCATATCAGGCTGCATGCGCGCAGCGAACACACATAACTTACTTCATAAGTCATTTTTTAATTTTTCAAAAACAAAAGAGAAATCGAAAGCACGTAGATCTACGTCTGTTAGCTGTGTCAGCTAGCTCCTAGTCTAGACCTAGTAGAAGGCTAGATCCTCTGAGTTGTTTTGTTTCTTGTACATGGAACTCGTTGTCCTCTTGACTTCAGTTCCTTGCTACAGATCTGCTTCGGGCAGGAGACGTGATACTTCACAAGCTACAGTCTGTGTCCAGCTCTGGATTGGTCGGCATGCTAATTTCTCATAGAAACTGTTGTATTTCATTCAACTAATTATTCGTTGAATTTTGAAAGTACTTCGAAATAGAATGGAAAATTTCTTCGCGTTTGCGGATTTGCTACGGTCATTGAAGACTACCAAGCGAAGGGGATGGGTTTTGAGAGGCGTTCATGATCCTGAAAGTGTCGCTGATCACATGTATCGAATGGCGATGCTTGCTCTGACCGTCGACACAACCAAGTGCAACGTCAGCCGGGAGCACTGCGCCAAAATGGCCCTGGTTCATGACCTGGCAGAGAGCATTGTGGGAGACATTGCGCCGTGTGACAACGTGCCGAAAGAGGAGAAGCAGAGACGTGAGATGGATGCCATGAAACACATACAGGAGTTGCTGCCGGCAGAGGCTGGTGCTGAAGTCCTAGCACTATTTGAGGAGTATGAGTCAGGGCAGTCACCGGCAGCATGTCTTGTAAAAGACCTTGATAAATTCGATATGATCTTGCAGGCGTACGAGTATGAGAAAGCTGACAAGCGCCCCGGTGGACTTCAGGAGTTCTTCGACTCGACCGAAGGAAAGTTTAAAACCGAGCTCGTGCAAGGCTGGGTGGCCGAGCTAAGAACGAAAAGAACTGAATGGATAGAACGCCAAACTACGTGTACCTCGCCTCAGTGAACAAAGCTCTGCCACAGAACAAACACTTCCAACACACTGTCACAAAGCCATGTTTACCCCATCAACATCCACGTTGTTTATCATTTTATATACATGTATTGATGACCACTCAGAAGCTATGTACAAAGCGAACAAAATATAGGAGGCAAAGCAAATTTTAAAAAAAGGCGGAAAGTTGTGCGTTATATATAATAATAATTATCATTCAAGCTCTGTACAAAATGCACACTGTATATATGTCGATATGTGAGTAAGTTCTATTGTATACGCTTTGTTCTGTCAAGAAGTTGAGTCTGTATGTACAAGTATGTACTGGAATTGAATGCACTATCAGCACTATACAGACTTGAAGATTGCACTATTGCAACAAACAAGTTTCCTGCTGGATATTGAGCAAGCCTTGGACAACAGGAACCACGGCCGGCCGTGGATGACCGAGGCCAAAATCAAAACAGTTCCAATACAAAAATTCTATTTACATAATAGGGCGGTGCTGATGGTTGTGCACCCACACCGGCCAGGGTAAAGGGTGAACGTAACTTGCATGGGAGAGGACCAGCCAAGTACACATGGGATGTGCATCATCGAAGCAATTGAAACCGCAGGCCAGCTACACGGATGTCTGCTTGTAGTTCTTTACGTCCACCATCTGTTTGCCGCACATTGCACAGATGCCTAATGCAACAGAAGACAAAATGAGAGAAACACAACGGACAGCATGTAAATCAAGTGCAAGACGGACGTACCAAAAATACAAAGCGCCGCTGGGCAGGTGAACGGCTAGAGTAACCAGAAGAAAAGTTGGCAATCATGCAAGGCATCAGGAAAACCGAACAAAATCATGATTTTTTTTACAAGAGATGCCATTTATTCAATTTCCAGCCCATGTGCATGTTTATTTGTATTTGTATTTTACGGATTCTACACAGGCCTTAGCCTAAATCAAGGGAGTCTCTGTTCTTCCCCGTTTAGAGCAGGCATGTAGTCGAAAATGAGAAGCTGTTGTCCCACCGCCACCCTCGGTGCTGTTTCATCAGTTCTTCCCTTTTTACAGCAGCACGCAATAATTATAACAACTGCTCAACAAAATCTGAAGAAGGGCTGAGGCTTCCTGTAGCTTCATCTCTGAAATAAAGAATTCGGGTGTACACATCCATTCCCGATGATGGCCAAGTGCCGAAACGTAAAATAACGGAACTGGTTCAGATGTGCAGCGCAATGGGAATGGGTGTGTCCACCTGAATTCCTTATTGCTCAACAAAAATCAAAAACACTGTCGGGCAAAGTCTGAGAAGGCAAGAAAAGCAAGAAGTATTCACACTCACCTAGCTTGTAGGAACACCCTGGAGTGGAAAGAAAGGAAGAAAAACAGGAACCAGTTGAATAACATTTACTAAAAGTCGACTAAGAAAAAATCATAGCCCAGTGCTGCAAAGCACCTTCCACTCCCTTTCATACTCATATGTGCTGTTTGGTGGAACCTTTCAGAGATGTGAGGTCAAAAGGCACTCCCAAGTCGATATAACTGCTATTGCAGAGTTTGTTCTGCAATCATACATGTTGCCTATCTGTAGCAGGTAAAGGCGACGGTTCGATACCGGAACGGCTTGACAGCCAAATTGGTATAGACCCAAACCGATCATCAGCGTTGATTGTTCACTCGAAATATGTTTGTGGAAGGAAACTGGCATGTTGAAGTTTGCTCTGAGGCCAGAGTCAATCGAACTGAGCCACTCCTTTGTGTTGACCCATTGCCTCCAAGTTGCCCAATTTTTTGCTTCAAATCAGAGGTGGCTCCAAACCGGACAGGGTTTAGAGTGCACGTCAAATTCACTCTGGGTCTGAAATTAGGTAATTGTTATCGCTCCACGACGGCCAGTATAGAGTAACAATAAGCCTTGTGTGTGCTTCCATTAGTTTTGATTGGTATGCGGTACTTTATTGGCGAGAGGCGAGCCGCTGTTTACCTGTGACAAGAAGTTGGTTTTTCGAAAGTCATAAAACTCAAGTCGCAGTGCGAAGGAACACGTCAAAAACTCACCTGCTTGGTATGGCGTTTCTGGTCATCGCAGAGCCATGAAATTTTGGCTCGGAGTATAACACATCTTAGTCTCACTGTGACATATGTTTTCTAATCAAAATACCAAGACTTGAAGAGAGAGAAAGTGAACATTGAGTCCGTTCCGGTTTGCAACCTATGTCCTATTTGAAACCGTCGCCTTTACCTGACAAAGAATGACACAAACCTGACTGCATTGCACTTTCAGTGTACCGGACATCATTCAGCACTGAAAGCCAAGGAAAGCTCAAGGCAAGTTTGCTGCAGAATCACAACCAGTTTCTGTATACAAGATCCGGATGCAGTAACTCCAGGATGCAAGCTCCACCTAAGGATTGCCCGGAAGGTACCCAAGCCGATCATAACATATTTCAAAGCTACCGTCCTACACACAGGTGCAAAAGAACTGGGGATGTGTAGTCCTGCAGTTTTATGGTACATTCCTTTGTCCACTGCCAACCCTGGTGGTCTCAGGTAATCAGAAGAACATTTGCAAATATTGGCAGACCATGCCAAGCTCTGCTGGCTCTCCCCACTTTGGACACGGACGAAAGCGGAAGATTCCCGTGCTTTGTCACTCACGCATTATGTACACGAGCCCAAACCTGACTTAGGGGTCCTTTAATAGCAAAATGCAGGGAAACTCAACGCATGCTGAACTTTACCCTCGTTGGTCATGGTGAACTGAAAAAGAACTACTAGTAACCTCTCCTCACAAAAAAATGGTCCTCTTCTCTTCCGAGAACTTTTCTACAAGAGCAAGACGTCTTCAAGAATAACAGAGTGCACCCTGCAACTAACCTTGACAGTAGTGTGAGCCTTGCTGGTGGACAGCCTGCTTGCAAACTTTGCACTTCTCAAACTTCGCATAGGGCTGAAACCTGGAGAGATTGAAAGTCAGAAAGCACTGCAGTCATGAGTAAATAGGAAAAGAAAAACTTCACAAAATAAAGTAACAGCTCTGAATAGTTGACAGTCTCAGGCCAAGGCAGAAGCTTGGCCACAGGAACTTGTGCCGTCAACAGAACAAGTGACACAGAACAGGCTGTGTAAGGCCTGACCCAACAGATCATTCTGCACAGTAAAACTTGCCACGGGGGGGGGGGGGGGGGGGGGCGACAAGGCAACTGACCACCTTTCCCGGAGGACCACAAATGGTACATGTACCATGTCTAGTCAAATGCACCTGGACAGGGCAATCACCTGTACACAGGGAAGTTCAGCGGTCACCTTAGAAAGGCTTCATTGTAGACATACATGTCTATTTCCTCTGTGCTGCGCTGATGAGTTCACAAAGAACGAAACAGCATGCTGTCCGCAGATTGAGTAGTGTCTACATTGAACATATCTGAGAAAACTGTGGTTTACTAACGGGCAGATTTTCATATAACAGGTATATAACAGTTATGATGTGTTTTAATTGATACGGAAGAGGAGAATCCTAGTCAGGTAAGGACAATTTTGGCTGCACCATGGTCGACTGCCTCACCTAGTTTTGCGACCTGACAACAGTTTGTTCTCCCCAAGTTTCCGTGTTGGGCCACCAGATGAACTTGACGCCGCAGCTGAGGCGGAAGCGGATCCAGATGCTTTTGGTCCTGAAGGTGGACACGTAACAACATTGAATGATGGAGTCAAATATAATGATTCGCATCCTATTTAAAAAAAGTCATATACTCAGTCCTCGTGGAAAACTAGTGGAAGTACCAAAGGGAACAAAGACAGAGTGTTGTGCTGACAAGCATACAACCAGATCTACATGACTGTGACATGGAAGAGAAGCAGCTTGCTAATATCTTGAATCATTACTAGTTCACTGTATACTTGACACACAGGGGGCAATGGCCTATCTAGCAGTAATGCTGTGCACATCTATAAGGGGCACACATACGCATCACATCGCCATGTTTCGCTTACTGACTACATTACGAGCTCCGTCTCTCCACTTGTCGGGGCATGCGACCGTGCCCAATTTCTTCTCGCCTAGTTGCAAAGAAAGTGGGAGTAACGACACAGTATTAGATAGCTCATACTACACGTCGTTCTCGCCGTGATTAAGATAACATTGATATAAATATTAAATACTCTAATTTCAGAAATTTTCGGTGCTCAATATTTTCGGTATGAGGGCAACAGACTAGGTTAGGTGAACAGAAATTTTCGGTACAGAGAAGCAATTCCCAATTGGATTATGTGTGTTAGTGTTTGTTCGGTGTCTTGAAATTTTAGGTATGAAACAGACGCACCGAAAGTACCGAAAATAAAAGTACACCGAAAATTTGTGAAATTAAATTTGTGAAATTACAGTACATGTAAGTGAAACCTGTCTAAGCCGACCGCTCAAGGGACCTTTAAAACGTGGTCTCTGTTACCAGGTGGTCTCCTTATCCAGTGTCATTGACTGGAAGTAGCATCCCTTGGTGCTGGTTGCAATGGTCTTCTGGGGCAGGTGGTCGCCTTATTGGAGTGGTCATCTTGACAGGTTTTACAGTAGCGGTCGAAAGGGTAGGCCGGGTTCACTTCAAAACCACTCAATTGCATACATTACGGATTGTTTATACTTTTCTTTTTAGTAATTGATGGTACCGACAGAAAGCTTTGGGAAATTGAGATTGTGCAAATGCTGCGTACTACAAGCAGTGTGGTCATAGAGTAGATGCAGGTTGTTGTTATTTCGTGCTTTACAAGTCTCGGTGTGGTAATTACGTGTATGATACAAGTCCGTTTGTGTATGTCATCATGACCGAGTCATAAAGTTACCACTCACGTACTTCGAAGTACTACCCTGTCCAATCGCATGTAGTGACAAGAGTACATGAAAACCAGAGTGTGCAGCTCGGATGGGTTGCTGTCACGGCGAAATTCCGTGATTACATCATTTTAGTGATGTAGTGCGTACAAGCAGGATTCAAGCAGGTCTCTTTCTGCACAACTGCAGCTCAGTTGTACGCACTACGCCATTTCCCGCCTCAGATCTGGGCCAAATATGATGTAATCACGGAATTTCGCCGTGACAGACACCCATAGCAGAAAAGGCCCCAAGCTGCACACTCTGGTTTTCATGTACTCTTGGTAGTGATAATCGTCTATAGTGATCAAGTCACACTTATTCAAACACCAACGTTATGATCTCTACCTGTACACACCTGGCAATATGGCCGTAAATACACGCCTGCCCACACACACTCTCTAAGCTTCAAATGTGCTGCATGTAGTACTAGTATACTCAGTTAGCTCTTGTCCTTTGCTAGTATTTCATTCAAATACTGAAATAGCAGCCAGTGAGAGTCGGTGCCCTGTACCTGATTTCGTGTGCGCGTTGTGCTAGCCACAGTGCATGAGGACACTCCAGTTATACACCATCACTCGACTAAACAAAATACACAAACATTGGACGTGCGTGTGTGTGTGTGTGCGTGCGTGTTTGTGTGTGTGTGTGTGTGTGTGTGTGTGTGTGTGTGTGTGTGTGTGTGTGTGTGTGTGTGTGTGTGTGTGTGTGTGTGTGTGTGTGTGTGTGTGTGTGTGTGTGTGTGTGTGTGTGTGTGTGTGTGTGTGGTGAAATGCATGAGCATATAGGGTGCCCGAAACCCAACCTGATAGCTGATAGCCTATAATTATAGGGTGACCGTTTGACCACTAGTTATAATAGACTTACATTTGGAACAAACCATAGCGACACCAACTTCTGCGACAATCTCACAGAGCTCTGATGGGGAAAGACTCCGACTGACTAAAGTGAAGAGGATGAAGTACACTATCGCGACAGAAATTCCAAAGCTAATTCTTCCAATACTGTTGCTGCTATACTGCCAGGATGATCAAGAAATGGATACAACAAACATTCGTTTGCAGCCACCAGGACAAGACGAGGGTCTTCTTTGTGATGTGCCTTCGACTTCGTGCCACAAAGACTGTTTTTGTTGATATCTTTTTCGAATGTTTTCTGATATGAGTGATGACTCGACTCGGAGATCGAGATGAGTCTCTAGACGTCTGAAGATCGTCTATCACTCTGATGACGTTACAGTGATGATGATGTAATCAAGACGTAACGGCATATAAAGTAGCATAGCTAGCAGCAAGAGTACATTGTACTCTTGCTAGCAGGTAGTTCGAAAGATTTTTTAGGTCTTTCATTCGTTGTCATGGCAGTCAAAGCAGAAGTTCGCGGCGCTGGCTCCGAAGCGTCATTTGTTTGAAGAGGAAAACGGGGTAGGACGAAAGAAAACGGTGATCTTGAGTTCAAGTGAACTTTCTCGGTACTTTATTGTTACTTGAACTTCCCAGGCTGACAAACACGTAATACTAGTACAGTAGTGGTGGCATTCTTCCTTGGTTCTCAACCTCATCGCAAATATGGCTTCTCAAGTCACCGTAAGCGGCATCTGTGAGAATACTAAGATGGCGCGGGAGAATGCACTGCTTGGTTCTTACGACGGTGCTGCGGTGTATTATCAGGCGGTGCTACAGCAAATCCAGAAGCTCATGCAGGGCATTCGAGAAGCAGATCGCAAGGAGAAGTGGGTAAAGGTGCGTTCACACGTACGCACACGCGCATACACGCACAAACACACACAAACACACACACACACCACACGCACACGCACACGCACACACACACACACACACCATACACACACACACACACACGCACCATGTACCATGGCATGGACTCTTATGCGCCCGTCGTAAGAGAAGCACGCAAAATCTGCAAATACACTGGATAGGGCCTTGACTAAGGTAGAACAGTTGAAAAGTTGGACGTCCTCCGCGAGGGACAACCCAAGGAATTAAGTTTTCTCTGCCGGAGTCTATTGGTTCACAGCTGCAACCTGCTCGAACTGGGCATACCATGCTGCCCAGTTGTCCTCTAGTCGACCGGCGTATTTGGCTGGGGTGGCCCGGTTGTGGACGTGATGGGCGGGCGCAGGAGCAGCGGTGGCTGGCGCAGCAGCGGGTTGAGCCATAATGATTGAGTTAGGTACCGAATAGAAAAAAAGACTGACGGTTCGTATGCAGTTTGGGGACGAATTCACATGTCGCTGCCACCAATTGTAATAGGTAGCCGAGAGGTAAGAAGGAGGCACGTCAATCAACACACGAACGAGGCAATGTAGTATCTGTATTCGAACGTACTCCGGTACACACCTGGAGTTAAAAGGCAATAAAGTGAAGGCAAGAAGTGAGCTTACTCCGATACACATCTGAAGGTTGGAGCTACTCTGTTGTACTCGATTCTGTTGTTCTATCACCTTGTGTGAACAAAGACAAAAGACCAAGAAACTAAGAAAACTACAAGGATAGGCGTTGGTGCAAAAGAAGCCAGTACAAAGATGGGATCCCGGGTTTGCCCACATGCATACGCATAGAATCCTGGCTGGGTAACAAGAATATTTGAAGGGCACGCATAAGGACACGTACGTAGGGCCTGCAGGGTACAACAGGAACGCATATAATTATTATAAGACATTTGAGGTACCTAAGCAGAACACAGTAGATGCAGTGCAGACCCCGAGAGCATCGTACATGGATAGTCAAGTCCATAACAGTACATGCGTAGATACGGTAGTAATGCATACAGGTATGATGATGTAATGCATACAGGTATGATGATGTAATGCATACAGGTATGATGATGTAAACTAGCAAAGAAGCGTAGTAACTACATGGTATGTGTATCCAGCAAGCGCAAGGGAAACACAAGTGGTGAGAAGTGATATAATTAGCTTTGTAGGCTTGTCAGCAAAGAAGTGACAAGAGTCGTGCAGAGCAGCAGTGCGTGTACATGTGACATGATTAGAGGTTAAAAAAAAGAAGATGTACAGTGAAACCTGTCTAAGACGACCACTCAAGGGACATGCAAAATGTGTCTACATTGCCAGGTGGTCTCCTTATCCAGGGTCATTTGACTGGTAATAGCATCCCTTGGTGCTGGCTGCATTGGTCTTCTGGGACAGGTGGTCGCCTTATCCGATCCCGGCCAAGTGGTCGCCATGGCAGGTTTTACTGAAGTAGTCAAAAGCAGTTCAGTATAAGCAAGGCAGGGATATTACAATAGTGATGTCACCATGATCACAAAACATTTGCAAAATACTGCATGTACATGTACAACAAAAATGTACTTGTCGAATCGCTGACTCAAGAGTTCTTGCTCGCTAGAGCTTTGTTGTGGGTACAGCACTGCTCGCGAGCGTCCGAAAACACTGAAAACCAAAAAAAGTGCTGACGGACTTTTTTCGAAAATCCGGTAGATGTTATAGTTTTTCCGGTATACCGAGACGAAAGGGAGTTTTCCTGGATTTTCCCGGAAATTCCGGTAGGGTTGGCAAGTATGGCAGTGAGGAGGGAGAGGCGCGATGAGCACTGCACCTTGCCCTACCATGTGCACAGTTAACCAAGAAGATCTTGTCTAACTCCTGCTGCCTCTGGCAGAAGGTTTTGACTTCATGTAAATTTTTCCTTTTACGGTTTCAATACACCATTTCAGCATAGTAATACGTCAATCATTGATACCGGTACGTGCTTTATGACACTTGCAGGTCAGGCAGCAGATTCAGATTGAGTACGAGCTGATCAAAGACCTGATGGGCATCCTGTCCAGCTTCAAATCGGACCCCAGTGCCGGTAGTGATCGCTCGGCCGCTGGCGGCGGAGGTGTCGGGCATGGTCAGCGCATCAGGCCTCACGTGTCCCCGCCATCACACCAGCAAGAGCAACCAGCCGACCCTGACGTCTGGCCTGCTCCAGAGAAGTAAGTGTACTCACCTTGCAGTTCTCAGGATTTCATCATGAATTTCTCGCCTATGTCTTCGCTTTGAACATGTTGTGTGGAGTGGAGACAGAGGAGGTAGGTAGGTAAGGTTAGGTGTGGTGGAGGGAGCAGTGACTTTAAAACACTTTATAATGAAAGCATTCTGGCCAAGACTTCATGTTTTGGTTGTTCCGGTCAAGAGAGGGGTAGGATTCATATAACCGCTGCAAATGTGTGTTTAATTTGCGATGTTGCTAAAACAGGCAGCCGGCCCGCGTGAGCAAGCCTCCAGCACGGCGTGACAACCCGCCGCCGGGTCGAGCTGCTGTCAACAAACCCAGTGGAGCAGCAGCACCGCGCCGTGGCGGTGGCGGCGGTAATGGTCCCGGCTACGGAGCAGTGGCCGGCGGAGGAGCCGGTGCAAAGGCATCGCCGGCCGGCGGACGTTCAGCAGCACCCGGTGGTAGAAATGCGCCGCCTGCGTCCAAGCAGGCAGGGCGAGGAGCTGGCGGTGCCGCTGCTGGTGGAGCTGGAAAAGCAGCTGATGGCAACAAAGATAAAAAGGCAAGTACATGATACCCTAAAACTGTGTGACTAGGAAAGCAATACTTGCAAATAGTAAAAAAACAAAAAAAAACATTATTATGTTCATTAGTTTGAGGGACTGGAAAGGGAAAGTCTGAAGCAAAATATGGATTGTCACCACCAGAACTGAAACCAGGGACCTTCACTGTATGTTGTTCACATCTATAGTAGTTGTAATGACATACCGTACTACACAGTCATGCTTCTTTCTCCATCGCACTTGAGCTAAACTTCATAGATACAGCCACTGTGCCATGACTGTGTACATGTGTATCTGTAAAGATACAGCCACCATGCCATGACTGTATCTGTATAGATACAGCCACCGTGCCATGCCTGTGTACATGTGTATCACTGTGCCGGTATTGCGAGAGAGAATTTGGCTCCCTGTTCTTCGATCTGCGTGCACAGGGTGGTAATCCTCACGACGACAAACCGATTCCGCAGAAGTTTGAAGCCGGTGGTTATGACAAGGAGTTGGTGGAAATGCTGGAGCAGGACATCGTCCAGCATAACATCAGTGTGCACTGGTACGTGTGATACTTGATTGAGCAACAGACCACTGTGTTATGATGCTGGTATTTTATATATACCGTCAAACCTCGCTTATCCGGTCCTCTTTTTCCGGATCCCTCGCCATCCGGAAAAAAATAGCTGGTTACAGATTTACAGCATACGTGATGCATCCAACATCATCGGACCATTGGTGTTCGATTATCCGGTTCCCTCACCTATCCGGATATTTTTGCGGAAACGAATGTGTGTGGTTTGGCGAGGCCTGACTGTATTCCTAATACACGTTGCACCTCTTTTTCGCTAAACTGTGTGGCCAAAGAAGAGTGTGAACCTCGCTATTCCAGTGCACATGCATGAAATGATACATGTATGACAGAGGCCTGAATGGCAATGTGACTTGTATCCGCGAAAAATCGATTCTTTCTATCCGTGTCAGCATGGCAGCTTTGTGTACATCATTCAAGTTCTATCGTGTTATGGCATCGTTGTTATCACTTTCTTGCCAGCGCTTGTATCTGTAGTTTCCTTCAGCACAACAGCTGCTATGTACCAGCGTGTTGGTTCGAGACGTCTGTGCTTCAACTAAGCTGTGAACTAAAAAATATTGACTGTGAAGGGCACGGACAGATTTGTTGTGTTTTGCTGTCCCGACTCCGTTGTGCCTTCTTCAGCCAGTAAGAGAAGTATGAGATACTATGGTGCATTATGGTCATGCTGTAGAATTTGTTTTAGCAATGTCTTTCTGCTGCACCTGTGTTGGTTTCCTTGTGTCCCGCTGTGTTCAGGGATGACATTGCGTCGCTTACCGAAGCCAAGCAACTTCTGAAAGAAGCTGTTGTCATGCCGCTACTGCTTCCTGACTTCTTTCAAGGTATCCGTCGACCGTGGAAGGTATGAACATTGCATTGCGAGCTTGCTGTGGTGCTTGCACCTGAGGTTTGTGTGTTACGCTGTGCTGAGATTCTTGGGCGACACGTACGCCGCTAGCACTGTAACCTTAGTGCTGTGTGAATGTTCGTTGTTTTCTTATGACTGTGAGTTTCCGGTATGCCCCGCTCTCCTGCGCTCGCCGCTGCTGTCTTTGCATTCAGGGTGTACTGATGGTGGGCCCACCAGGCACAGGCAAGACTCTGCTGGCCAAGGCGGTTGCAACTGAATGCGGCACCACTTTCTTCAACGTGTCCTCGCAATCACTGGCGTCCAAGTATCGCGGCGAATCGGAAAAGCTTGTCCATCTTCTCTTCCAGATGGTCAGTACTGCGAAGCACTCACAGGCATATCACTGCATCTACTGGATGTTGAATGACTTCAGTCCCTTCGTGTATTTTTTAGGCTGAGCTGAGTTTTTGTTTGTTTGTACTGTTCATACTTACTCAACATGCTAGTAGGGTTACTGATATGTTTTACTTCAAAGTACTTGCATCATTTTCACGCCTACCTGTATCTCACGTCTGTGTTAAAAATGTCGTTCATGTCTCAGGCACGGTTTTATGCGCCGAGCACCATCTTCATCGATGAGATTGACGCCATTGCAAGTCGCCGTGGCGGTGAGAGTGAACATGAATCCAGCCGCCGTGTCAAGAATCAGCTTCTGGTTGAAATGGATGGTGAGTTTATAAACACTAAGTGCAGAACAACTGCAATCCCTCGCTTATCCTCCCTCCCTTTTTGCCCAGGTCTGCTGCAAACAGATGTGTGGATATGTTGAAACAGGTGGATGATTGAAATCCGTACGTTGCTTCACGCTCATCAGTATTTCAGCATTGCTCTTACGGGTGTTCAGTGCAGTAGGTGTCTATGGGTTCCCCCTCCTTCATTAGACCATGCTTTCATTACAGAATTGCGGATAAGTGTAGCGCGGATAAACGGCGGTGTACTTCGCATGCGGTGAAGACTCTTTCCTAGTTATTTTTTCCACTTTTGGCCCCAGTTTGAAGCAAGTTACGGTATTGTCGCAGAATCTCTACTAGACGTTTTCTGCGTGTCAGTGTGTGTATTCGATCGAGGGGATGGGGACCTCATTAGGGTAACACATATCCATGGATGTGTGACTGTATGTGTATGCATGTGTTTGACTGTGTGTGACTGTATGTGTTTGACTGTGTGTGACTGTGTGTATGTGTTCGAAGGTGTGGACGGCGCCACTGGGGATGCCGGCAAGATTGTCATGGTCCTCGCCGCGACGAACTTCCCATGGGACTTGGATGATGCGCTGCGACGTCGACTGGAGAAGCGAATCTACATACCTCTCCCGGATGGTACGTTTTGACTAGCAAGGCCGCAAGCCTCACTATCTTGAGATAGGCTTCCTGATTCTTGATTCTAATGTTTGCTAAAAAAATACTTGCTATTCGTACAGCTTGGCATTTCGACTGTATGTGGTGTCATCAGCAGGGCTCAGATTGACTGGCCCAACTGATCACAATGAACTTTGGTGAGCAACTAAAGAAAATGATGCTTTAGAATGCCCAATCAGCATCTACTGAGATCAACCTGGTGTTGTTCCTTCTCCTACACTGATTTTTCTTTGATATCACTTGCCTTCTTATTGTTTTACAGTCGACGGCCGTGAGCAGTTGCTGCACATCAATCTCAAGTCTGTGCCTATGGACAGCGATGTGGATCTGCGTGCAATTGCTGAGCAGTTGACCGGCTACAGTGGCTCTGATATCACCAGTGTCTGCAGGTACGTGTCGTGTACGCTACCCGATTGCCATGCTAGAGAGTTAGGAAGTAGTTGTTTTGTGTGGGTTACATGTACATGTAGTGAGGGCATTGTTCACGGTCAGTTGTGCATGAAGTGATGATGTGTACAATGTATGGATATGTGTGCTACAGAGAAACTCGCTCTAGGTGTCAACTCCTTCCTCGTATACCTTATTACCAGCAGATATAACGCTACAGTACTACTATAGTCTCATGGATTCCTTGTGTTGTGACTGGTTCACTATCTCGGAGTTTCCTTTCCTTATCTTCCTGCCTTTCTTATCTATGTTGGGGCTCGCTGCAGGGATGCCTCCATGATGAGCATGCGTCGTCGCATCGAGGGTTTAACACCAGAAGACATCAAGAAATTGTCCAAGGATGAGCTCGAGATGCCGGTGACAAAGAGCGACTTTGATCTGGCCATCAAGAAGGTGAATAAAACCGTCTCGCAGCAAGACATCGAGAAGTATACAAAGTGGATGACAGAGTTTGGCTCGACGTGAAGTTGCATCTCTCTCTCTCTCTCTCTCTCTCTCTCTCTCTCTCTCTCTCTCTCTCTCTCTCTCTCTCTCTCTCTCTCTCTCTCTCTCTCTCTCTCTCTCACTCACTTTGTTCATGATGCACTGGTGCCAATATGCCACTATTTTATTTTGTTATTTTACTTGCTCTCCGCTAATACCTTGTTAGGAATTCATGCCAAGCGGGATCTTGGTGTGCTGGTGCTTGATAAGAGCCTCTCGTCTCTCAACTGTTTGCTCTTCAGTTTGACTGGAACTTAGAAGAGATGCTAACTTCATATTAACCACGCACTGGTATTCGTGACTGTGTGTGCGTGTGTGTGTGTGTGGTGTGTGTATGTGTGTGTATGTGTGTGTGTGTGCGTGCGTGTGTGCTGTGTACCATTTTGCTTATTACTTCAGTACTGACTTTACCTCTCCTGCTGGGCAGATGCCTCATACTTCACATGAAAAAATAACTACACTACACAGATCAAGTGTGTCGTGTTCTTTCTTCTTCTTTTTTATCTTATACCGTACTCGTACACACAGTGACCAGTGGACATCAGGGAGTCGTACCCAACTTAGTTTGGGTACGACTCCCTGGTGGACATGCATTTTTTATTTCATGATTTAATATAATAGTATTTTCACTGATTTTGGTAGTGAGCGATAGTTTGGGTATGGATTTACGATACTCTGATGGATGGACTACTGTAGTATGTCATCTGTGGGAACATTTGTGCGGGAGCTCTTCTTCCGAACCATGCAGGGGCACATGTGCACATTACCAAGAGTGCATGTGTTTTGTACTAGACTAGTGATGTGGACATGGAAATCCAGTCAAATGACCAGAGCCGGCACCCTCATTGCGTACAGAACGTTGCATGCAGTGCACATGTTGGTCCGATGCGACCGGGGTGCACGCTCCAGCGCATAAATGAATGTGTTCACGGTATGCGCACTCACGGCTGCATGGCCAGCGCCCCGGGGCCGCTTGACGTGCGACCGGATTTCCATGTCCACAACAGTACACGTAGTACTCTTGACGTTACGGATCGTCTTCCTGCACCGAATGCAAAACAAGCATGCAGCTACAGCACCCCGAGCTGCTAGCAGCGTGCTCTCGCCACAGATGCGTCAAGTGGAACCTGCATAATACTGACTGCACGCTCTGCAATCCTATATATACATGACTGAGTACTGGTAGGGTCACAAAGTCGAAGCATGGAAAACGAACAATCGGCGGGGGGAAGGTCCACACTTTTGACAATTCTGCATTTCGTGATCAAGTAACGTTACATAGCTTATGACAGCACCAATGGCAATGAGCAGAGCGTATGATATATCCAGCAACTAAAGAGCAATGCATGCAGCAGGAAGGCATACTCATAACAATAATCATTTGCTATAATTACGAACAGCATGTATATGTACACCAGCAACACTTTTAGCCATATAAACATGCAGCTTTATAATTCTTTTCATGAAGAAAGCGCCAGCAGAATAGGCTGGCGCTATTATAAGAACACCGCAAGACATGAATCAAATTTAAATTGTTTTTAATACAGATAATGTGCAGTGAAGAAAACGAACAAAAACACGACACTCAGCAAACAAAACTCAGACACAAGTGCACGACTGACTAAGAGTCCGTCTAGCTAGAACTGAGTAGCTGGGCTGACAGTCCCCCAAGAACTGAGTAGCTGGGCTGAGAGTCCCAACTAAATGCCGAGACAAACGAGATGAGCTGCCCAAAATTGTCACTGTTCTCAACAGCGGTCAAGATCTCCAGCGACGTGCGATACAATCCTTTCAGTGCCGCATCTGCGTAATGCTTACTCCGCTGCGGACTTCAGCTTCACTTCCCGGTAGAACTTGGTCGGCATCAGGGGGGGGGGGGGGGGGTTGTTCCACAGAGAACGCAAGCTGCATGGTGGACTACGCCATACCACTGGCTAACTGCATCTGATACGTAGAGCTCAAAGGGCACTGCACACAGAAACAATAGTGCCAAACGTCCAAGACTTATTCGACGAACAAGCTGAAACAAGCAGTACCCTTTGACAACACCCAAGGAGTGACATTGGCCACAATAGGTGAAGTCAGATCTACTCAATTCCATAGATTTAGGAACTGGCATATACGGCAACTCTTCAGTCCTCAAGTACTGTTTCCTTGGAGACAAAAATAATTGCCATAAACTGTAATACATGTACTCAGAAGAATGACACACTTCAGGTTCTTGAACAAAATTTCGAAAGTCTTCACTAGTATACTTTCAAGTTTTCTCGTCATTCGTTCTATGTGTATGGGTGACGCATTGCTCCATTGTCCTTGTTCCTTTGCCTGTATATGTATTTCACCTGGCGAGAAGGATTGAAAACATACTAGCGAAAACTTTCGTCATGTTGTTCAGAAATCTGAAGGGTGTCCTTTTTCAAGTACTGGCACCAAATACCCAAATCACCTTAATATCAGCTACCCACACATGCAGACATGCTTCACAGAGTAAACAATACTTTCAAGTAGACAGTGACAGGTTAATGATCCATCCGAAGGAAGGGGAGGTAAGGTTGTACTGACCACGTCTCACGCCCTGTCCCAGAGAGCCATTTGCATGCCACCGGTCATCAAACTCAAAGCAGCAGTTACAGAGACACCGACAAAACTATGGTGACAAGTGACAATAATAGCGGAACGACGGAACGACTTACCCGATTTGCATAATGCCCCTTCTCACCACACTGCAGCAGGCGCAAAGAGAAGAGAATGAAAAGAAATCTTATTGCAAATAGACAAATTACCACAAAGGAGCCACTACAATTGTAGAAGTGTGATGAGGGCTTTTGTACCATCGCTCTTCTCAAGATCGGTACGATGGTTCGGAATTCGAATGGGGAGCAGTTTTCCAGTGGCTTCTGTGGTACGCATGCTGAACAGAATGAAACCAACGTGATCATTGCTGTTTATTAACCAAGCATGAACAAAACTTTCAAGTGAAGTTAAAAAATCACTTCCGCTAACCACACAGAAAGTAGCACATGCAGGGAGAGCCAGAACGACAGTGAATGGAACAGGTACAGTACGGATCGGCTATAGCGTTGGTGTTTGATTTTCGTGAAAATATCACTATAGGCGATATATTACTATAGGCGATATGCATACTTAGGTATGCCTGACAAATGCGTGTATGGTGTCATTCGAATCAGTGCAGCGAGCACAAGCGTGCTGTGCATGTGACTGTGGAATACGCGCCGGGCAGAGCTACTTCCTGCGGAAGCAAAAACTTCGTGACTTTTTGACATGAGTTTTCAAAGAATGTGTTCTTTTGGAAGAGAAACACTTCAACACATTCAATCGACATATCAACAATATCTACAGGATCGATTAGTGGGAGTAGAGTCTCAGTCTGGGTCGCCATCGCTCGACTCATCACCGCTGAAACCGTTCCAAGTGGCAGGTCGATCGACGCGTGATGTCGTATGTCACGGAGAAGCTTCTCCGCGTCCCTGATCGTCTTCGCTGTTACCTGAATGCCTTCTCCAACATCTCGGCGGAGACCACGGTAGCGCTTCAGCGCTGGTACTCATTACTGCCTCCAATCTCGCTCGAGGATGCCCCGAAACAACAAGCACAGCCAACGCCAAACATTTCGAATTTTCTCCGAGGGATATAATAGTCGTACCAGCGCTTCCTGGCTGCCGCGATCAGATCTCGCCATGTAGATCTACGATGTATACTTTTTTATGATCATCACTATAGCCGATGAAAAATGTATGCAGTAAGATCATTTTGACACAGAAATCGTATCATTATAGCCGATATATTACCATGATTACTATAGCCGATAATTACTATAGCCGATCCGATATGTATAGAAAGGGGTGGTTTACGAAAATGAATTTGAGAATACGATCACTATAAGGGGCCGTCCGTAAATATCGAACTTTTTTCACCAAACGAATTATTTTAGTTTAGACCCAACCCCTCCCTGGCCCTCCCTCCCCCTCAGAACGTAAATTTTTTTGACATATACATGCATGTACAACAAAAGTCGCAAGTGTGTCACTGCTCCTATGGCCATGTGCATGTATCGAACTTTTCTGAAACGAAATTGGTCAACCCCCTCCCACCCCATAACGAAATTATTTCGTTTCGTGAAAAAAGTTCGATAATTATGGACGATAAGACCCCTAAGAGGTATATTACTATAGCCGACAACCCTATAGCCGATCCGCACTGTACTAGGTGTGTGTGTGTGTGTGTGGGGGGGGGGGGGGGGGAATCATTGGATCCCTTTTTTTGTGTTTTACCACCATTATGAGCTGCCATTTTTGGCCACTACTTTCACCGACACCAGTATTACCAGCTTCCATTGCATGTATTTACTACAGTACAGTCTTGTACTGTACTGTAGACTGGAGTGCACTGGTTGGAGTGCTATCAGAGAGGTTAAGGTGGCGATCTACCTTCAGGGGTCAAAATTTTGTGAAATTTTCAACTTGCTCTGATTTCGTCCAATGTGGTGTCAAATTGCTCGTATAGATCCCAGACATCATCTGTGAAAATTTGAGTGAGATTGCTTTATCCATATGGCTGCTATGAGCTTGCAAAGACCGAATGTAACATATCTTTGACTCGCACAATTGCAACTTTTTGGGGAAAACGTAGAAATCGGTCTTTTCACGGTAAATCCTTGTGGATTTCGTTCAAATTTTCGGTGCTTGTCAGAAATACCACTGCTGACTCATGCCATACCAATACGCACATATTACGTCATCATGGACACAGTGCGCATGCGCAAATCAATAATTCGATAATTTGTGAAGAATTCAAACAATTGTGTTTGGAAAGTCTATTGGAGACGTCTCACGTCGTCGCCTGTCACCAAGATCGGGTGGAATGAGTACTGTCCGTCGTCTTCGATGTCCGAAGCAGCCAATCTGACTGCCAGAAGCTCTCGATATCCATCTATCCGCGGAAAATATCCCAGACGTTGACGACGCTATTCAAATTTATTGGCAAAAAAATTGCCAAGCGAAGACGTATTTCAACTTCATCTCCAACTCTGACTACTCTGACGATGACGATGTCAACAACAGTTCTAGCTATTGTGGTGATTATTTTTTCTCTCTCTCTTTCGGCGTCAGGCAGTGAGTGCAAAATATAGCCTACTGGAGTTAGTCTGTGAAATATTGAGTGATTTCTGCTATTTCTGGTCAAATCAGTATGCTGTCAGCTGTACCAGTCCACATCCCATCGTAGATCTACTAAGCGAGCAGGCAAACCCAGATATTTGCCTTGGAATTTCATTGTATGTGGTGAGAAGAGAAGTCCATTCACTTCTGAGAAATTCAATTTCAAATTGGAAGTCCACAGGCCTGTATTTAGTATGCGCCGAATTCATCACCGCCAGTGACGCTTTGCATAGTTTTCAATATTCTACCGCCCATTTATACTAAGACCTGTGGCGGCAACGTGATCCTATTCAACCTGTGGTCGTGTTCTCCGAGATGAGTTCAGAAGCAGACATGTGAAATGCTACGCTGGACCTGAGGCAGTTTACCAAAGTGGCAGTGCTGCAACCGCATGCGATCGCCGTCATGTGTGACGGAAACGGCATGGCTGCACCCTGGATATGCCTCATTCATCAGCATCTTTATTGCCATACCCATGGAGAGAGGCCACCAGTGAAGGCTGGGTTTCCGACTCGATTTTGCCTGCAATGCTCATGATTGAACAAGCCCTTAGAGAAGAAATGCAGACTCTAGCTGAATATTGAAACCAGATAGCATCGCGTTTCTGCTCGGCACCGCACTAAGTAACACCATTGTGATACAACCAGGAAGAGTTGGGAACGTGTGGGAAGTGACAAAGAAGTCAAGGAAGAAGTAAAGAAGACTGAAGAAGAGCATCACTAATCATCAAGGAGACCAAAATGAGGTCACCTACGAGCCAGATGGCTTCTGATGTGAAGATTTGTAGGCAGGTAGGCTGGAATTGGATAGACCTTTTTTGTGTGTTTTTGGTAACTTTTTAGCCTATCCCGCATTTTTCTACCACGATTGCGGCAAAGTGGTAGGTGCTATACCCCTAAACCTATACATTTCTGAGCTCTGTGATGCATCAGCTAGTTCGTGAATGTCTTCGTGTAGCCATTCATCATTGCTTGTTCTCACATTGGTTGTGGACCCGATCATGACTTTTTTTGCGGATGCGCGCGTCAAAACGCTTTGTTGTGACATGGTGATCTAAAGGACTTTGCAACTGTTTCTTGATATTCAATACCTAGAATTATATGTTAGGAACGCTGTAGCAATTGGTTATTTTCTACCTGATGGATGCATATTTCAATTTTGCGGTTAAGAGGTGCGGGTGCGGCCAATTATCGTGATTCGGCAATAACAATGGACATGAGCGGAGTCTGTCCTCTATTTGTGCTGCTCCTTGTCCTTTGGTACATAATGAATGTCTCCAGAAAATTTGACATGATTCTAAAGAGAATTGGCTGAGATGTTTGTATTTTACGGTGGACTATCCGCGAAGGTAGATCGCCACCTTAAGATGCACGTTATTTCTGACGTGACGCGAAAGTTCAGCCCGAGTTATTTGGCGTGCGCGTCAAAAAAAACCGCGAGTGACTTGCAGCTCACGTCGAAATTTGGAGTTTTATGCCAAATTCGACGTGAAATTGCGCGTCACGTCGGAAATAACGTGCATCTTAGCCTCTCTATTACGTGATGTGTACTCATCATCCATATAAAAATGTGGCGCTCGCACTCTGAAGGGTGGCATGTTTATTATGAAGTGGGGGGGGGGGGGGGGGGGCAAAAAGTGAAGGAGAGCGCAGCGCCCCGCTATGTCGCTTTGGCGAGAACCCTGACATGTACCTACAAACATGTAGCTATTATACCACTGATGAGCAGAAGATGTACGTGCACAGATAGTGCATGCATGCATTCCCCTACACCGGCACATATCAGTAATACTGTACCCAATTACCATAGCAACCCCCCAACGGCACCTAGAGCAAAGCCAATCCAATACATGTACACTCGAACGTCTCTTATCCGGGCACTGGCCGTATCTCAGATTTGCCCGTATCTCAGATTTGTCCGTATCTCAGATTGGCCCGTATCTCAGATTGGCCCGTATCTCAGGATGACTCATCTACCATGCATAATGTCATTTTTTGAAGAAGTTTATTTGGCACATCTTGCATATGTTCGGGATAAAAAAATCCATTGATAAAAAAGTGTGGATTACACAGGTTGGCAATGACAAATAAGCACTTGCGCATACAAAAAAAGTTCAAACCCCAAATTCGAAGCATTTTTGCCACAGGATCTCAAGCTGAAGGTGCCCGGTAGACAGACGTGCCCATATCTGAGGCGTCCGGATTAGAGGCGTTTGAGTGTAGTTACTAGTAGTTCTTAGTGTTAGCGGAGCATTCATCTAGTCCAGCTTTAACCTTTTGAGCACGACGCTACCTGAATGCCGCCCCACGTCAACACCTGCAAAAATCGCGCTTTTCCTATGAAAGTAGTAGCTGTTCAATGATCGATAACTTTACCTTTCTTTGGACGAATTCCACGATCTTGAGCTTCCTGCAAAGGTCTTGAGACGAGGAACAAAATAGTTCCAAGCTCAGCTCGGAGCGACACCAAAAGCCCATGCTACAGTCTGGCAAACTTGACGCACGCGCTCGACAGACTTGAGCACGGCCAGGAGATCAAATCCTCAGCTGCCATTTCACTCTCCTTGCTCGTATCGAGCTCAAATTTTTTTGAGGGCTCGCCAGATCCGCTGCCATCATTTGAATCTAGTTTCCATGGCAGCAGATAGCGCGAAAATGATCGAAAATGGAAAATACGCGTTCTGCAGAGTTCGCAAAAGATCGATTTGAATTTGCCGTGTCGAGTCGCATATCTCAACAACCCGGGGTCGTATTGCTTCGGCGATTTTTCTATCGCAAGCTGAGAGTTTTCTCTTGCAGATACATATTTCGATCGTGAGAATCGGCCAAGAATTGACCGAGTTACGATAGTTTGAACTCACGCGGTTCATGCAAATCGCGTTTGTACGCTATGTACACTCACGACGTAATAATACGTCATGCGTGGGTGCAGTGACACTGTACGTGACGTATTAATACGTCATGCGTGCTCAAAGGGTTAATACATCCACAGTAGCACACTACTGTGCGGCTTCACCAATGTCACAGAGCTGCACACTACATTGTAAAGTATTGCTGAGCAAGAGACACTACACTTGGGCACACCAACCTTGAAGCAAGTAACCGATTCCAGAGGTCTACTCGTTGTCTGCGAACTTGTTGCTGTCGTGTTGGTTGACGTTTGAGACTGTGACTGCGAGACAGCACACGAACACATGAACACATGCAGCAGAAGAGCAGAAACAGGCTCAACATCAACAGTTGAACACAGAACGGACAAAGACCCTGCATCAGTCTGGAACCTCACCCAGAGACCAGTACTGTAGAGGCGACGGTTCGATACCGGAACGGCTTGACAGCCAAATTTGTATAGACCCAAACCGATCATCAGCGTTGATTGTTCACTCGAAATATGTTTGTGGAAGGAAACTGGCATGTTGAAGTTTGCTCTGAGGCCAGAGTCAATCAAACTGAGCCACTCCTTTGTGTTGACCCATTGCCTCCAAGTTGACCAATTTTTCGCTTGAAATCAGAGGTGGCTCCAAACCGGACATGTTTTAGAGTGCACGTCAAATTCACTCTGGGTCTGAAATTAGGTAATTGCTATCGCTCCACGACGGCCAGTACAGAGTAACAATAAGCCTTGTGTGTGCTTCCATTAGTTTTGATTGGTATGCGGTGCTTTATTGGCGAGAGGCAAGCCGCTGTTTACCTGCGACAAGAAGTTGAGTTTTCGAAAGTCGTAAAACTCAAGTCGCAGTGGGAAGCAACACGTCAAAAACTCAAATGCTTGGTATGGCGCTTCTGGTCATCGCAGAGCCATGGAATTTTGGCGCCGAGTAAAACACATCGTAGTCTCACTGTGACATACGTTTTCTAATCAAAATACCAAGAGAGAAAGTGAATACTGAGACCGTTCCGGGTTGCAACCTATGTCCTATTCGAAACCGTCGCCTCTGCATGTACCTGGAACAAGATGCAGGAAGGAATGAAAGCAGCGCCAGGGGATTTTGCAAGCGCTGTGTTTGTAGATGTACAATAGCGCAACATACACCATGGTATATACACCATGGTATATACACCATGGTACATACACCATGGTATATACACCATGGTATATAGAAGGGGGGTTTGTCAACTGACAACCGCTCTATTTAGTTGCTATTCACTCTTGGCGCATGCTTTTATTAACAGTGCAGCTGCGTGATGTCCACCACTTTCTGAACATACACCATGGTATGCATACATATATCTGTTGTCCGGTGACGTGAAGGCACTTACACGGGAAGTGCAGCTGGATGCTTTATGACCAGGCATTCCGCACAGGTGGCAGACGAGGATGTTATACTGCCGGCTGCCCATGTTCTGCGCCATCGGCTGCTTGTCAAACTTAGGACTGTGAGAATACGGATACATTACACATAGGCAGACACACAGACAGACACACACACAGATAGACAGGCAGACAGACATATGCATACACGACCCCCAGTCCAACACGTACACGTCCACACACGTACACACACGTCCACACACACATACACATAGACAGTATAATTATTATATCAGCACCCGGATAAGGTTTGCATAGGTTAAGAAAGTCTGGAAATGTATGACACAGATCACAATAAAAACATAGCAACAAGCGCAGAACTAAGACTGTAGACTATGCTGTACAGTAGCCTGAAGAAGTCACACTACAGTACCTTTCAGCGTGTGCTTCCTCAGTAAGCTACAATTTGGCTCATTCAACTTCGTACGGTACGGTAGTAGGCACAGTTCGACATGGCCGCCTGAAGTTGAAGTCTGGCAAATTTGCTGCCACTGGGGTCAGATTCGCCACTTTTATGCTGACACCTGGCGTGGCCATTCCATCGTATATCAGTACGACAGGCAGTACAAGATCCAGAGTTCACTACGAAGATCAAAAACCCACGTGCCGCATCTGCGACTCCCCTGCTCACTTGGCCAGTGCATGCCCAGTCCGGAAACAACGGATGCCTTCAGCGCACACCAGGCGATGGGAGCCCCCTCAACTGACGTACTGTCGGCGTTGTGTAAATCCAACGCTGAGGCACCGGTCTTGAAAGACTCTCAGCTAGCGAGTACTTCTAGCTCTGCGAGTATGTCCATTGCCACAGAGCCTTCTTCGAAATCCACCCACAACAACTCTCAGATTGAACAAAACGATAATAACCCTACTAGCCAGAAGCCTTGTTTGACACAATCCCTTCCAGTTGTTGAGCATGGGACTGCTGAACCTGCCAATCAACCGGCCGAACAGTGCTTGGACAAGTGCGCTTCTGACCAAGCCTATTCACCACCCGAGGAACCTGTTCACCAATCGGAGGATAAGTCCCTGTCTGCCTCCCAGGACCTTCAAATCAACAAACTCCTGAGTGATGCCGCTGACCACGACTGGATGAAGGAGTTTGTAGAAGTGGCTCCCTTACGTCGTGAAAAACGCCATGAGTCATCGCCAACCAGTAAATCCACAAAACCTTGCGTGGCAGCTCAAGGAAAGAAGGCAAAACGGAGAAAAGAGAGTGTTTCTGGATCTCGCTTCAGCAACCTTTCTGTAGAAGCATGAAAACCGTAAGAACTGTTAGAACTATAATGTCTTATTAGAAATGATAGATCATCAGAACACAATTTCTTTAGCTGTATCTTTTTTTAAATGTATGTAGTCTCCGCCGTAAGATACCAGAAATCGAGTAGCTCGTTGCCGCCCGGGGCGTCATGCTGATGTTTCTGGCTTGATGAAACAATTCCTGATGGTGAACTCTCCATTCCACATTTCAGCATTCACCGCAAGGATAGAGGAACCCACGGCGGTGGTGTAGCAGTGTACTGCCATGAGAGCCTTGCTGTTCGCCGTTGTAGACACTTGGAGTCCACCGAACTAGAAGTGACCTGGCTGGAAACGACCATCTACCATAGGAAACATACGCTCGGCTGCGGTTATCGACCCCCATCAGAAGCACTCACATACTGGGAGAAGCTGGAGCACAATCTTTACGTCACCGAAACGGCAGCTGAATCAACTACACTGGTAGGCGATTTCAATGTCGACATTCATACTACTTCGTTCACTCCGGTCCATGTGCAAATATTGATCTTGTCAACTACGTTCATTCGCCTACCGTAGTTCCGCGCATATAAGCCCACGGGCCTATATCCGGATATAAGCCCACCTCCGTTTATAGGCCCATGGGCTAAAAAACAGACCCAAACAACGTTACGGAACCGATAGTACAGCATGTCAGTGCAGACTACATTACCAGTACCGGTACCTATGGTAGGCGGACAACCGCGCACGGACTTGTACTTTTTCGCGTGCCAACTGCCTTCAAAATTCGAATATAGGCCCAGGGCTAAAAAACGAACCATCATTACTGATTTTTTCCCCCGGAAAATGCATTATTTCGTATATTAGCCCATGGGCTTATATGTGCGGAACTACGGTACGCGTATCACGAGTCAATCCAGGAAGGTAATAGACCTTTTCTTCACGTCTGCTGAGCTGGACGGAACTTGCGAGGTGCTTCCTTTAGACATACGTGATCATTTTGGTCTGCTGGCGCGGCTAGTCATAACCGCACTAGCGGAATGGCTTGGAGACATTGGTCTTCTTCTGAACAAGAAGAAGACCCAAGCAATGTTTTTGAAGCCTCGAGGGCAACAAGATCCAGTCGATCGCGTCTGCTGCAATGGAGATGAGCTTGCCACAGTGTCATCCGCAAAATACCTTGGTGTCATTTTCGACGACGACTTGAGCTGGCAGTCCCACATCCAACACCTTGCTAGCCAGACAGGGAAGGCCGTAAGTCGTCTTTGGCGACATGGGGATGCACTTAGCATCACGGCCCGCCGGATATGGTGTGTTGCCATGATACAAGCCAAGCTGTGCTACGCCGCAAACGCCTTCTTCCCCTCGCTGAATGCCGCTGGTCTCACTCGGCTCGAAAGATCGGCGAAGTCCGGGGTTCGAGCAATCCTACGACTGCAGAACCCGGTCGCGACTCAGCCGCTACGAGAGAGACTCTCATTGTCCACCATTGAGAGATCGTTTCAGCGAAAGCTCCTCGTGTTTGTATTCCATTGCCTGCACTCTCTGTCAAGTCACTTGTTCTCGTCTTTCTTCATCCCAACCGCACCTTCTCAAGAAGATCATGACCGAAGGGCCACTCGCGGACAGGTGACGTGGCTCTTACGTGTCCCCTTCCTTCCGGGTCCTGCTGGACGGTCCTCCATCCGTTTCCAAGGTGCCATTCTCTGGAATAAGTTGCCGGCTGAAGTTAGATGTGTATCACAAAAGGATGAATTCAAGAGCACCATCTGACACTGTATTGAGTCGCTGGTCCCTACCTCTTTGTGTCTTAGCCTCTAGAACCGCTAGTTCTTCAGTTCCCTCTTTTTCTACACAATTGCCTTGTTTGTAAGTTCTCACCTCTTTTCTGCACCATTGCCTTATTCTCTATTTATGTGCACCATTGCCTTCCGGAACGCTGTATTTTTGTTCTCGCATCCTTTCTGGACATTTGCCTCCAGAAACGCCTTATCTGTAATCGTCAGGAAAATCACGCATAACAACTAAACTATCGTAATCCGACATCATCATTATTCATTTTTCTCATATCTTTCTCATACATATTCTTATCGCAGATTTCTCGTTTTTGGTAGGAATCGGAGAATCCTCTCTCCGGTGAGAAGGCAGTATTGCCTGTGCCCTGAGCGAATTGAAATAAAAGAATACAACAACAACAACTTGAGTCCTTGTGAATGATGCATACATAAAATGGGCCAAAGTCAGTTGACGGAGCAAGAAGGAACAAGGCGCATTGCACAAAGAACTTACTGCACACGTTTGCAAAGCTTTCCATCAAGACAAAATCCGTTGATGTAGTTCTGGCAAATGATTCGCCGCACGTGCCGATTTCGACAAGTAGGTCCTGCAGGGCAAACAACAGCAGAGCACCATGGTGCACAGCAGTGCGCAGCAGAGCACAGCAGTGCACAGCAGAGCACAGCAGTGCACAGCAGAGCACAGCAGAGCACAGCAGTGTACAGCAGAGCACAGCAGTGTACAGCAGTGCGCAGCAGAGCACAGCAGTGTACAGCAGTGTACAGCAGTGTACAGCAGTGCACAGCAGTGTACAGCAGTGTACAGCAGTGCACAGCAGTGTACAGCAGTGTACAGCAGTGCACAGCAGAGCACAGCAGAGCACAGCAGAGCACAGCAGAGCACAGCAGTGTACAGCAGTGCACAGCAGAGCACAGCAGTGCACAGCAGAGCACAGCAGTGTACAGCAGTGCACAGCAGTGCGCCGTACCGACCAGTACCGGTAATAGTGTTCAGTGACATAGGTAACAAGTTACTAACAACACAGTCATACAGTCACCAGACATGAATGTGACATAATCTGCTCGCATGCACACACACACACACACACACACACACACACACACACACACACACACACACACACACACACACACACACACACATACACCCCCCCCCCCCCCCCACACACACACACACTCACACACACACACACACACATACACACACACACATACATACACACACACACACACACACACACCCCACCACACGGCCATGCATACAAACACACACACACACCACACGTACAACACACACACACATACACACAAACACGCACACACACATGCACATGCACCCACACCCACACCCACACACACACCCACCCACCCACCCACACACACTCACACACACACACACACACCACCACACGCCCATGCATACAAACACACACACCACACACCACACGTACAACACACACACATGCACACACACACACACACACACACACACACACACACACACACACACACACACACACACACACACACACACACACACACACACACACACACACACACACACACACACACACACACACACACACACACACACACACACACACACCTGAACTAATCAGATTACGCACACAAAATAACAAGTCGTAATGCAGCAGCCACGGACCACTATCAGATAATCGCAGGTTTCACAGGCACAGGAGCAATGAGCATGCACCACAAAGGAAGATACATACAGGCAGTGCTACCAAAACAAACCCAAAAAGCGAATACAGCCAGCTGCTGATCAACGGGCAGGAGTGCTGTAACGGTACGAGCTTTACTCAAACAACTGAGCACGGCAGAGAGATAGAATAGAGTTGGCGGTCGACCGAATCCAACGAATCTGACACCCTGCCCAAAGCTAAACACCACAAAACTCTCCAAACCCGCGTGGAGATTGTCTGGTGATGATGTAGCATATAACTGTTACCAAGAGTACATAACCCCCCAGAGTGTGCAACGCCTGATCCAGCTCTGCGTAGGGTCTTGGTTGAGCGTAATCGTATCTTTGCGTCATAATACGGTACACATCTGAGGGGAACCCGGGGAGTCGCGGGTACTCTCGGATCAAAAACAACGGTGCCCTGCCTCGAGACCGGCCTTGCGCTGGTGTGGAGTGTATGCATGACATCAGAAGATCCGATTCCGCTCGACCAAGACCCTATGCAGAGCTGGATCGGCGTTGCACACTCTGGGGGGTTATGTACTCTTGCTGTTACACATCTCAGGGTTCTAGCCAGGTCAAATAGTAGGGGGGGGGGGGGGGGGGGGGGGGGAGGCGAGCATGGGAAACAGTTACCCCGTATCCCTTTTTTCTACTTTCCAATTTTGTCTTGCCACGCTAAATGCAACGTATGGGGCGAATCCCCGACTTCGCCCCAGACAAATGTGCCTTTATGAACCCTCTAATACTCAAATCTGTGGACAGCAACTGTTTCACTCTGTTAGAACCGTCTAATAGTGACTTTCGACTGCATTTTCGTTGAATTGCATGAAAAACACGAAAATCGGAAAATGAGTAGGGGGGGGGGGGGGAGGCGGCACTTTTTCACAGGGGGGGGGGGGGGGGGGGGGGCGCTGCACCCCCCCCCCCCCCCCCCTACCGCCCTTTGGCTAGAGCCCTGCATCTCATTGTGATGCAGCATATACCTGTTAAACATCTCGCTCACATACCGTGCTTGCAGAATCCCCGGTCATACCATGCACAGTCCCGCAGCTTGCTGTCAGCGTCTAAGTGCAAGTACTGGCATTCCTTGTTGTTACACTCGCCTAACGAACACGACACGTCAAAAAGTTAAAAGCCAAAAAAAAGAGTTCGAAAGAAGTAAGACGTTAGTTGAATTGGCTGCACTGATACAACGTGATGGGATTACGAAAAAAGCGCCCACATCACAATGCCACGCATGCTGATACAGTTCATGCACTGCAGAACATTCAATGTTTACAGGCTATACTATAGCACATGGAGTAAGTAAGATGACACATACCACTGATACCACAAAGTACAGCTGGGATGAACGGCGGTGTACATGTAGTGTGCATGTACTGGTATGCATGTATCATGCGGCCTCATAATACAACAGGAGACACAAGCAGTTTCTGCTCACCACACACCCGCACCCGCACACACACGTATGCGTGCACACGCACACACACACACACATGCGTACACACGCACGCATGGTCGTATCATCTCAAGTACGTACCAAATTTGGAATAGAAGAAGCACTCTGGCATCTTGGACATGTCATACTCATGCAAGAATTCACAGCCATCTCCTTTCTTGCAGAGTCCTCTTAGCCAATGTTTGCAAACAACAGGCTTCTCGCTAGCTCTAGTATGTCGGAATGGACATTGTCCACCGCGCGTACAGTTGTCGACCATGAAGAACGAGCACACTGCAGCACCAGACTCTGGAAAACGAACGGCGGTGATGTCACGACATCCACGTAAAAGACAAAGTCACACACACACACACACACACACACACACACCACGCACACATATACACACACACGCACACATACCACCACCACAAGCGAGGGTGCATGCCCACATACACACAGTTGTCAGTGACAGCCATTCATTTTCGTCATTCCTTCATTCGCCAGCACCATTCGGTCTTACTGTCCATTCCTGAGAAAGGCAAGAGCTGTGCTCCCTGCTGCTTATCCAGTGCATACTCGATATCAAACTCATAGTCATCGACATTTGCAACCAAATCCTCCATGGCTACTGGAGTTGTAGCCAATGGATATCACCACTATTAATCACTACGACTTTTAGAACAACTTCAGTCGAACAGGCGGAAGGTCTCCTGTATGGACGGACTACTATTCACAGTAACCGTTCCTCCGCAATCCTAAATACATTGCTTTCAGGGTCAGAAAATCAATTGCCTATAAGTATAACCATAAGAACATTTCTGCAGCATATCAGTCAGAAGCCTACGGAGCGGAGAACTGAAACAATCATGTAGAATCTACGTAGCAGTCGAGCAGCAACCAATTGCCCGTAACGCCAATAATTTTAGACGACAGACACCATACCAATTATCTTCAAGGACACATGCACAGGCTCCAAAACAAATGCCAAAATCCTTCATTCCTTGTGTAGGCCATGAACTGCTTGCACATTTCACTTTCCAGATTCGAGGAGAAAAATAGTTTGAAATTTCGGGAAAGTGTTTCAAAAGTGCAAAAATAAGCAGTAAGTGCTAGATCTGCGCAGTACTGTGTACTGCATGTACTATGCACGTGATGAATGTATAAAAATTGTAGTGAAGTAATTAGTTTGTTACATGGCAGTGTAGTTTGTCATTGTGGAGTAGAGAAGACGATGTCTTCTCCCAGTGCAGAGGACGTTGTACAGGCCATTTATCACATTCTCGATCCTGCAACAGATCCGGGCACAAGACAAATCTCCCATCAGGTAATGGTCAAAAGTCAAATATTCGAAATTATTATGAAATTTAAAAAATTCATTATTCTCACAATTGAATTGAGGCGATCAGACTGGAGCGATGCATGACGCGAGGCACTTCACTTCTAACACCATCTTTGCATAAAGAAATGTGAATGATACGATACCCGTGGGCCTGAAGTAAAATAAGAGTAGTTTATTATCGTACACTCTTGATGTTCACTTCTTTATCTCCCATTCATCTACCAGTTCGAGTAGAATACTGCACTAGTATTTCCAGGAGTTTAAAGCCCGATTCATACTTCATCTCGCGTACGGGAAACCCATCGCGCGACCGTCGCGCGATGGGTTTCCCGTACGCGAAATAGTTGAGCTCAGATCAACGTTTTCGCGACGCGACGCGTTTCCCGTACGCGACATGAAGTATGAATCGGGCTTTAACCAAGAGTATTTGCACCTGTGGTCTTTTTTTACTGTGTGTATGACGCATTGCCGTCATTGCGCCATGCAGCTTATCCGTTCGGTGCAGAATGTCTCTAAAGCCACCCTTTCCCCTTTACTATCAGCAAGAGTACATAACCCCCCAGAGTGTGCAACGCCTGATCCAGCTCTGCATAGGGTCTTGGTCGAGCGTAATCGGATCTTTGCGTCATAATACCGTACACATCTGAGGGGAACCCCGGGAGTCGCGGTGACTCTCGGATAAAAAACAACGATGCCCTGCCTCGAGACCGGCCTTGTGCTGGTGTGGAGTGTACGCATGACATCAGAAGATCCGATTACGCTCGACCAAGACCCTATGCAGAGCTGGATCAGGCGTTGCACACTCTGGGGGGTTATGTACTCTTGCTATCAGTGAATCTCACGGCACCTTTCAGCTTTTTGATTGGCGTGGAAGCTCATAGATCGCTCCGGGACTCGAGCAACTCAAAACAAAATGTGGTCTGCTATTAGGAAAGACTATGAATTTATAATGGGCACGAGTACAGAGCACGGGCGAATTTCATGTGACAATCATCAGTGGAAATGTCTGGGCCTGGCAGAGTGTGAGGCATGGGATCTAAGTTAGTGGAAATGTCTGGGCCTGGGAGAGTGTGAGACACGGGATCTAAGTTAGTGGAAATGTCTGGGCCTGGGAGAGTGTGAGACATGGCATCTAAGTCAGTGGAAATGTCTGGGCCTGGGAGAGTGTGTGACATGGGGTCTAAGTTAGTGGAAATGTCTGGGCCTGGGAGAGTGTGAGACATGGGATTTATAAGTTCAGTCTTCAAATCTTTTAAAACCTGGTTCGAGCATCATATTTTGAAACTATTTTCAGCAATACCGGATTCCAAACAAAGCCCTGTACGGCAGATGCCACGCAGAGCCCATCAGTGCCCTCATGCGGCGATCCAGATGGGGCCTGTTTGGGCATATTCTCAGACTCCCTCAAGACACGCCTGCCGCCCTCGCTATGCGGAGTTACTTCACCTGTGGGGACAAGGTATGGCGAGGGCGGCCACGGACAACCATCGTGTCCACACTATCCGCGGACCTAGAATCAGCAGGACTGAGGAGTCTGAGGAACTTGGCAGACCTGGAGCAACTGCGGGCCATCGCCGCTGACAGGCCTGCGTGGCGCGAGCTGTGCCAGGATGTAGGATGTACACAGTAACTAACGGATGGGACAGAGGCATTGTACAGATCCCGTGCATTTAGCACTTACCATCGACCATGAGTTACAAACCTATCGTCGTTGTCTGTTATTCTTGTTTTATATTTTTTGATCTTTCGAATAGATCCCGTGCATTGAGCACCTATCATCGAACATGAGTTATGTGCCAATCGCCTGCTGTTTTACATTTATTTTTTACTTTTATTTATTTTTGTTTTCCTCTCTGCCCGCTCTGCCTGTCTTCTGGCACATGCGAATACGTGGACTTACTGTTGACGTAAATGCGGACGTGCGTATAATAAATATAATAATACCGGCCGAGGCGCTTATGTATTCTGAGCCAGATCTCAGGCGTTCTGCTAGGCATCCAGTGTACGACACTACAAGTCTAGTTCAAGGCCGTCACAGGCTGCAGGGGCAGCTGAGGCCGCCCCACTTTTGCTGCCGATTTTTTTGGAGCACACTGCAACAAAGCGCGTTGATCGCAGCTCAGCGCAAATGTGGCGAATAAAATGAAAAATCCTTGTCCCCGATCGTAGCGTCTTCTTGGTTTGTTCCAGAATCTAAAAGTCTTTCATTGTATTTGTAGTTACACTGAAATGGCACCAGATGCCCGGAAATGCTTGCAATTGGTTTCAATTTTTGAAATGTTTTCCCAGGGGAGGACCCCGGACCCCCTTCCGTGGCCGCCCCACCTCCAAAGTCGGTACGACGGGCCTGTAGTTTATAGTGGAATTAATCAGGACATTATGGTTTCGTTGTAGCTCATCAGGAAAGTGTGTTGAAATGGTGAATTCCGAAAAAGCACCTATTATGTACTTGCACCGTGTGGATAGGTAGCATATCATTCTTTGTGATCGTTTGCTTATGTGAAGCAGCGATATCAGTATTAATTCTGATGTCATCACTGCATGCACATGTACATCCTCTTGAATACAGTAGCACGGAGCAGATGTACCAGTTGGAGGTTTGAGATGCTCTGGCCTGCCTCGAAGTACCCTGTGCTGCTGTAGCCACAAGAACGTATCTCATGCTCTGTGCCCTAGAAGGGATTGGAATTCTTTTTTGAGGTTGACGAGGTGTCCTTTGTCCAGGTCTTCTTGTGATGCTGCTTGCCAGACACTACCAGTAATGTGGTTATGTGTCATCCTTGCAATCCCAGTGTTAGCCTCTCATCTACTTATGATCTAGTCGTTTGCTGTTCAATTGTCTATTGTGCCTGCAGGTTGTTGAGCAGTTCAGGACGAAAACCGATGCTGCAATATGCATTGATCTTAGCTATGGGATCTTCTCGATGGAAGGCGCTGCAAGCTCAGTGCGCTTCATGGGCATGCAGCTCTTGCACGACTGTGTCCAGTAAGCCACATGCATGTGTCACCTTCACCGCTGTGCTGTGCTGCCCTGCACTGCACATCCACTACTGTGTACCATCAGGTGTTTTCTTGAGACTTAGGGTCAGTTGTGGCAGAGAGAGAGAAAGAGAGAGAGTGAGTGAGAGAGAGAGAGAGAGAAAGAGAGAGAGAGTGAGAGAGAGAGAGAGTGAGAGTGAGAGAGAGAGAGAGAGGGAGAGAGAGAGAGAGAGAGAGAGAGAGAGAGAGAGAGAGGAGAGAGAGAGAGAGAGAGAGAGAGAGAGAGAGAGAGAGAGAGAGAGAGAAAGAGAGAGAGAGAGAGAGAGAGAGAGAGAGAGAGAGAGAGAGAGAGAGAGAGAGAGAGAGAGAGAGAGAGAGAGAGAGAGAGGAAGGAGAGGAGGGAGAGAGGAGAGGAGAGAGAGAAAGAGAGAGAGAGGGAGAGAGAGAAAGAGAGAGAGAGAGAGAGAGAGAGAGAGAGAGAGAGAGAGAGAGAGAGAGAGAGAGAGAGAGAGAGAGAAAGAGAGAGAGAGAGAGAGAGAGAGAGAGAGAGAGAGAGAGCATGCTTGATGTACCTTCAGTAACGTTAGGTGCAGAGCCTTATACTGATCGATTATTCCTTTATTGCTCTTACTTAGAGATTCACGAGTTAGCGATTGCTGTCTGAGCATTGCAAACGCGTGAAACCCTGAGTAACAGCAGAGAAGATTTAGTTTCCTCTCTAACTGTGCTTGAGGATATAATGTACATACTTGCTATATGCATACCGTATTTTCCCGAATATAAGTCGACCTTCTGTGCGCCAGAAATTTTGCCAAAAGCTGGGGGTCGACTTCAAACAGAACTCGACTTACATACGGGAATCTGGCACAACAAATGAAGTGATTGGAGTGTCCGTACAAAAATGCACTACCGTACGAACCATGTGAACTTTTGTTGGCAGCACAGTGGCAGTTAACATTGAATGAACATTGGATGACACTGGTTTTGTTCAGATTTTGTCTTACTGGCATGATATGATCTCTCCTCACAGAGAATTCATCATTTTGTATGTGTGGGTGTCATGGAGCTATAAAAACTTTTTTTCATGAAATTGACTCTTGGATTTGGGGTGGTCAACTTATATTCGAAGTCGACTTATATTCGGGAAAATATGGTATCTGGCATTGGTACCTTCAGGCAGAGTCCCCCACCGAGCGACGAGTGCTCAGCACCATGAGGTGGAGCCTGTATAGTCAGTCACCTGAAGACCGCTCAGAGCGTTAAACTCAGAGTTGTGACAATCAGTTTCCTCTCTCCCTACCGTGTGTTCCTGGCATTGTTACCCCACATGAGGTTTTAAACTTGGCAACGGCGTATAATTGTGTCCTGTTGCATTGGCATTTTATCCTCCTCTGTGTCCACTGCTGCTGTTGAATAGGCAGCGATGGCAAGAACTCTCGGACGATGTCATTCTCCGTCTGAAGCAGTACGCTGCTAATCTCTTCACAGAGGTCAGTACATGGACATGAGGTGTGTGTTCTCTTTTTTGCCAGTTTAACTGTCTACTATTATTTGATCATCATGGAGCGTTTTTGGGGTCTAGCATGTGTGTGAAACACAATGATTATGATGATGATGTAAGTGATGTTGTAATCGTTGTCATTGTCGCTGTCGTCCTTTTCCTCGTCACCGTCTCTTCCTCTCCTTTTGCCTTCTCTTTCTGTTGTAGTGTTGTATTTCCTTGCAGCGACTGTTTGTATGCACCAAAAGTCGATCATTCACTGTTGTATTGACTGAAGCTACGGGGTAACGCTCTCTGGTGGTTAAAGTGGGACTGTTATTGATCACTCTTGTGTGTGATTTACATGTGCTATGATTGTGGTACCTTAGGCTCTGGTCGGAAATGACAATGTAGTCAAACACGGCGTGTCGCTGTTCATCGTGGAGCTAATCAAGCGCATCTGGCCCCAGTGTTGGCCCAACTTGATGGCGGAGATGTTTGATGCCGTTGACCGTGATGTGAGTACAGGACCGCTATTACATTTGTTGTCTACTGGTTCACAAATCACCTAACGTGTGATAGCCAACTTCTGCTTCCAGACACCTTCTACTAGTAACTGTTAGTACACTCGGACGTCTCTTATCCGGGCACCTTGGGACCGGGCACTGCCCGTATCTCAGATTTGCCCGTATCTCAGGATAACTCATCTACCATGTATCATATCATTTTTGAAGAAGCTTATTTGGAACGTATTGCACATGTTCAGGATACAAAAGGAACCCATTGATAAAAATGCGTGGATTACATAGGTTGGCAGTGAAAAATAAGCACTTCCTCATACGGAAGAAGTTCAAAACCCCCAAATTCGAAGCATTTGTGCTACAGGAACTCAAGCTGAAGGTGCCTGGTAGAGAGACGTGCCCGTATCTGAGGCGTCCGGATAAGAGGCGTTTGAGTGTAGTATGACTATTCTGTTGACTGTACTACCATGTCCATTTAGCATTCAGTTTCCAAGAGAGCAAAGCGTTTCCCGTGGTATGCATGCTTCATGTTTTTCCACACATTTCCCATGTCATGCAAGCTTCGTATTCTTCCGTTGCCCCATTTATGCGGCGTACTGTTGACAGGACTCTGTCCTTGACATTGTGATGTTGGTGCTGGAGCGTCTGTCGCAAGACATCGGGGAGGGCGACGCACACCTGTCCAGTAGCCGACGCCAAGAGCTGAAGCATTCGCTGTCCAAGTGCTGCACGGACGGCGCTCTCTTCCGCGTCGTGACCTTCAAGCTGCTACAGCACACCTCACCCGAGCATGTTTATGTAAGTACGTGAAGTACATGAATGCAGTGCAATGTCTTCAAGGGTCTGCGCACTTGCACACTTACATGTAGTCGTTTTCTTAATTAAAGTTGATGGCTGTGCACCCGCTTTATCGAGCTCAATGCCTTTGATTTCGAAAAGAAATGGGGGTGAATGAGAGTGTTTTTCTTTGTACAAGTACAGTGTGTATGCACCATGATTTAGTATATACCTTAGTGCTTGTAGTGATGATGATGGTGATGGTGGTGGTGTTGTCTTTGCTGCTGTTGGTTTCATTCTTGCTGTGCAGGATCCTGTGCACGGGTACCTTGCACGGCGAGTGCTCTTGACTCTTGCCGCATTCCTGGAGTGGTGTCCGCTGAAGCCCTTCTTTGCCCACGACTATCAGCTACTGGAGATGCTCTGCAGTCTAGTCTCTCAGGAATCACTTCGCCTGGAAGCTGTCGAGTGCTTGATTGCCCTCGCCGAGCGTAAAGTAAGTCCATCCGTTGTTGTCTATTGCTGCGTTTTGATGATACAAGCATATCAGTGCACATGTACATGTATGTAGGGGGGAAGATACTGTGGTACATGTAACTGCTTGTGTTTTTAGACGGTGGACTTCGAAGCTGGTTGTGTTTCTCAACACAATTGTATAACCGGTTGTAATGCTGACGTGCGAACTTCACTTAAAACAATTCTTCGCAGTAGACTCGGTTCCAGAGTTTTCGAAAGTGTTCAAGTAAGAGCTGTCTGGTGATAGGTGGTCCCTTTAATTAATGGGTAAAATAAGGCTGGTCCTCGATGTGGACTGGCTCGTCTCCCATAGTGTCAGGCAGGTCTCTCACTCTCAGCTTGTCATGGATATGGTGCACTACCTGTACTTTGTACTTTGTACTGTGCTTTGGTGGCAATGGTACTGGCACTTTCCACGTGGAACATGCTGACTGGCTGTGTGCTCTCTGGTCTTTATTGGCGTTGTGTAATTTCAGTCAGCAAGTAGTTCATCCCACTGGCTTTAGACAGTTTAGTGCATGCTGTCTGATTGAAAAGTATGCTAGGTGCACAGTGAGGAGATGCATTCATACGAAATGTGTGTAAACCTGTAAGGATGAAATATAGTATTTTCGGAAATTATCAGCACTGGTCTTTTATCACCGCCTGTCGGAAACAAGCGCCACATCATTTCAGGGCGTGTGTGTGGAAATGTGTACAAATGACATCACCATGGCCTTGCTGCGCCTGCACTTTGTTGGATGTTGTCCTTCGCGGAAGAGCCAACTTGAGATGTTGCACTAGTCTTGTCAGTCAGTATTGCAGGTAAAATGTCATGCTTTTCATGTCTCGCTGTTGCTGCTTTGCCATGTGCATTTGTTATCAGGGTGTTGAACAGGAGGACCGACAAGCTACACTGCTGCTCTTTCAACGCACGCCTATGGAGATTTTCCTTCAAGCTGCATCGTAAGGCTCGGTGTTGTGTTGGGAACATTGTACACTGCGTAACGTTGGACAAGACATCATTGCTGCTGCTGCGTACCGGTGCCTTGTCTCCATTCACTCATGTCTGACTGTTGCAAAGAATAGCCGACCAGTAATTGTGAGCATGTGCGTGTGTGTGTGTGTGTGTGTGTGTGTGTGTGTGTCTGTATGTATATGTGTGTGTGTGTGTGTGTGTGTGTGTGTGTGTGTGTGGTGTGTGTGTGTGTGTGTGTGTGTGTGTGTGTGTGTATGTGTTCTCTGCTCTGGTGGAGGACGGTTGTACTCTTTTGGGCTCTTGTTTCTGGCCTCCGTCCGTGCTTGTTCTCGCCGTTGTGGACGGCCTGGGGCGTCCCCAGCCGTCCTCGCAAACAGTGCCTGAGGTGGTGTCTTCAACAACAGGAGACTTGGTCGGATAGTTACGATGCCGACACTCTCCTCGTCGCCCCCACCTCGGAGTCCTTAGCGAGGCCTTGCAAGCCCGCGAGTGGAGCAAACTACCGCACGAAGACGACGACTTGGAACGACTTTGATCATTGGCTCATGGAATGTTCGCTCTGTTGTGGAGAGTAATGGACCAGTTCAAACGGCAGCCGTGAGAGGAATCGTTTCCGACAATAAGAAAATCTTTCAAATAGTTCAACATCTTGAAAATTTGTGTGTTCTCTGCTCTTGTGGAGGACGGTTGTACATTTTTGGGCTCTTGTTTCTGGCCTCCGTCCATGCTTGTTCTCGCCGTTGTGGACGACCTGGGGCGTCCCCAGCCGTCCAGGCCAACAGTGCCTGACGTGGGGTCTTCAACGACAGGAGACTTGGTCGGATAGTTACGATGCCGACACTCTCCTCGCAGGCAGCTGAATGTTTTGGGTTGTGACTCTAGTTTCCTCTTGTTTGTAAGGTGATGATGAACGTGAAACTTGAGTGTAGACTGTAGAATTTGAGTTTTACTTGTAAAATATGTGATTTCATTGTCTGCTTCTTTTCTGGTGGTCTTGTCCAGAACCAGCGGTTTGAACACGGCCGCCGGAAGCAAGGCTCTTGACTCCTATGGCTTTCTCAAGCGTCTGTGTACGCTGCTGCTGCGCATGGGGACTCACCAGCTCTTGTTCTTGTGGGTGCGTGCTGTTGTGTACAGTGTGGTACAATGTGCATGAGTGAATTGCATTTTTCAAAAAGGGCTTGTGACTGTTTGTGATGAATTGACCAGTTACTCTAGTAAGCAGACTAGATTTGGATGGAAAACTAAGGATTAGTATGAAATAGAGAAGACCAAATGTTTACAAGGCACCCGTAGTTTTCCTACGATAATATAGGCACAATATTGGTGAGTCAGAGGGCTATGACAAGATGATGGCGGAAGACGGAGGCCCACGGCACAGGGCGGCCATGGCTCACTCTGAGAACGCAAAACAGCAACTACCAGTACCCAACTTGGAAGGCTCATGTTTTTCAGAGATAAACAAAGAGGGGAAGTCACGTGAACACGAAATGAGAGAGAGACCGGACGACGCTCTCTCTCCGTACACGTACATGTACTATACTACAGGTAGAGTGGAAGTTGTGCTGGACTATTATTATTATTGAAGAAGAGAAAAGGACATATGGATACGAGTTAAGAGTAACTCTCCATCACTGTAACATGATACTATATACAGTCAGAAAGTGCAATAACTAGGCACAAAACTCCATCCATCCATATGTCCTTTTCTCTTCTACATTTATTTATGGCTCAACATCCGAGTTTCAAATTATTATTATTATTATTATTATTTATTATTATTACTTGCATGTACGCGTTGGAGTCAACCATGCAAGCATGGTCCACAACTTCGCTTATGCTGAACATGATAAACAGGACCATGACAGGGGAAAGAAATTGAGCTAGAACGATGATATAATGATATAATTATCATATACAATGTAGCTCATGGGTATTGAAGATATGTCATTGATGAATATGTCTATGTCATTGAATATTGCAGCCTGAGTGATAATAATAGTGCTATTTCCTGAGTTTGACTGTTTCAGGATCTGTCGGAATGTCACCATGTACAGATCTTCATGCATAGATCTCGCCATGCGGGTCGGTCATGGGCAATGGCTCGCAGGCTCTGCAGAGCGTCTAGGTTCCCGAGCAATCCAGCATGGGCTTGGCGCAGATCTCCCACCAATGCCTGCGGCAGGGTCGTCTGCGGTCTACCCCTCCAGCATTGCTGTTGCTGATTGGCAAAGTACGCGAACATAGCCATAACAGCTGGGGATTCATCCGCCATCCGCAGGATGTGGCCAAACAGCCTCCAGCGTGATCTCTTGACCATGACACTCAAGGGCTCAGCTTCGCATCTGGCATAGAGAGCATCATTCGGTATTATTTGTGGCCATTTCACACCGATGAGTGACCTTAACTGACGGCAGTGGAAGGAATCCAGGCGAGACAGAACGGTCACACTGACCCCCCACGTACCCGAGTTGTACGTCAGTACTGGGATAATAAAAGTGTTGTAGAGCCGCAGACGCAACTTCTCGCTGATGTGCTGATGCCTCTTCCAGAGGCTCCATAGGGACTGAAATGCTGCAGTCGCCAGCTGTTTTCGTCGCATAATATCCTCTTCGTCGCCCAGCAGCGAACCCAGCTTGCGCGTTGTCCTCCACTCTTCATCGATCCTGTCCGCACTTCTGAAGACGTCCGTATACTCAGTTTTGTCCCGGTTCATGATCAGGGACCACTGCGCTAGCACCGTGCTGGCAGTCGCCTCCACGTCCGCCAGCCAGGACTTTGAGGTGCTGACAAAGTCTGCATCATCCGCATATACGAGTTCGAGCGGCAGACCGTTGTCGCTGAGAGGTCTTGCTGGCACCTCTTGCCTTAGTTGTCGGAGCGCAGCCTCCAGGTAAATCGTGAAGAGAACGGGGGAAGGCAATCTCCCTGTGGCGTCCCCTTCGTTGTAGCAAATAATTCCGTCTGGCACCTCCCAAGCCGAACACGAAGTCTGGTGTTAGAGATCAAGACCCTGATCAAGTGAACGTCATCGTCACTCAGAAACGCCTCCAGAACAGTCAGCAAGGTGTCTCGCTTGATCGTGTCAAAAGCCTTCGACAGATCAATGCCCAGCAGGTGAACGGTGCTGTGGTAGCGCTGGGTCTTTGCCACAAGCCATCGATGCGCCCATACCACATCCGCGGTGGATCGGCCAGGGCGGAAGCCGCAGTGCGTCTGGGCTAGGTACTGGTCAACCTTGGGTCTGACTCGAGCTAAAGTGAGGAGTGACAGGGTCTTCCGCAGCGTGTTGAGGAGAACTATCGGACGTAAATTTGATGGTGGTCCCAGCGGCTTGTTGGGTTTCTGAAGTGGGATCAGATTGCCACTGCCTATATCAACTACCTCGTGTTGCTCAAACATGCCGTTGAAAATGCTGGTCAACACAGGAACCAAAGCATCACTTGCATACTTCATCAGTTCTGTGGGGATACTGTCGTCTCCTGCGGCACGGCCATTGTTCAGTTTCCCGAGACAGCCTGCAATCTCTGAAGATGTAATGGGAGTTTGCTGGACTAACAAATGGCAATAACAAGTAGTATCTAAATTGGAAGGCTGTTGGCGTGCGCGTTCAAGACCCCATGGAGCTCAACGTCAGGCTGTTGAATGTCAGTACCACTTGTCAGTATATTGTGCTAACTGTTGCACGTTCTGACTCACAAATATAGTGTTGGGCAGCTGCGGATAACTTGTAAACCTTTGGTCTTCTCTGTTTAATTACACTCTGGTGAGATGTAATGATATGAGATTAGGATGGTCCGAAAACGCGATACATGTATGATCATACCTCGCTGTGTGTGTTTACGTGTGGTGTCTGGTGCTGGCTGGTGTTGTCTTCTGTAGGGCACAAAGGATAAAGCAGGAGTGAAGGCCAGGCCAGGAGTTGGTGAGCCAGAAAACTTCGCGCTATACCTGGACATATTGCTGGAGTTCCTGCAGCACGACAGTCTGTACGTTTGCAACCAAACCGTGGCCACTTTGCCCAGCTTTCTCAATCACGAGCTCGTCCGGGAGTCACCCGCGCTCAAAGAGCGCCTGCCAAAGCTCCTGTCTGTCTGCCTGCGTCTGCTTGTGAAGGTACGTTCTCAGTCGGTGTTGTGCTGGTCAACGACTTTGCTGTGTACATTAGATGGCTTCTCCACATTCCGGGTGGCGCGCTCTGTCAGTCCCCAGCTGGTTGAGAGTGAATTCTGTGCCTCTCTAAAAGAGGCAAACATGTCTACTCAACTAGGGATATGCATTTTCCTGTTCTGTGTCTTTCTGGTTTGTCCTCTCCCCCCCCCCCCCCACACACACACACATCCTGTGTAGAGTTAACATGCCAATATTCTCTCATCCTTTGTTCAAATTTTGACCAAATGAGAAGCGGGGTCCATAACATGTGGGAGGCGCAGTGCATGCTCAATGCTAGCCGGGAGTCAGACATAGCACCAGCTATGCCCTATTCAGGGATTAAAAAAAACCCCGTATTGACGCTTCACTGCTGCTGTGGTATATGTTGTACAACAGCTTTTCTGAGTATCTCAGATTGGGTATTCCTGTATTTGTTTGCCAGTTTTCTCTTGTATTATTTTGTGATGGGATCCTATTTGGGTATGCTTTACTCCTGCTCCATGCTAGCCCGATGCTCCGTTTGATTGCACCTCAGCACGTAGCCTGTATATTGCTGCTGACTTTGTCGACGGCTTGGATCTACACAAGTTCTGGGCAAGTTAGTCTGAATTGATGTGCATGCACTGTGCATGAATTTGTACTGCTTTACATGTATGTTCCTAGAGTGCAACAGGACCCCCCCCCCCCTCTCTCTCTCTCTCTCTCTCTCTCTCTCTCTCTCTCTCTCTCTCTCTCTCTCTCTCTCTCTCTCTCTCTCTCTCTTTTAGAACCGTACAGTGTGTTAACAGCATTTCCAATTCCATGGTGTCTTATCATGACAGTCTGTAATGGTGTCAATTCACATGGTATCCTTTTGTTGAGCGAGACCCCTGCTACACATACTGCTGCTCGGGCTGGATATTGTCTGTATGTTTTGACCCAGCTCTAACCAGTCATTGCTCCATCACCAACATGCACACTTGGCGTCGCTTGTGAGTTAGTCTTCTTGCTGCACGCAGTGGCTTGGTTGAGCTGAGGTCAAGCATAGGAAGGAGCTGGGACAGTCTGCAGACAGATGCGGGAATTAGGATCATTTTCTTTTTCGTACGGCGTGCTTTCAATTCTGTCTTTCGACAGGTGATTTTAGTACTGTCCTTTGCTTTCTCTGTTCGGCTCATAGCGTTTCGAATTCTGGTGATGGAGGTTTTAGGCAGTCTGACACTGCTGATACCTCACAACGTGGCTGAGCTCATTGCTGTGAGTGTAACAGACTTGGTGCAAGCGTGCAATGGTTAGTGGCCGTGATCACTGTCATGTCAGCATTGCGACCTTGTTGTCTAGTTGATATTGTGCTGAGGTGGGTGGGTGGTTGGATTCCTGACTCTCCCCTGACAAATGGAAATGCTGATCGCCGTTTCCTGTAGAGTTTGGACTGTTCAGTATTTCCTTTCCCCAGCACTACGTGTCTTTATGACACTACTAGATAGCTAATAGCATACTATGTATGTACGCGTAGATTGGTGTGTGAACTGTAGCCCTACAATGCTTCATCTTGGGTCAGATCTAGGTCACCATTGGTCTTTCAGATAGTTGCTGGGGAAGGTTTCCAGTCCCTTTCTGCAGTGTACCATAGTGTACAGCTACTCTAGACTAGTGAAATATACAAGCTATGCATGTAGGCAGGCAATCCACGGCATATTTGCACTGCCGTTGGCTGTGCTTTTTGCTTGTTTGTTGCTGTTGCTGCTGCTGCTGCTGCTGTTATTGTTGTTGTTTCAGATCTTTATTCTCGTTGATATTGTTGTTTTCTTGTGAAGGTCAACAAGCCGGTCTTACAGCTTCATCACCGCTTGTGCACCAATGCGAAGCTGTGCAGTCATTCGCTGACAAATGCTCCTCAGTGCTGGCAAAGCTTCCTTCTGGTCAGCGGGTATGTACATGTACATGATTGCACTGAAGTTCATGACGGAACATGTATATGTTTTTTTTTGCTTTACTGCTTTGCCGTCTACTGGATGTCGAGCTGAGTTTGACTCCCGCAGTCTTCAAAGCATTCTGCAGCTCAGGGTTCAGCTGAATACCAAGCTTTATGGTGGCGAATTACTAGTAATACCTTTGTTGGGAGTGAGACAGTCTATTTTACTATTGTTCTACTGTAGAGCATGTACCAGTAATGCCCTATATGTGTGTGTGTGTGTGTTTGTGTGTGTGTGTGTGTGTGTGTGTGTGTGCGCGCGTGTGCGCGTGTACGTGTGCGCGTGTACGTGTACGTGTGCATGTGCGTGTGCATGCGTTTGCGTGTGTGTGTGTTTATATGATGATGTTCGTTTCCATGTTTGTTTCCTGTGGCACCAGCCCGACAGTGCCCTTCTAGTTCTGCCGTTGGAGACGGTCCTGGCCTGGGAAGTGTCTGTAAGCAGTGAGCAATAAAAACTTTTTTTAAGAACTTTGTATTGTACATTGTACTTTGAAGTTTGTGTCGGACCACTGCGATTTGAGATCTGAGTGAACATGTTGCCTTTGTGCATTGCTTGCATTATAACCTATTTAGACTTTGGTGTAGCAAGGAAGGCTTTGGTTTGTCTTTGCGACGGGTTTTGTAGCAAATCGTTTACTTCCTGCTCCTCTGTTTCTCCTTTCCCGGTGCCCTTCACCTCTCATGTAGAGTAGCTTGCTGATAGTGAGGTATCAGATTGCAATGCTGGAGTCTCTGTTTGTGATGCTGGAGTTTGCACCCGCAATGCTACAGGCCGTCCTACAGAAGGTAAGCCTGCTTGCCACTCGTATTCACTACTGCAGGAGTTGAGAGTGTAACGAGTCTATAGTGTTTGAAGATTTGCAAATGCTTTCCACTTTTCGGGCGCAAAGTGTTATGTCCGCTGCCATCAGACATCCGCCCATCCTTATCACATGCTGTCAGGGCAAGTGCAATGTGTTTATACAAGATTAAATTGTAATTGCAAGTTCTGGATATAAAACACACCAGAGCAGGTGATGAGAATTGTGTAGTGCATTCTTTGTGTGTATGTTTTGTTCCATTTAGTTGAAGATCTCCAGCTTTGGTCTGTATAATCATGTATACATTTGAGCTGAGATGTTGAAATTCGGCGAAAGGTCTACTGAGAGAACGCTGTCCTATATTTCAGTGTGATGGTTTTGTGTTGTGATGCTAAGTGCAGCCCTCAGGTCATGTGATCTCACTGTACAGCTGTATGCGGATCAGACATGCTGTTTTGTTAATTTGTAGTAATTTGTACACTAAAACTTAAAAGCAGTTCGCTGGTTGTGCAACCAGTTGATTGCCAAGTCCGCTGTGCTTACTGTACAGAACTTTCTGTGCATGGCAAACAAAAATAAGAATGGTCGCTGAATGTGGGTGGTCGCTTTAACCAGACTGTGCTGTATTTGCTCTTTTTGCCTTTGTGCAGCTTTTCATGACCACGCAATTACCATCTGCACTGGCGCTTCAGGTATGCCTGATAAGCCTGCAGGGCATGTCCGTGTGCATGTCCTGCAGATCTTCTCAATTGCATGTGTCACCCAGTCCTCTCCCTGCTCTCTCTCTCTCTCTCTCTCTCTCTCTCTCTCTCTCTCTCTCTCTCTCTCTCTCTCTCTCTCTCTCTCTCTCTCTCTCTCTCTCTCTCTCTCTCTCTCTCTCTCTCTCTCTCTCTCTCTGCTCTGCTCTCTCTGCTCTGCTCTCTCTCTCTCTCTCTCTCTCTCTCTCTCTCTCTCTCTCTCTCTCTCTCTCTCTCTCTCTCTCTCTCTCTCTCTCTCTCTCTCTCTCTCTCTCTCTCTCTCTCTCTCTCTCTCCCTCTCTCTCCAATCCCTTGCTGCTGAAGAACGGTTAGGCACAGCATGATCAGTCCTTGCTCACGTCTTGTTGTTGAGACATGACAAAGTCCACCTTACTCCAATGCCACATATATTC